CATTGCCTGTTCAGCTGTCTATCCACCAACGAAGGAGAATAAGAAAGAAAGAAAGAGAAAGAGAGAGAGAGAGAGAGAGAGAGAAAGAGAGAGAGAGAGAGAGGGAAAAAACGAAGAAAATGTTGGTATAGTTTGGAAAGAGCTTACACTGTCATCCCCATGTGTCAGACAATCTCCGTAAAAACTTGAATACACCAGGTGTTACTTCTGCAAGATTTTCTTTAAAAATCGACATCTTTTAAACGATAATGTCTGCGCGATTATTTGTAAAGTAAGAAAGAAAGAAAAAAAAAAAGGAAAAAAAAAAAAAAAAAAAAAAGAAAAAAATGTATTAATGACATATAACGACTTCTTGGTATAAATTTGTCATTGTATACAATTATAATCGCATTAATGATCATAATCATGATAATTATAAAGTCAATGAACTATGGGAATGATAAAGCGATATCGATTAGATAGATTATGATCTGGATTAGATGAAAATTTCCAAAGAATTCGATTTGTCTATACCTATCTAATCGTTAACGTTAACCAATTGTCAATGATAGAAAGAAGAAAGGAGAAAGAGAGAGAAAGAAAGAGAGGAGTGGGAGAGAAGAAAGAAGACAAAACGAGAAATCGAAAAAAAGAAAATGAAAAGGGAAAAGGAGAGACGATTTGATCAAAAAAAGAAAAAAAAAAAGAAAAAAAAAAAGAAAAAAAAAAAGAAACAAGAAAGAGAGTGAGTCTGGTGCAAGGTGGAGGTGGTAACAATGCTGAAGTTTATCTCCACGTCCTTGACTAATCTCTTTGCTCGCAAGAAGATTACTCTATCGCAACGATTCGTGCTACGTTCATGATACACGCTTACTACTCACCCATACTACGCGTACGTACGCACCTGGTAATTGATGAAAGGACCATATCGATGATATCATAATGCAGACGACGATTCAAGCATTTCAATTATTACGACTTAATTCTTCTTCTCTTTGTCTCCTAGATTCAAATGATCTTCAAATCATATATATATATACATATATATATATATGATAATGCGAAACACTTGTTTTTTTTTTCATATAAGAAAAATAACAATGGAAATTACTTTGGAATTATAATTAATATAACTTTGCGATCGAACTAATGATCGTAATTATGATCACATCTATCATTATCATTTTTATCGATCGAAGATTTGTAACAAAAAAAAAAAAAAAAAAAAAAGAAAAAGAAGAAAGACTCGAAATAAGAAAAATACATTGATATTCATTTGAACGTTTTAAAAGACGTTTGATAGTCGTTATTAAAACCGACGTAGCTTGAAACTCCTCGAATTCCGCCCACGCACATATACACTTGTATATTATACATGTCTCTGTGTGTCCATGTATATGGGGACACAACGTTACTAGGGAACAGTAAACGCGATGCGATGCGTTTTACGTTGGATCGCACTGCGAAACGCTATCGCGGACCGACCACTGGGAGCGATACCTTATCTGAACTAGTTGTGTGCCAACAGTGACTCTCAACTTATATTTCTATGCGTATATATATATATATATACACACACACACACACATACATATATATATATATATATATATATATAATAATAATAATAATAAATATAACTTTGTTGTTCTTATTAAAGTTACATATGTAAATGTACAAAGGGATAAGATATATTTTTGATCCTTTAAGATTTAACGTTCGAAATTAAATAAAATTTAAATTAAACAAATCGAGACAAAATTTTGCCTATTCGAAAATAATAAATATCTGAGGAAATAAATAAATAAATAAATATATGTATATATATATATATATATAAAATAATTTTTTTTTCTTTTTCTATCACAATGAAAAAAAGAGATATAAAAAAAAAAGACGAAATAATTACAAAGCACTTTTCTCTTTTGAATTCTAACGCATCGTTCGCGTGAAATGCATTTCAATCGTAATCGAATACACGATCCGTATGTAAACACACGTTAAGAATCGGTATGGGGAGCCGCATCGGATGTCAGAACCCGAAGATTCTTATCTATATGATAAGACGCAGCATTCATGTGAGTTTCATTAGGCTTAACCATCGAATCCTTCCTTGAAAAGTGACGCCTTTTCGCATACATATTTACTTCGTGTATAGTACAATTAACAAATCTGTCTTTAATCATAAAATCGAATATAAAAAATAAATTAAATCAATGTGATACTAAAAGGTAATTAATTTTTTATGATGGATGAATTACTTCAACGATGACATTTGTGATTTAACGATTTTTAAGACTAAAAGATTATTATAATTTAAATTACGAAAGATCATAATAGAGCACTGGTAGAGCACTACACGATTTTTTTTTCCGATATTAATCGTTATAAATCCTAGGAAGGGACAAATATTACTCGTGTAATTCGAAATGAGTTTTAGCGAAAGATACTTCCAACGAAAAAAATTCATAACTGGCACTCAACGAATATTATTCTGATCATTACAATTTGATGTTATAAAGGAATAAGACAACGAGATCGATTCATCGTATGCCCGAAGGGCAAATTAATTAACCGAGCTCTTCGTGGTGTGTATGAAACGAGAGTCGAAGGCTTACTGATCTACGTATATACGAGGTGTACCATAATATACATAATATAATATTAACTCCAATGTTAAATAGGTTAAAAGAAAACAAACAACACAGATTCGCACGTACGTTTCTTCTGTATAGACTCTATTAAGAGAAATTATATGAAGAAACTATTGAAATAATCTTTAAATTTATATCTTTTGATATATACAAAATCTTTTAGAATATTGTTAATATTATGTGAAAAATAAAAATGAAATAATATAAAATAAAAAATAATAAAATAAAAATTTAATAACTCCTTAATTAGATTAACTATACTAATTGATTGAATGAAAAAAAAAAAAAAAAAAAAAAAAAATGATAATTTTAAAGTGTAAAAAAAATGTCAAATAAAATATAACAAGGTTAATGTAAATGTATGTTTTTTTACATGCACGTGCTAAATCCATCCCTGAAGTTATGAGCACACATATTATTGTAGTACACCCTATATGTCGTGAGATAAGTCATATCGGTGTGTACCGGTCGATAGAAAGGCACATACCATTTCGCTTAACGGGCTACCAAGATAGAACAAGACGGTGCATGTGCCAGATATCGTGTCGACGGTATTGGTGCGCATTATCACTCGGTATTTCGTGAAATCAGTCGCCGCGAGAGCTGCCTCCGGCTCAGTACACCAACGGACCGCTCCATGAAGTACCTTTCTCCTTTTAACAGTCTCTTTCTCTCTGTGTCCTTTTTTTTTCTCTCACCTACGCCATAAAAAAGAAAGAAAAGAGAGAACGAGACCATTCGGTTTATAACCTCTCGAAATTGTTGACGTTTAAAACGGAGTAATAAATAAGATCGTGTGTGTAAAAGAAAAAAGAAAAAGAAAAAAGAAAAAAACAAGAAAAGAAAAAAAAAAGAAAAGAAAAAAGAGAAAAAGGAAAATAGAAAAAAGAAAAATCGGTGTTGATTTATAACTCTTTCTCGAGTGTTTTCTCTTCTACGATTGTCTGTGAGCGACGATAAATACGATAAGATTGTAAAAATTGTGCGTTAAGTTTTTTTTAATATTACATGCTATCATTTTAAATTTCATTTTTTAATTTTACATGACAAATTCTGTGTACATATATATTGTTGCACCACATACATATGCATATGTATATATACATGTATGTATGTATGATATATGTATGTATGATATATGTATTTATGATATTTGTATGTATGTATTTATGTATGTATGTATCTATGTATGTATGTATGTATGTATGTATGTATGTATGAATGTATCTATGTATGTATGTATCTATGTATGTATGTATGTATGTATGTATGTATGTATGTATGTATGTATGTATGTATGTATGTATGTATGTATGTATGTATGTATGTATGTATGTATGTATGTATGTATGTTCCTATACTTACGTTCAAATCCCTGGAAGTCAGGTTGGACGATGCTACGAATTGTTTACGAAATGCTTGAACGTTTCTTCGTTACGCGAACGAATGTGCGAGTCGTTAAGTAGGCTTGTTCGATAGCCTTGAACGAAAAAACACCACGTATTTCGTGACGTCGTTGATTCGCGCTTTTTTCTTTTCTTTCTTTTTTTATCACGTAACAATTCCTACCGATGAAGGAGAAATAGAACGAAAGAAAAAAACAAAAAAGAAAACAAATAGCGAAATAAAATGAATTGAAATGATAGGAAAAATTAATTTATGTTAAAAAAAATATTTTCGAAAGTGTAATTTTGTTTATCATTATATTCGGTTTACACGATTTATGGGATAATATCGAAGATTTTCGCGATGGGACACCCGGTACATAGGAAGTAAGCACACTCAGCCACGAACGTAGCAGCACTGCACCGATGCAGTATGTTCCAACGTGTTGTTTCTTTTTCTTTTTGTTTCTTTTTTTTTCCTTGTTTTTTCTTCTTTTTTTTTTTTTGTAGTTGCACCGACCGAGAGAGAACCGTTTCAGGAAACTCGAAAACAAACGACCACTGGCGCACTAACTTGAAATGACGTAATATAATGCACTAACTGCACATTCTCGAGAGAATCGTCGTACATATTGGCAAATTTACGTGAACAAGTGTCATTTGTTTTATAAAATAATTATACAAAATTAAATGCAACTCGATAATCGAAACGAGTAAAAACGGTCGTTTTGCAATATCTTTTTTTCGTCTTTTTCCCTTTTTTTCTTTTTTTTAATTCTATTATTTTTTTAACATCGCATCAAATCGCTTGTGCGAATTATTAATAAAAGCGATATAAGAAGCAAAAGTTCACAGTTTACTATACGGTACATTGTTGTTTCTCAAATTAGATAAATCAATAAATCGTGCTTATTCAATTTTCGAACTATGGGGAATTAGAATGATCAAAAAAATTTTTTTTGTCTACATTAAGTAATCTTAATATATCGTCGAAATAATTAATCCTATATAACGTCATGCAACTTTAAAGTCACGCATATATATATATACATATATATATGTGAATTTGTAATTTGATTTCATATTAATATAAGTTACACTTATTTCAGTATAATTATATTAAAATAAGTAATACTATAACTTTATAGCATTATATAATTTTTTTTGTGTAAACAAAAAAAGAACTGAATTATAGACAATTAATATTATATTATTTTGCCACGGAAGAAAAGATTAGTTTTTAAAAAATACATTCTATTTCCAATAATCGAAAAATAGAAAATATTATTGCTAACGAATTAGAAGTAATGGTAAAGCGTAAAAAATCAATCGTTAGAGAATGTCAAAGATCGTAAAGGAAATCATGCTGGTTAGATTTGTGAGTATTACGTGCAATCTAGATTCGTCAGCCATCGTTAAAGCATAATTTTTATTTGGCTTACATAAGTCTATGGCTTATTGTACTTATATTTCAATGACGACGTACTTTTCTTATCTTTGAATTCGAATCTCTTCTATTTTACCTAAAGAGACGCCTTTTTTTTCTCATTTTTTTTTTTTTTTTTTTTTTTTTTTTTTTTTTTTTTTTTTTTTTTTTTTTTTTTTTTTTTTTTTTGAAGGAAAGTATGCTTGTAGGGAGGACCTAGCTATCTACCTTTCTTCAGTATTACAGAATCCTTCTTGGGATCCAGACATATAACTCACAAGTCTGAGATAAAGAGAAAACGGGTGCTCTTTAAGAAAGTAAAAAAGAAAGAAGGAAGGAAAGAAAGAAAGAAAGAGAGAGAGAAAGAGAGAAAGAAAAAGAGAAGAAAAAAAGAAAAAGAAGACGACGACAAGTTCGTGACGAGAAACACTTTGTAGAAGATGAATTCCAAGAAAATTTAAACTGGATATAAGGTACGAATGGAAAATCTTGAGAAAGGGAAAGTAAAGTGACGAGTTCTATCGATATAACGATATTGACATCATCGCAAAAGTTAACATTATAAATTTCAAGGTTTTACAATTATAAAAGAGCGTCTATGATTGACATGGCCTTGAATTCAAACACGAAGATCATTGAAGTTTGTACATGTGCGTTGTCGATGAGAACGAATTATTTTAATCCATAAAAAAAAAAGAATTATACTTCTAACATGTTATACTACAAACATGTATTTATACTTCGTGACGTTATGGCGTGTGTTCTAAGGAAAGAAGAAAAAAAAGAAAAAAAAGAAAAAAAAGAAAAAAAAAGGAAGAAAAAGAGAGATTATTACGATCTAGTAAAAAGGTCGATTTAAAAATGATCTATCTTGGATCGGATTTAACGGAAGGCGGAGCGTATACGGTAGGAAGAGCTCAATTCTTCTTAACGAACCATTCGCCTTTCACCGTGTTGCCGCCATTTTCGAGTATCTCATGCTCTATCACATATAACTCGTTTAATACGAAGACAAAATATCCTTCAGGTATTTAAATTTAGTAAATATATTTTTTTTCGCTAAAAAAAAAAAATAAAATAAAATAAAATAAAATGAAACAACAAAATATTATGATTTCTTAATTCTATGCACATGAGTATTTGAATGTATATATTTTGCCGATACAAGAAAAGCTGTTGTAAAAAAACAAAAAAAAAATAAAAAAAAATAAAATAAAAGAATAAATAAATAAAAAAGAATAAAAAGGAATACAAAAAAAAAAATACAAAAATAAAAAAATACAAAAATAAAAAAATACAAAAATAAAGAACATGCTGATAAGGCGCGATTGGACTTGGATCCGGCGGTTACATACATATCTCTGAAAGGTTGCAATTAAACGTCACTATTGCTATATCATTCTCTTCTTGTCTAGAAATGTCGATTGTAAGAAATAATCGAGATAAAGAAATCCAAAGAGAAAGAGAATGAGAGATATAGATTAGAAAGAAAAAAAAAAAAACAAGAGCAATCACATATTTACTTGCAAGCAAAGTAAAGATCTTTCTCTTAGAAATAAATATATTACATAATATCTATGGTACGCTGATAAAGACTCGAGTAGATTTCGTTTAACATAAAGACGATCGAGATGATATTAATGTGATTGAAAAAAAAAAAACCGCATAAAAAAAAAGAAATAAATAAATAAATGAAGTTAAAACATATTAAAGATTACATTGGAATTTTATCATTCTCGTTATCATACATATTCTCCATTCAAAAAATTCTAATCACGAACAGACGGTTTGTTCTTGTCTTGTCTTGTCTTGTCTTAGATAATTTTTAATATGTGACATATATAAAAAGGACATCGTTAATAACTTAAGAAAATCCTCGAAAAGAAAATTTTTACGAATGTAATAAGACATATCATCGATAATAAAACGTTCAACGAATATGATTCATATTACGTCTAATGAGAGTCAAATCCGTCGCCATATTATTAGATTAGAACACTTTTGCGGTTAATCTTACTCTGCAAGGAAGATACCGCGAAAAAGATAGATAAAGGGTAACGACACTCAACGATATCTTTGGAAGCTGTATAATGATGTAAAGCGACAGAGATAATACGTCATCTGCATAGGCCAATTACGAGATCGATAATTACAAGATATATAAATCATTAACATTTATTCTTCTAACGTTTAGTTTTACGTGATATCTTGCAAATAACATTTCTGTTTCTTTAAGAGAGAAAAAAAAAAAAAAAAAAAAAAAAAAAGAAAAGAAAATGAGAAATATTTTCATCTAAATATCAGTGCGATGAATGCAACGACAATAATGAATTGTCGACGAGAGAACAATGTTTAAATTACTTTTGACGGATGTGGTCTACGTTCGAGGAAATAACGGTTAGCCTTTTTGGAGAAAAAAAAAGAAAAAAAAAAAATATCCTTCAAAACTTACAATAGTAATATGCGCGAAAAGAAATACGATAAAGTAAACGAGCGAAAACCAATCGATGACAATAATATTAACAATGATTATGTCGACGTATATCAAAAATTCATTTTATCAATGAAATCCAAGGGAGTTCTTTACGTGCCTTCTACCATCCCCCATCCCTTTCCGTCATCATAATTTTCGCTTATGAATTTAAAAATTAATTCTCTATACTATGACGCGATATAAAAGAAACTTAGAACGAACGGATCCATTAAATGAAAAGAAAGATTCAAAGAGATAGAAAGATGCCGATGAATTAATGTACATTTATTTACGTGAACTTTGACTCCTTTGCTTCAGCCTGACCTCAGAATAGACTGCTCGACTGTTTGTGTGTGTGTGTGTATAAATGTGTATATGTGTGTGTGTGTGTGTGTGTGTGTAAATACATCCATTAAATCTAATACTTCTTTTTCTTTTTCATGGAGAAAATATAATACATGTTAAAAACGAAATATATTCTTTTTCTATTAAAGCGCGATGAGAAAACAATTTTAAGATTATTGGGATTTCTTAATTGACAGGAGAAAGTGTGACGATACTTAAGTTGAAATATTTTTTGAAAACTTTCGTTAGACTTTTAAAACGATCATTGTGACAGTAATTAGAAAATTTAGACAAGATCTAAGGAGAATCAAAGTTTCCTTATTTTTCTACTTTTCTTTTCTGTATTTTTTTTTCTTTTTTTTTTTTTTTTTTTTTCATTATCTAATAGTAAAATTTTTATTAATTTCTTGCTTTTATCGTCTAACGAAAACTGTATATATATATATATATATACATAAAAAAAAATGTTTCTCTCGGACGACCCGACATCGTGCACTCTCACCTCTTCTTTACGTAAGAATCATTATAAGATACAACGTTCATACGAGAACATTTCTGACTGAGAATGCGATAAAGGTTTCGAACTTCACCTAAATTCGGAAATTTTCGTCTAATAACTCGATCATTATTTTTGCTTTAATATATTAGTCGAAAGGAAGGAATTTTACATCGTTTGCAAATATAACGATAATGTAACTGGCTAGATGAAATATATGAATTTCGAAAGAATTTCAAACGATTTCTTTAAAGAAAAGATATTTATTTTCGAGAGAGATTTTGAAAGGGGAATGAATGCTGGTAAACAGATTCGGGTCGAAGTACGAATTAGTGAGTCACATAATCGAGGAACTTGACGAACTTTATGAAACGTACTTCGTACTATTTGATCTCAGTCTATTTTCATAAAATATCTATTTTAAATAGGATGTAAAAAGGAGATAAGAAAATTGCCCTCTCGAGTTAAATGATCATCGCAAAAGTCTAACGTAATATTTTAAAAAATGACGAAGAAAATAATAAAAAAAAAAAAAAAAAAAAAAAGAAAAAATAGCAAAATTCAATGAGGAAGGAGATCACTTGCATTTTAACGTCAATCGTGACGAGCGATTGAGTGACTCAAGGGACAAGTGACGCAGCGAACAAGTGTTTAAATAGAAATAATGGCGACCCTGGACGATCGTTCGAACCGATAAAATTCAAACGTATTCCGAGACTACGACAGCGACGAAGGTAACCGAATAGACGAGCGAAATTTATTAGTTAAAAACTCACCGTTCTTCTTCTTTCTTACATTCGTTCTTTTCTAAGAAAACTTTTTCAATAATTCTCAAATACTATTACATATTAAATGTAGAACATTCTCGTAAACGAGAAAAAATTTATGAAGATATGTTTCATAACTAGTTCGTTTCATAAAACGAACTTGCTATAAGGGTCATCGCTATTTGAATTGTTTATTCGTATTAGCAGCAGCGCTGATGTAAGATAAGGAGATGCGAACGATTTTAACGTTTTTGCGATATCACATGAATTTTTGATAACAAATAAGATAGATCGATGTTTTTGTCAAAGAATTAAAATTTTCATAGTCCTTTCTGTGACCTTCGACGATTGATCGTGCGCTATATCGTAAGGGAAAAATTTTGAATCGAATACGTGAGACACCTTAGAAAAAAATTGAAAAAGTAATACCAAAGATGATAACACAAAAAGATCGATAATTCGACGATTAACAAAAGGAAAAAGGATCATGGTGAACGAGAAACGACAAAATTAAATTCATGAACGGCAGTTGATCGTTTACGCACATCAATTGCTGTACCAGCGGCTTGTACATAACGACAACGATGGTTGCTTTATCGCACGCAGGGGCGACGTTATCACTCTGATACTCAACGTATATACATTCCCCGCGAGCAGCCCCCGGTCTCCAGTAACTCGCGGACCACCGGCCCAGTTCACGCAACACGCTTTCGGTAACACGATGACACCGACATCGATTCGCGGTATTAACTCCTCGTAAGATCTTCCAATCGAAATAGAAGCAATAAGGGCAAGAAGAAAAGCAAATGAAAATTAGAGAAGATTAACGATTACGTCAAAGGAATTAATCATTTAAATTACTCACCAAAATCACGATGTCGGTACTTGGTCACTTCGGGTTCTCCACAGTCGTCACTTCTTCTTCTTTTCATTTTTCTCTTTGGAAGTGTCCAAATCAATAGAAAAGTAGTAAATCACAATGAAAATTATAACAACCAGCGTGCTCATCAAATGAATTACTATCAGCGTTTCGTCTTTTATCCCTTTCCCTCCAATAGAAAACTAGATTTACAAGCTAACCTTCTCGTTCTCTTATCCTTCCTCTCTGTCTCTCCCTCTCTATCACTCTCTCTCTCTCACACACACACACACTCTCTCTCTCTCTCTCACTCTCTCTTTCTTTCTATCTATCAATTTCTCGCTTATTTCTCTCGGATGATATCTTTCGAGACGTTCAAAGCAAAAGAGAGAAACGTAATGAGTAAATATTAAAGCTTGCGTGAGTACCGATCGACGAGTCGTTGAAAATAAAATTTCTTTACTCGCTCGTTCTAATACGAGACTCTCTCGTTGGCCACTGCTCTATGATCGAAAGCGGAGCTCGTGTATATTATGTACATAGAGCCCGAGCTGTGGCGAACGTGGCGCGAGCACCAAAGAGAAAAAGAAAGGGAAGAAGAGAGAGAAAGAAAATAGGGAGAGAAATAAAGAGAGAGAGAGAGAGAGAGAGAGAGAAAGAGAGAGAGAATAGAAGAGAAAAGGAAGTATTGGCTAACTGAAGGAATAGAGAAAGAGAGAAAAAGAGAGAGAGAGAGAGAGAAAGAGAGAGAGAGAGAGAAAAGTAAAGACAGAGAAAGAAAATGAGAGGAGGGGGTGAACTCCACGAAGCGAATACTTAGGTCAGACTCAAGTTGGAGAGGGGAGAGAAATTGATGCCCACCACGTCCTACTTGGTAAGGTAGTGGGCATGGCGCGAATCGAGCTGGGAGAAACGCGTTCTTCTTGCTTCTGCGCGCGCATAAGTCTCTTATCAGTTAGAAGTTCAAAGAGAGAGAGAGAGAGAGAGAGAGAGAGAGAGAGAGAGAGAAAGAGAGAGAGAGACATGAGAGAGAAAGAGAGAAGGGAGGGAAGAAGCGTAGCCAAGACACCCTCTCGCTCTTCAACGTTTGAACATTGGACATAACATATATATATATATATACTATTTATATATATTTATTATTTTTTTTTTTTTTAATGATGTCAAAGTAAAAAACAAAGGAATAAGGCTGAGAAAGTCATTAAATCATTGTTTTCTTCCTGCATTACATACTTCTCGTATTCAACACTTTTGTTAGTACGTCTATAAAAAATTAAACATATATATTAGAAACATATAAATTAAACATATAGATTCGATATGTTTATTTTGTTGTTATCACGAAAATTTTTTAGAAGATAATTTTAAATTGTATTATGTGAATAACAATAGTAAATAACCAAGTATTGTTATTGTTCGCTATTTTTCTTACCTTTGCTGTCTACATTCGCTTCGAAATATATTTACCATAGAAGAAAGAAAGGAATCTTATCGATGAGATCTATAATGATAAAATTGACATGTCCGTAGATCTTAGTATGATTCACAATTTGTTTGTCAACAAAGTACTTCCAAAACATTTCGAAAATAAATGTCATAAAACATCTTGTTTTCTTGCTGTATTGTTCCATTTCTATTTGAAACATAAAAATATGTTAAAACCGAATATAATAAAGTGAAGTACTTAAAAGATTTTAGAATGAGTCACAATAACAAACAGTGGCGGATTTACACGGACAAATAGTGGAGGCGATCGTTTCGTGTGTTCGTTCTCTACATGACAATATAAATATAAATTTACAATATTATATATAAATATATCATATAATAAATTTAATTTAATACCCGATGGCTGGCATATAATTCTTATTTCTATTTATATTGATTTACATTTAATAGAAATCCAAAAATTTGTAACACCTCAAATCCCTTGAAAATTCAATCCGCCATTGGTAACAACCCTATTCCTCATCGTTTAAAATTATTCACATATTCTCAACATAATTGCTAACAAGCCTGATGCAAATTTTGACATGTTTTGATATCAGTGAATACCGAATTGGAGACCAAGGAAAATAAACGATCGATACTTTATAAATATAATTTATAAGAAATTTTCTTAATGAATAGATGGATATGTAATATAAATATTCACTTATTATTTAAGATAGATTCACAAACTCTATTGCTCTATCTAATAGCCTATCGATTAAAAAATCACGTCGCTAAATATTCAAATTTATGATATATAAATTACAGCAGCGAGGATCGTCATTTTCTTATCGAACTGTCTAACGTAACATGCATTCTGATTGTCGCAGATGTATTCTGTAACGTGACCCTGCAAAGTCGCACTTTCGAGCACGTTGCGTACGTACATACATACGTACATATATATATGTATATATACATATATATATAAATTTCCATGTATGTCAGGTACGACATCGATTCCTGGCATTGTGAGCGTTCAAATCACCCCGTACCACCATAATCTCAAATATACGAATATTATAACTATCTACTTTTAAGTGGGAATATCAAGTTCTTCTTTTAAGATTGTAAATATCCATTGACATACTTTTATCTTTAACAAAAACGATTATAATTATTAATTTCCATTATCCTTAACAGAATATATATTTCATATCTTATTTTTATATTTCATTAAATAAAATCTTAATATTTATGAATGTATCTTTTTTATGAAGAATTAATCTTTTTATTCAAATTATTCTCAAACGATGATACTACCGATTTGTTATATCAAAATGATACAAAAAAAAAAAAAAAAAAAAAAAAAACAACAAAAGGATGATACCAAGAAGATATCAGGATGGATGATAGTACTATAAATTTGAAATTCGATGAACACCCAGTAGATGAAATTATAGGTAAAGCGCATGCACATAAAGGAGTAAAACGTTAACTGTGGTAGTAACATCAACTAGAAACGGTAATAATGCCTGACCCTTGTCGAAGAAACGTCGTTATGGAAGTCTAAGAACGAGCGAAGAACTTTGCTTTGTACTCGACGCCAAGTGGTTGTTCGCACACTGTATCCGTCTATACTCATTTATATTGCCTCTAAACAATTTCCATACTAATCGTTCATTGTTTCTCTTCCGGTTTTCTAACTAACGTAACGCGTCTTATACTCGTTTCATTTGATCATATCGAGAACGATCTCGTTTACCTTCTCGTCTCTCGGCTCGATCGCTAATATGAAAAACATTTCGAATATTGGCAATTATAAGTTTACGACGAGAGCCGAGAAAGGAAATTATACATACACAATGCATAACAAAAAATTGATTTTAACGAGTATATAATAATTCCAAAGATGTCTACTGATGGCGCCTCGAACCAAACGAATGACTTTTTTATCATCGTCTTTTAGATTTATTCCCTCTTTCTTTCTCTCTCTCTCTCTCTCTCTCTCTCTCTCTCTCTCTGTAGATAACTTATCGATTAAAATTATTCACCACCTTTTGCTCATAGCACATGTGACTTCAGCAATAGGTATGGAAAAAATATGAACCAAAAGTGTAATAAAGTAATATTTTATTAAAGTTTTTCAATGCATTTCTCAGAGAAATTATATTAAAATTTTACTATATCTGATCTATTTATTTATTCAAATATGATCATCAATATAAATTGTAATTACTTTAATGTTTAGTTTAAAATTGGGGGGGCGGGGTGGGGGGGGGGGAAGGAAAAGAACTTTTGAAAACAAGCATTGAAATATGCAGCTATTCGCCCGGTAATACTTGCATTATATAATAATCTAGATATAGATTCTGATAAATTGCAAGTAATACCGACCCAGGTCTCACCACGTGGAGGTTGCTGCATCTGGAGACCCATGGGCTGATGGTAACTTAACTCTAAAATCCGATAACATGTCGCTTAACAAAAATTTAAGACCTATTGTATATGCTAACTGGATGAGTATTAATTCCCACTTACGAATAGCAGAATCGTTGGATAGCTTTAAGAGATTTTAACTATTACTATTGGACACCAACATTCGTGTTTTTCAAATTTCGAACATTTAAATGGAATAGACGATAGGACTAAATCGCACCAATAAATATCTACGCTTGTGCTTGCACCAACGTGCTTGCAAGTATTCTACTCATACGGAAGAAAAGAATTATTCTCAAAGAAAACAGACAAATAAAAAGTTAATTTAAACAGTTCTTTATAGATCCACATATTATTTACTAATACCTAAAAAGAAAGAAAAAAATTGATGACTTGACTTTAATACCCCGATTATTCCGAAGATGAGTGCATAAATAAACAAAAGAAAGAATGTCGCAGAATGAGCTCGATTTGAATAGAACGTAACACATTACTTCGGGAAAGAATTAAAAGCATTCCAGATTCTAAAATATGGAAGAAAATCTAAAATCCAAATTCAATCCTAATGCAATCATGAAAAGGAAAAATCTAGGATCTATGGATAGAAATGATTACTGCCTTTACTGCTGAGAAATATATTTTCATCGAAATACTGAGAAACCATAGAAAGAATAAATATGGTAATTATTATATTAATTATAGAAACTTCTAAAAAATAATTAACTTATTTTAAATATTACGAGCTATGATTCTATATGTTTCTTTATTTTTTATCAATAACTCTACTTGACTGTTTTCAGATAAAAAAAAAAAATAAGAAACCATTCACGAATGAATTACTCCAAAAAAAAAAAAAATAAATAAAATAATTACTCGTGATCACTTAATGCTCTTCTATTAATTAATTATGATCAATTGTCCTTGCCGTAAAAATTCACTTAATATTTAAAAAGTTCTACGATAGCTCCAAAGTATTCATCTACGATTGAGGTCGAAATACAGGTTGGTTGATTCCTCTAGGATAGCTAAATTTACTTCACTAAATTCTAATGTTTTTTATAAATACACTCTGTACGACTGTTAAAATAACAAAAAACTTCGCTTTTCTAACATAACGTAGAAAAAATGAACCTAATGACTGCATTACACTCAGTCGATACGAGTACATTTGTTATTTAAATTATATCCCATCGGTATATCTATGGTGATCACGTATCCAAATTATCAAAGACATGTGAAAAATCATTACGCAAGGTAATCAAAGATGAAATGCTCCTAAAAAGTGTTTCTAGGACATTAGCGAATAAATTGGCTATATTTTATTTTGTGATTTAATTATAAACATATTCTTTCTTCTTCTTATCATTATTATTATCTTTTGATATTATATATTATTATCATAGTAATAATAATAATAGTAATAATAATAATATAAAGTGGATTACTCCTACAGAGGAAACAAAAAAAAAAAGAAAAAAAAAAAAAAGAAAATATTGCCAAGAGTTTTGTAAAAATAATATATAATATATGCATACAAAAAGAACAAATTAGTTTATTATGTTCGTTTACATTGATAAAACAAAAAAAAATGGACGGAATCCATCCAACTTCGAACCAATGATTCCTGAATTATGAATTTAAATGCTCATCATTCTGCTGAACATTTCTGATAGGATTTGTACATTTGTATATAAAATATAAAAGGAATTACAAATTGTTCTAAAATTTAACAGCATCTTAAAAACTCTGACCCATTGAACGACATGACACGTATTTCCTTATTTTTGTCATAAAATTATCTAATCAAAATTTATTAAAATATCTGAGTAAGTATCGTAGCTTTTCCGTATAAATATCGCGAAATGAATTTCCTTAATTCGTTTAGAATGAATCAGAAAATCTGAGAATCAGTTTATATAAAAATCAGTAGTAGGAACGCTTTTTCTCTTTTGTCGTAAAGTTCAAGGGATGTAGGTAAATGGAACTTTTTTTTTTTCACGAAAAATATCAAAAACAGTGTTTACGTCTATTGTGAGTTCAGACGTAATTCTTGAGCGATTTTGATGAATAAGATCTCATTTTAAAGTTGAAGATTCAAACGAGGACATGGCTTTTCCAAATTTTTTAAAACCAAGGGTAATGAACAAACTTAAGCGAGAAAATCTTATAAAATATTTACATCGGTATTATAGGACAAATATATACGAATGTAAATTATGATGAATGAAATAGTATACATATTATATATATATATATATATATATGCATATATATATATATATGCATATATATATATATATATGTATTTATGTATGTGCGAACTATTTCGTGTGTCATTTTATAGATTAAGAAAAATGTATTAAACTGTTACACAGTATAACATCCAGTATCAAGCAAAGTGTAAACTAATATGATATGCTTTTTTTTCATCACTAATATAAGTACCTCGGTAATCCATTGACGAATTGAAAGATTATACGCGTTAACTAAGTTATCGTATTATTTCATTCATATAAATCATGGTATTACTAATGTGAGTTATAAAATTGCCTAACATGATACATATTTTGAATGATCACGTTACAACTACTCACATAATTAGAAATATACAATGAATTTATTCATGATCGTTAATTTTCTACTATTTGTTTATACTCTTTCACTTTTCTATTACCTTAGTAACAAAATTGTAGGAGACATATAAATATGTAAAACCAAGAGAATTAACTGCATTTTTTATTTAACAATAATTCGAAAATTCACTCTCTTACGTAACTCGTTAACAATATACACAAAATCTCTTTACTGCAAAATCTAAGCAAAATAAATCTTTATAAATCTTTTTAAAAAATAATGCAATCACAAAAAAATACTCAAATATGTAAGACATTTCATATTGTATTTTATTTACCTTTTTGTTTCATCTTTAACGATTTCTTTCACGGTATCGATAAAATTTTACTTGGATAATTGATAAAGTAATAAAACTTAAAAAGAATTTATGTGTACGCATATACGATTAACATATAACAGCAATTTTGCTAACATTGTAAGAAATGTAAAATATTACATATTCTTATATTGCAACAATGCATTTATACATGATTTATAATCATAATTCATTATGTATAATTCATTGATATTTTATGTATTAATAAATAAATTATATATATATATATATATATATATAATATCTATTGTTTCTTTAAAGTATTAATTACAAAAAAATATATTTTCAATAACTTTGTAACCTAAGAAGATTCTCGTTACGTAACATTTAAGCATCAAAGATATCTGTACAATATTTTTTGTACGTCTTACCAACATAATATTTGTAATCTCTATACTTTCATATTAATGAATTATAACTTGGTTGAAAAAACTCAATTTGGGATATAGATAATGATTCTCCAGAAATCTTTCGATACCAACACACGGATATTTATGTACATTTTCGTTTTTACAAATCCACAAATGCAGTGAATATTTGTTTTTACTTGAAATTGTAACAAAAATTCTATAAATGCAGTGATAGAAATAGTAATTTGATGTGTTGTGACTTTGGAATATTTTATAATTCACTGGCTCTACAGTGTGAATGTTTAATACAAGTGAATGTTTAATTATATACTCGAATAATATACCTTTACTAAAGATGTATAATAAATGATGGATGAGAGACTGAGAAAAGATACTAACTTTGCATCATAAATGCTAGTTACATTGTTATCTTTAATAACACGGCAGTAAAGCACTGCTCTTTCCATTCGTATGATAAAAATTAATTACGTAAACTAGCGCAACTCTTAGCCAATAATAAGGCCACAACCAAGTCTAAACTGTTGTTTGCTATGATTGAGCATACCACTAAGTGCAAAAGAAAATGGCAATGGTTGTAATTTCTTTTCTAAAACTGCTCCCACCGTCCAAGTTGTATCAACACTTCCTGAAATATTTTCAAAAGTTAATATAAATATAAAATAATTACATTTTTAGTAGAGAATGATATAGAGAATATATCTTACCTCTAAACAATAAATCTGCTTTAGGTAAATCAACTTGATAAGCAATGGTACCTGTAGACTCTTGTAATCGTGCATTAATTTCCAATTCTACACCTACTTGCAAATTCTGACTAGCTTTCTGATGAAAACAAACGTGACAACCCGCCAAACCTGATTCAAGAAAAACATCAAATTATAAAGAAACTGATCAAATATTAACATTATTAATGATATATTAACCTAAACTACAGCTAATAGTAGACTCTCCGTTTGTATATCTGCCAGCAGCTGACACAACAACAATTTGTCCTCCAGGTAATCCTGGTCCACGTTGATATGCAAGTTCACCTCCCAGAGCAATAGATGGAGTTATGCTTTGAAGATAGTGCATAACTAAAACGCCTAAAAAACATTATGTCATTAATATTATTCACTGTTAAAATACAAATCAATTAACACATTACTATCATATATACACATGCTTATATACTTACCAGATCCATTAAGTATATCCGGATTACCTACTGTAAGAGAAGCTGTGTAAGCATCACCGCGATAATCATTTGTCATTTGTACTGCAGTAAATTTACTTCTTTGTACTTGAACAGCTACCTTTGCCCTTAATCTCTGCCCTATTTGATGAATTATATTAGCATTGAGATTTCCAATAGGATCAATATCACCAAATAAAACAGGATAAGCTTCTGTAGGACATATCTGCTTAGTACCCACATAAGTTGCACCAAACCTGAAATATGAGATATGTTTGCATAATTATTGTCATTCAAATAAATATTCCCAATCGACTTACTTGTATCCAGACGGTGTAACCGAACTCATATTAATTGTATGTGAAATCTGAAAGTGATTACTAAGGCCTTTATTCAACATCAACTTAGCTCCTTCAAAATTAACAGGGAGCACATCTGTAAAAAGTTCAACGGGTTTTAAAGAAAAAAAAAAAAAAGGAGAGAAAAAGGAATTAATGCAACAGACCATAGATATATATTTTCTGTTACAAAATTCAAGCACGAGTAAGGGCAGAAGAAAAAAATATTGTTAATGAAAAGAACGGCTATTTTTTCAATACTTAAATATGGCAAAATAAAGAAAGAATTAAATTTTATGTCATAAAAATATGAAAACCGGTGGAAGTAAATAATTATAAGATATCAAAGTACCATAATAAAATGTATTTTAAAAAATACCTTTGCATTTCTTATGAAGATCCTCGATCGTGCCAGGATTTTCAAGGTGTTCCGTTGTCGGAGCAGTCGTGACCCCGGTTGTGGAATCTGTTTTTTCTAGCTGAGGAAGTTCAGGAGCTGATGTTGGAGGCGGAGGTGGTGGAGGAGCAGAAGTAGCCGACACGTTTCCCATTTTTTCGAATTTCCTTACTTTATTCCAACAAGTTTCTCACACTTTCCTCGACCTACAATCTATATAAATAATGTTATTGAGAATGTTAAGTCTTGCTAATTCTTCTACCGTTTACTTACGCGAAAGCAATCAATCTACTCTGGCGGTTATAAAAGTCGGCGTGTTTCACCGTAAGTCGCCATTTGTAAAGGAGGACAACCACTGCCACTTAGACCACGAGTTTCCTCTTTTCCTCGCAGCGTTTTACATTACTTTCATAGATCAAGCGTTTTACGCCTATGTTCATACATATTTTTTTCTCTCTAAAATTTCTATCTATATAATATAAATAAATTCAACATTTTCAAAATAATAATTGAACGATCGTATTATTCATAATTTCATTAAAATAATTATTAGTCGATTTTTAAAATCACTAGAAAATATGATACTTTACATTTTTATCCAATAGAATTTGTTAATAATCTAGGGAAACAATAGGGTTAAATGAAGCATTTCTATTGGCTTGAAAACTAGTCGCCATATCTTATAATCGATTATTACGAAGGTTCATTGATTTAAATATATTTCTATTAATTATACATAATAGAAAATATGAAATAAAATATGGAATGAAACATGAAATAAATATTAACAATTTACACATATGATGTTTATTATATCTTATTTTATGTAAACTTTGTACAGAGAAATATATTCACTCAACATATTTTATACAAATCTTGAGGCAATAGCGAGCAACTTTGTATAATCTGCTCCTTTGCTATGAGTTTTTTCTTTCAATAATGTTCTTAATATATGGGGTATTGGTACATGTATTCGTGTACCTAAAGGTGTTCCATTGTCATCTATGAGAACTATATTATTAGAATCAAATTTTGGTATTTTTGGATTTTGATTTTGCTTTAAGCCAACTAATATGCCTTTCTTCTTTTCACCTTTTATAGCGACTAATACTCTGTCACCTTTATTAGAATAAAATATTATCTTACTATACATTTAAAAATATAATTACATTAAATATAATTAATACCATTTTCCTTGCTTACCAATATACCCAACTCCTACTTTATTATAAACATGAATACAACGTGGTGGTTTTCCTTCTAACATAGCTTTTTTTCCTATCTCACTGTTATCGACAACTCTTAATCGAGTTAATTTAATAATTTGATTGGAAGTAGCAGAAGTGCTAATGCTTCTTGACCCAATATTCAATGCAACACTGTGCAGTAACATGATGATTCAAAGACACCTTGATAATGAAAATAGATTCTAATATGTTATATGTCTGCAATAATTTAAACTTAGACAAAATTAAATTACAAATATTAAAACTACATTACAATGATCTAAACTTTGTAAATAATAATTACATGAAAAACATATGTCTCTTTATACGAGTAAATTATTTTCATAAAAATATTAAATCAATATAATTATACTTGTATTTTTAAAATATCTGATACATTCATTTAGAAGAACTAATATAACCTCATTTTACCTTGTTCAGTAAAGTGAATACAAGAAGATACAACAGGAGCTTAAGTGCTGCCATCTAACATTAGATTAAAAGCAGAGACCAAAAAGTAATATTCTTTCAAGGTTGTTCACCTTTTGTTGAAAGCATGTGTGACTTTAGCGACAAATATGGACAAAATATAAACTACGAATCAAGCGGGCAATTATTGTTTCCGCCATGTGTAAATCGTATCGGTGTATAAGTTGTGTTAGCGCATAAAAATTGATTTCGTGTGGATTAGAGTAAGTAATTTAACAAACTGTGGATTTACACTTTTCAATCTCTCATATGTATATCTTTTTTTTTTTTATATGTATATCTTTTTGAGCATGCGTCTTGCGATGATCCGTGCTATATACAATGTCATTTGTTTCAAGATAAAAGCATAAAGAATGATAAATATAATAAACACATATGATAATTAGTATATAAATTTACGAATTAAAAGAAATTATCTTTCAATGTAACCATATCTTATCTATTTCTCTGTAGAAGTATTATTGGCAATGTAAAGTATTAATACTTCAGCGTTTAATCAGAATTAATTTGAAGAGATTTTGAAAATACATTGAAATATGCAGCCATGCGCCTGGTAGTACTTGCCTGATTTACAATTAGATTTTAATATATCGCAAGTATTATCGACCCAGGTCTCACTACGTGGAATTTGCTACATATGAAGATCCACGGGCTAACGTTGACTCTACTCTAAAAGCAATGTTTCTAAAATTAACTGATCCGCAATGCTTTAGGCTTCTCAACTAAAAGGAGATATATGAGACTCCGCTTACGGATAGCTCCACTGTCTGACATCGTCAGCTTCAGTGCTAATGGATTATTAAGCACAACTGTTCGTGCTTTCCGAATTTCGAACAATAACAGTGCAATCCCCGGTAGGACTTCTAACTACAAGATCCATGTTTGGGCCCACCAAAATACTCATGCGATTATTCTCCTATCCTTCTCGTATTCTTGCGTAAAAATCGATGATAAATCGAGCTATTCGACAATACAATCAAACACATCTGATCGCAAATGAATCTATCCCTCGATGGATCCCTCGATGATTCCTGAAAAAGAAGAAGAGAAACTCTACACAATGTTGAGACAATAGCCCGTACAAAGGCCCACACTCATGGGCCTTATCGATGGATCCCATTCGAGACTTACAAATAATAATTAATATCAGTAAATAAGAAAGATAAATGAGATAGAAAAAAGAACCGGAGAAATAAAAGAATAGGAACGCAGCTCTACTGAGATAGGTAATTCTCACAAAGGTCCACACCCATGGGCCTTACCCATGAATCCCGTTTTAGTTTTCACGTTTAGAAAGAGAAAGTTTCGATGTTTATTAGATCGATAAATATCAAAGTCTGTCAAACATTTGTTTTTGTTGATATTAAATGTGATCAATGATTCAAAGATCAAAATTTAATTTCATTGAAATATCTAATTTAATGAATAACTACAGTTCAATAAGTTTTTATCTGTATTTTATTGCACATATTCTGTTTCACAAGCAGTGTGTTGTAAATGTTAAATGTTGTGGACTGACAAAAGGCATAAAATTCAAACGGGGAGAAAAAGAACTAAAGTTAGGTGAACAAAATTGAGTACAAGGTATAGTAAATAATGGAGAACAAATCTTTTTTCCATCTTTCCTATCAACAGCTATTCCAGCGGCACCTAATCCTCGACCTTTTTGTTTCTTCATTGCTTCCTTTAAAAGACGAATCCTTTCTTCATAAAGATTATCGATGTTAGCAAGGATCTGAGCATCAGCGGTATCCAAGCTCTTTTGTTTAGATTTGTTCTTCTTAGATTCTTCTTTCCCGAGACCTTTCAATGCGGCAGCTTCAGCAGCACTAGCAGCTTCAGCAGCTCTAGCAGCTTCAGCAGCACGAGCTTCTTCAGAAACACGAATAGCTTCCGATGCACGAGCTATTTCAGCAGCACGGGCAGCTTTAGCAGCACGAGCAGCTTCAGCAGCACGAGCAGCTTCAGCAGCACGAGCAGCTTCAGCATCTGCTATCATTTGGGCTAATATTTTTTTCTCTATCTTATCCTTTTCACAATAACACTTTAACTTCTTTAAAAGTGCCGGTGGTAAATAGGATTGACTACCCCAACAACCAGTCTTAAGATTCTCTGATGTTAATTCGCGTAATTGGTAAGGATATCCTTCAACGTTATCCTTACGGCAATGAAATGCCGTTTTTATACCTCTACTATTCTCGAATTCAGTGATAACGCAATTACCAAGATAAGTGATACGTATATATATTTTTATTGTTGCATCAGTGTTCTTTAAGTCGTCGTTTATCAAAGTGTAAGTTCCTACCAATGATCTATAATTTTAATCATTGTCAAATTATTTCATTGTAATAAATGTTTGAAGAAAATAAATTATAATTGAGTAATACCTTGAAATAGGCTCGTTTTCATGAGAATTGCATAAATATAAACCAAGTTCTTTACGTTCTTTTAACTCCTTGATAATGGCATTAATCAAATGATCGACTCTCAATAATATGAATCCAATATTTTCGCAGGAATCAAGCTCGAAATAATCACATATCTCTTTAAATACGTAAATTTGAATATCGATAGCACTCATAGGTTTTTCTAAAGACGATTCAGGCAAGGCGAAAACTACCGAACGTCCACCATAAAATCGTTCGTTCTCATAATTCGAACCACGATAGGAACAATAATCGCGGCGATTTGGTAAAAGCTCGGTCCAATCCTCATCCAAAAAACGAAACATTACCGTTACCTTTTTCAAAATTGCTTTGTCAAAGATGGAATTCCACGGTACGTGCAACTACGACAAGCGAAAAATTAATATCATATGAAATTTTGACGGGAAAAATTATCAAATTATTTTTTCGATCTTACGTTCTCAACTGCGAATTCTAACATCATGATCCGTTGATCGTGTGCTACGATCAATGAAGACATCGCGTTTTGAATTTTAAAGTTTGTCAATTTTAAAATTACATTACACTTGATTTAATTTGATTGTGTTACCGAGAAGATTGTACTTTTTTTTTTTTTTTTTTTTTTATTAATAATTTTTAAAAAGCCATTTTTTCTTTGTAAGAATTCAGTATTGCTGTTTGAAGCAATGTCATTGAATTAGTTTGAAGGTCGATGGCAATCATTCATCGATACTTACCGATATTATAGACAATCGATTGTTGTTCCATCGCGATAATTATTTAAATGTTATATTTACTTACGTCTTTTACATATCTATTATATGAGGTTCACAAAAATTGTGTCACTTATTCGTCCATTTCTTACGAGTTATTTATTTCTTAATCGTCTACATAATGTGAAGATTGATTCGTTTAATCTCCTTAAATTATGCGTATCTATTATTAGTAATAAAAAGTAAAAGATAACAAATCAGTCATTGAAAATGATTCTCTTAACTCAAGGAAGATAAGGATAATCTCGTTAAACGGACTAGAATCCTAGAAACTTGAACAATCCTCGCAAAAAAAAAAATATATATATATATATCTTAAATTTGAGAGCTTAGAAATTATAAAAATAATAAAAATTGATAAATACCTCGCGGTATACAGTCGTGTTATTAATTATCACGTAAATTTAACATTATTTTAAATGTTCTATTAAAAATATTTTTTCACACGTTCATATTATATAATAAAGATTTTTCTTTCTCTCTTTCCTTTTTCTTCTTCAAATGAAACATACAAATTCATAAGTGCAATTCTAATTAATTATATTTGCCGATATTTTTAATGTGCAAAGATAGATATGTACTTCGTATATTTAAAATGATAGTATCGATACATCATCGAGCTTCATATATTGTAAAGCGACTCTTTCTTAATCAATAGCAATACGATAAAGCACAATTTTTCTTTTTAATTTTTTTTGTTTTTTTTTAAATTTTTTTTTAAATTTTTTTTTTTTTTTTTTTTTTTTTTTTTTTTTTTTTTTTTTTCGATAGAAAAATTGCAAACAAATTACGTGTAACAGCGCCCATATTGATTTTATTAAACGTTTATTACATCATCGTTGAGAATGCAATTCCGAAGCACAACCGTGTTATCTAACGTTGTACACGCATATACATATACGAACGAATAAGGCGCAAGCCGAGAAAAACTATGTATCTTTAATCAATAAAAAATAATTATATAGAGCAAGTCGTACGTATAGAGTAAATTCTTAATTATAATTCGACGACATCGGCGAGACATATCTTTTGTTTTTCTTTTTTTTTTTTTTTTTTTCCTTTTTTAAGATTATCATTTGAAAATCATTGGTGTTTTAAATGTTTTACGAGGAATCTCTTCTTTTTTTTCTCTCCCTTTTGAAGATTGAATTTTAAATTTGCAAAAACACATGTACACGATACATACCATCATACACGCGTTTAATTAAATCTTCCATACTTAAAATCCTTTCACACATTTTTTCATATCTTCCACTTCTTAATACCTCTTGCCACACAATTTCACAAATTTCTCTTTACGAAGGAACACTGTATCGTGTTAATTTTTTTTTTCTTTCTTTTTCCTTTATATATATATATATATATAGTTATTTTATAGTATTCAAAAAAATGATGCATTCATTGTAACATTCAAAACCGTTTCGCGCGCAATAAAAATTCGATAAGATTTCATTTATAGCATTAATGATGAAAAAATTCACTTTTTCGAGCATGCATCGCTCTAACAAGATATGATATACGTTAATTCGAACATATCAAATATGTAGATAGTTTTGTCCAAACCTATATCTCTCACGACCGATTAGTATTGATAGACGAAGATTTGACACCAGAAGCGTTTAGCGAATTTTTCTATTATTAGTATTATTGTTATTATTGTTATTGTTATTATTATTATTATTATATTATTATTATTATTATTATTATTATTATTATTATTATTATTATTATTATTAGTCTAATTATTATTATTATCAAGACGAATAATATATTGTCCAACGTGAGATCGCTTAACACATGTTTGTCCCATTGACTTGATGGTGAATTGAAAAAATTGTTTAAGAGGACAGTTCAAGTATTTTGAGAACGTACGATATCAAATATTATTAACAAAAGTATATAATAAAGAGTTATAAGATAAATTTAATAATATTTCGAAATTTTCACGTAATTATGGAGAATATGATAAACGAAGGTTTAAAAAACTTGCGACTAATTCTACATTTTCGTTTCTTTTGTTTGAAATTCGTATTTTCTTTCATCTAACTTTTTTTTTACTATGCATATTGTGCCATCGCATCGTTAGTGACGAAAGAATCACAAGGAAATATATATATATTTTTTTTTTTCTTTTTAGTCTTGTACCACAAATACTAAAACTTTCTTACATACATTCCAGTTATATTACAAAAATTAAAATCAACATCGGTATAATTGGCGTACAGCACTATCTCACATCAAAGAATGGACTGCAATCTTCATTTGAATTGCACACGAAGGGATGCCTCGAGTGACATTATTAACATTTAACTGTGGATTAACAGCATGATATTTTAAAAATATAGACATTTCATAAAACAAAATATTAAGAAATAGAAGCTTCGACGCTTATCGACACAGGTATAGTGCAACTATAAACAGAAACGTTCTTTGCACTTTACGGAGAAAATAAACGATTAACATGCTCGTTGCATAAAATTCAGGCTACTTTGTGTAATATTATTCGGAAATTTCTTTAAATTCTATATAAAATATGATTAATATAGTAAATCCAAAAATGGCAGCCGTTACATGATGAAGACACACTCACTGTATATCATATAATTTACTACTGACTATTTTTTTTCCTTCTTAATCACCACTTCCCATAATTTTTTTATAAACATGATTAATGTTGTTAAGGAGGAAACAACAATTAGTAGTAAGTTATATACCGATACAATAAGTCTTTCATATGTGTTACTAGTGGTTAAGGAGGAAAAAAATATTGCAAATATATAAGAAAGAAAGAAAAAAAGGAGAAAACACGAAAAGTACAAGTACTCGAGTGCACTATAAAAGTGTCGGGGCCTAATTCTCGTGCAAATTCTTATGAGCTTCGTGAACATTAGCAACAAAACTTACGCACAAATGATTGAACAACTATACAGAGTGACTTATTATTAATTATGCAAGGAGTACTGGTACTGGCTCGCAGATATAATAAACGGGAGATGCACTTGGATGATTTACTGTGTCCTTGTTTTTATGATAGTAAAAAAATGTTAATACTCTTCTTCGTCGTCAGGGGCCAACCCATCTCCCTCTAATTCTTCCGGCGGTGCAAATCCATCCTAGAAAAATATTAAACCATTTCTAAGCGCAAAATTAATTATCTAAGCGCTTCATCCTCTGTTATAAACATATATAGTAAACGGTTAAAATTGTCTTTTCTATTACTACCATATACGATAGGATATTATTTGATTTTTTTAAAAATCAGAATACTAAAAACATAAATCACCTAATCAATTTGAAAACTAATTACTATTTTCAAAAAGTAAGGTATATAGTATTATTCAATAATATACAGCTTTTAGTGAAACAATTACACAATTCCTACATTTTATATAATTAATCCCTTTTTTAATTAAATATTAAAATACTCATTCCAATACGATCAATACAATGAATTTTAATTACGATCACAGAGTCTCAACAAAACGAAAGAACATGGACTGAATAAGACCCATAAATTTTTTGACATTACCTTCATTAAGAAAATTTATAATTTTACAATATTGTCTTCATTAAGAGAATAACCTTCTATTAAAAATAAATAAAAAATGTTACTATGTCTGTTTGCTTTCTCCTTCATCATTTTCATAACCCTGAAATAATTGCAGTACAAAAACAAATTTTTATATCAAATTAATTAATAAAAATAATTTTCATCGCAGTTACGTTTGAAATTCCATCATTATCATAGATTTTACATAAAATTATGATTTGATTATTATCATTTCATGGAATTTATTTTTTTTTTTTTTTTTAAACATTGGATAAGTGTAAAAATGAAAATTTCAACTTACCTCTGTTGCATAAAGAACATCTAATATTTTTTGTATAATAGGAGGAGGATCACCATTCTCACAATCTTGACATATTACTTCTATGTCACGTAATTTTCCAAAGTAGAAATCTCTTTCTTTTTCTAGACCATCAATCGACATTTTAAGCTCCACAACCTGTGAATAAAAAATATTATAAAATAATTTTATCCCTATATTATAAGGTAAAGAGTAAAAGACAAATGTTAATAAATTTACGAACCTGTGCACTGAGCTCTTCAACTTTTTCAGAATCTCCGCGATTTGCTGCTACGGTCTTTTGTTGAGGGCGGAATGGTTGAGCTTTATTTACTAAATTAAAAAATTTTTTAAATTAATAATTATTTATTAAAGAAATTTTTTGTATAGTATATAATTATTACTACTAATACAATATACATATTAAAATTAATTATTAACAAAGTAAATTAATTATGAAGTACTAATTAAAATTACTAATATTAATTATTTACCATATACACACATGCACATGCAAGAAATATAGCCATACAATAAATATTGCAATACATGCATTAATGTACATAATAAACACAATGAGTTATATACAAAAATTCCAATACAATTTTTTCATTGATTCAATTAGAAAAGTTGAAAGCTTTTATCAGTCTTCACGTCCTCTAAAAATTATGAAAAAATGCATCTTTTTTCATTAGAACATTTTGAATTAAACTTTAAATCATTTTCATTAATTATTAATTCTACACAATAGTATTTTTACTACTATAGATTTTGTTAAGAAATTTTAATGATGCTAAACTATTTCTTTAGTATTTACGACCAAAATACCGTTACAAAATTAAATAAAAATAATAAAAAAAATAATTACTAGGTTTGTTCAAAGGCTTCATACTAGGTGCCTGTACAGATTGAGTTCCATCACCTATGGGGAAATTTAAATTTGCATTATAAGACATAATAGACCAGCATCACATCATGTAAGTAAAACTAAAATATTTAATGTTGTATATTCATAAATTAAAAGTTATTTTTTAGATGAAATTACTGAAATAAATGTACAATTATCAATAAGATAAATCATATCAACTATAATATATCTTAAATAAAACATGTTTCTGAAAAGCAAGATTATTTCTAAATATAACATAAATATTAGAAATTCATAATAACTTAATAAACAAATATTAATAATGTAACTCTCTAACCTTCTCTTAATTATCATGTTTGCTATTAAAGCTAATACGCTTAAGTTATATGCAATCATTAAATTTTAAAATTTGTCTTTATAATGAAAAATATTTTTAATATACCAGTACGAGTGGTAGTTTTTGCTGAGTTTACATCACGTGGTGTAGGACGTTTCACATTTGAGCCACGTGGTGCAGTGTTCCCACCACTACCCATAGCTTCACCTCCTCGCATAGCAAGTGCATCATAGGGTTCTGCTCCTGAGTAATTTGCATCAAAAAACTTCTTGAACCATTGTAAAAATTCAAAGTTGTCTTGGAACCTGCCTTTCACCAGCTTGTCAATTGGCACTATCTGCAAATAATTGGTAGAAGACATGGAACAAAATAAAAAAATAACAAAAAAAATATATTCTATAGAATTAAAAGTGCCATATTATAATGTTATTCTTTCTATTATTTCACTTTGAAAATCTTTATAAATAATATATAAAATAATTTATAAATAACTTAAATAAAATTTATACATTTAAAATATATGTATATTTGTATATTAATTATTTTAAACAAACTTACTCAATTATAGATATTTACATATAGATAACATTGTAAAATAAATGTACATATTCTAAGAAAAATATTTAAATGTTCCTCAGTTGCAATATGACAAATCTTGTCACCATTATTTTATTATAAGCAAAAATAATATTTCTTTTCTAATGAAAATGTATATTTCACGTTATTTAATACTTGGTACCACATACTATATTCTTTATAGAGTAAATGATGTGTATTATTTTGGTCTTTTGATGTCTCCTAATACAAACAGTTGCCCCCTACTTAGAAGTATTTATAGACAGTTAAAAATAACAGCCTTGAAATCCTTCTGGTACCATCACACAATTAGAATTTGATGTAATTTACATTTAGCAATAGTAATTTTTCTAACATAACATTTGTTTAAGGCATGCATAGTTTACCTTTTTATAAACAATATTTTATATAATGAATTGGAAGTATTAAAATATGGGACCAGGTGCCATAGTGAATAATACATTTTAACAGGCATTGTTGTGCATTTGTTTATGGAATTATATACGACCAAATATGTATAAGCAAAGCAGAAATTCTACCCCTATACTATAGCAGCATAATTTACATCGTAAATTTTGAGCTAACTTTAAAAGCAGCATAATAAACGAATTTTGCATATTTTTATATTTTCTATATTTATGCTTTGCATTCTATCTAAATATTTGAAATGTGTACACAATTCTAATGAAGTGACAATTTGCAATAAATTAGTGATCGTGCAATGATCTATATAAAAGGCAACATTGTGATGAAACTATTAATATACCCTGCTGTTGCCTTGAAGATATATTACGCTGTTGTGTATGTTTTTGTTGCATTTGTGGTTGCTTCGACTGAGGAGGTAGAGGTACCAATTGGGGATTTGATAGATTATGAGTTCCATCGACACCAGAACCTAGCGGTATACAACCACGAGCTTCATAGGCATCGTACTCACGACCATCATAATTTGCATCAAAGAATTTCTTGAACCATTGAAGAAATTCAAAATTATCTTGAAAGCGTCCCTTTATCAGCTTGTCCACTGGTATAACCTGAACCATCCCCATCATAATTTTATTGAACTTTTAAGCAAGCTAAATCATCATACGATGGAAATATTTATTTAGGGGTTGATTTTTTACTTTACAAAATACAATCATTATATATACTTCCTCTTTTTCATTTTATAAATAACTTTTAGCTCTCTTCATGTACATTCCATTAACTAAATGATTATGTTTTTGGTCAATGATAAGATTAATCCTATGCCCTTAAAAATCTTAAAAAGTAATTTCTTGTAACGATATCTTTGTATAAACCTTCTTGTTCTAAAAATACTATTCTTCGAATTATAATTATCGCATATAAATCTTAACTATGTCCTATTCCTTTTTTTTTTCAATTGATAAGTCTAATTTATTCGTAGAGAAAGAAAAAAGAAAAAGATTGATAACTCACCTTATCAACGCTCATTTTTTTGAAACCACCTTGAAGAATTTTAAAATTCTGTATATATTCATGTTCAAGATTAGTTCTGAACTTTACCCTCTTCAAAGGTACACTTCCAGGAAAGAGCATATCCATGAATTGACAATAAACAGCTCCTGTACATAATTCTTCAATCTTGGTAAATGATGATTGCAGGCAATCATTAACCCATGCCAACATGTCATGACGACTTAGATTATCGGTGGTCACATTTGTTGCATACACATTAACAGCCATTTTGTTATCTCTGTAGACACGTACCAATAATAAAATACAATAACAGTATGATATACTAAGCTTATACACATACATAAAATAAAACATTAATCATATTGAATATATGAAAGTAGGTCACATGTGCATACGAATTAATAAAAATCTACATTTATTCTTTACGTATATTTCCTTTCAACAAAAGAGAAAAGAAAGAAAAAAAAAATTCATTAGAATTGTGCTAAAAAAAAAAAAAAAAAAAAAGAAAAAATTTGGATAACGACATTCCAGTCCTATAAAACACTTGCGATCGACATATTTCTTATCAACGTGCTACGGATGTCAAGCAGCAAATTTCCTTTTCGAAATACATCACTTTGCCGCTTATTTGACACAGAATACATTCAAGCATAAAAAAATATTTATAAAATCTAATTAACACGATGGAATAACTTACCGCGATAGTAACACGTTAACACCAGCCGGGAGTGGTTCGCGCACTTAGACGACAAATGTGCACTAGATCGTTCAAACGGAAACACAACGGATTCTTCTAACGGTTTCTCTAGAAAGAACCATCCAATGAATTATCCTTATCGCAATAAATTTAGGACTTAGGACTTATAAAATAGAGAGAAGTTCTTCCTTGTACATTTTGATCGTACTCAAATGGATATTCGATAATCTTATACCAGAAGTTGTAGAAAACCTCATGAAACATACGCCAACAAAAATTTGTAGTTTCTGTCAAAAAAATAAAAGAACGAACAAAGGAGAACGTCGGTACTTCTCGTCCAATCAGATTCTTGCTTTTACTCGTAACCGTCGTCAAGCACGTTCAAAAAGTGAATCTTGAGGCGCTCCCTTAAAGAGCCTTTTCATGAAACTAATTTTTATAACACTAATTACGTCCAAAAATTGAAATCATTCTTTCAAATTGTTTAACAAACGTGTTATATAAATATTTCCTCATTCACGAAGTAGCAATATTTTTCACATAAACTTCGACCGATTAAAAGTTATCATTCATTGCGTATACGCCATAAGTCGTCATATACGTGTTGCTCTAAAAATGCGATATCTGTAGGCCAATTATTAAACTACTGCTAAATGGATTTAATACAATATGTATGCAAGTTCATTTTATAATCGATTATAATATTAAAAAAACAATATCTTTTGTATTTTTGTATAACAAAATACAAAAAGTATATTTTAAATTACTTACAAATTATAACTTTATTGTATTATTAAAACAAATAGCTTTCAGGTAAGTAACTTTGAAGATCCAATGATTTCATTGATATATTCAAATTGAATAATCGCGGTAAAAACCTTTTATTAAGAAACAAATGAAATATATAATGTTTATACAAAAAAAAAACAATCTATTATTCAGATATAATAATAGTTTGTTCCTTTTTCTATTTATATTCCTTTAAAAGATCGATTGTTATTGGATAAATCTTATATTTAAAAAAATTAATTGTGATCTGAAAAAATATATAAATAAGTGATATTAAATTATGTATTATTTTTATTATTAATTTATTATTAAAGTCAATTCTCGTTAAAATAAATGTTGATGTTATCTGCTATCGTAGAAATGTCCTTGAAAAGACTTGATCGACAGATAATAAGGATCATCATTTATAATACGTTTGCGTGACGTAGGACAAATACTCACACTCATAAGCAAGGTGTTACTATGTCCTATGTTTAGTTCTAAACGTATGAAAAGTCGTAAGGATCGATTCTTTCGAGTGCTTGGTAACATCATATTACGTTATTTCTAAACAAAAATCTATTTCGAGCATTAAGCTTGAACAGAACACATGCGGTACAATGTAGTTTCAAGTGTTAAAATGATTAATTTTCATTGTTTTTTATTTATCATAATTATTCTGAATTCTTTTTACATCGGACGATCTTCGGAAATAACTAAGCAAGGTACCTTTCTCTAAAATAAAATTTATAAATATATGTATTTATATACATATATATATATATATATATTAACTCTAAATAATATTTTTATAACGTCAAAATATTTTTACTTCTAATGCTATTAACCACGAATTAAATAATATAATTTTTCATTCATTTTTTTCGTCCGAGCCATTTACAATTAAGAAAAATAAATAAATAAAAAAAAATATTAATTCGCTTTTAGACAAGCTGAATTCTGAGAATAACAAAAAGATGGCAATTCCTTCGGTTTTAAAAGTTTCTTCGTGGGACGTAAGTTTTCATCAACAAGATATTTTCACTTGATAAAATAATATATTATAGTATATTTAAATCTATAGAATACTCTGACAAATGCATTCAACGATCGTTTCTTTATATTTAATTTTATATAAAAAAAATAATATAATCGTAATACTAATTACGTATCTAGGATATGCCGTTTTCCGGAATAATTGAAAGAAATGGTGAATGGAAAGGAATAGGGTATGCATTTTATATTCTCGATCTTTTGAGTGATAAATTAAATTTCACGTACACCGTTGTACCACCGAAGCAACAAATACTCGGAAACAAGTATAAAGGAATTGTGAGCATGTTGTATGAAAAGGTACAAATTCTTTTTATTTTTTTCTTTTTTGTCATCGTAAAAAAAAAAAATAAACACAAATAAAAAATAATAATTATTCTCAATTACGAAATTACTTTTCTTTTATCAGAAAGTAGACATGATCGCGGCGTTCATCCCCATATTAGAAGACCTAAACAAATATTGTTTATTCAGTACAACATTGGACGAACTCGAATTAACAGCTGTAATGAAAAGACCTGAAGAATCTGCAACTGGTTCTGGTCTTCTAGCACCATTTGACAATACCGTTTGGTTTTGCGTTCTTACAGCCGTTGTAATCGTAGGACCGACGATTTATTTGTTTTCTTTAATTAGGTTCGTAGAGAAATACAAAATTTCAGTTTTATTAACATTCTATTATTTCGTTAGAAGCAATAATTAGCATGCATATATTTGGTAAATTTTTTAATGGATTCTCTATTTGTACTAAAACATTATCGATATTATCTATATACGTTAATATATACGTCTATATATGTTAACTAAAACGTACGGTCTCTAAGTATATATATATACATATATACGAAAGAATGACTTATTAAAAAATAAATAAGTATTCTTTCGACGTAGGTTGAAACTTTGGAAAGGTACGGAAGGAGAAAATTATAATTTACCATCTTGCATGTGGTTCGTCTATAGTGCATTACTCAAACAAGGATCAACGATCGTCGCTCAAACAGGTATATTGCGTGTATGTACATATCATTAATATAATTCATATGGAAAGATCTTTAGCTTTGCATAATTTGTTTACAATTTGTATGTATATATATATATATATATACATATTACATATATACACACACTATATAAAGTTTAATATATTAGTAATATTATTACATGAAATTATTACTTCAGATTCAACAAGGATGCTCTTTGCTACCTGGTGGATTTTTATATTAATTCTAACTTCATTTTATACCGCTAATTTGACAGCATTCCTTACGAAGCCACAATTTACATTACCAATTAACAATATAAAAGATATAGTGAACAAAGGATACAAATGGGTTACTTTTAAAGGACGTGTGATAGATTATCTTTTATCTCAGGTTGAACGTTCCTTAATGATATTAATATTCATTTTTTAATTGTACCATTTTCATACTAAAGTACTATTTATAATAGTTGTACATTCTTTTTTTTTTTTACATCGATTCGATTTATTACTTTCAGCCTTATGAAAATGAAATAACATTGTTAAACCAAACCAAATTTCAAGGAGAATATATTATGGTGTACAAAGAACCAACAAGTATCATTTTTGATACCGTCGACAATAGTTCGTAAATTTTTAATTAATTATAGAAAAAGATTAATAATGAATATTACTATTAATTAAATATTTTCTCACTGTATAGAAAAGCTTTATCTCGGAGAACGTCACTATTTTCGAAAATTATTATTCGAGGATTATATCAATAAAACTCGTCAAGGTTTAGAGCACAACAAACGTTGTACTTATGTTATCATGCCAGGAAGTATTCTTTCCAAAAATCGGGCGTTCGCTTTTCCTTTGGAATCGACTATCGTGGATGCCATAAATAAAGTGTAAGATCTATTCATATATCTTACACTTTATGTTAAAATTCTAAAACCTTTTGTAATATTTAAGAGGATTAATTATAAATTAAATATACTTCGCACGAATATAATAATATCAAAGAAAATGTTTATAGAAATCTATTATGTTCTTACAGGTTATCTTCCCTGATAGAATCTGGTTTAATAAAATATGTAAAAGAAAGGGATCTTCCATTGGCTAATGTTTGTCCTGTGGATCTTCAATCGATGGAAAGGCAACTGGGAAATACTGATTTATTATTGACTTACAAAGTTATTATAGCCGGATATATTATTGCAATGATCGTTTTCATAATAGAACTTATCGTCAAATATATTAATTCATGTACGAAGAATAAGAAAAACGCGAAGCAATTATCAAAAGTTCCAAAACAAACTATAAAGTACAAAGAAAATTCAAAACAATCTTCTTGGAGATCACGATTACCTTTATACGCTACTACTAATAATAATCATTGGCGGGATAATAACGTTAGTGTAATTAAGAGAAGCCCACCACCATTGTATCAATATAATGCAGGGAATACATCTTTTATGGGTAAACGACATAACATTAACGGACGTAATTATTACGTAGTCGTAGATAGAAGCGGTGGACAGAGACTGATACCTATAAGGACGCCATCAGCTTTTTTGTTTCAATATACTGCATAATATATATATATATATATATATAATACATACATATACATATATATATATATGTGTATATATATACATATATATATATATGTGTATATATATATATATATATATATATATATATATATACATGTACATAATATATATATAATTTTATAATTTTCAAAAGTTAATTACGAATGAAATTGGCTTACAATAATTTCTATTTTCTCTTTCTTTTTTTCTTTTTCTTTCTTTTTTCTTTTTTTCCTTTTTTTTTGCTTTTTTCTTTTTTTCTTTTTTTTTCTTTTTTAATATCACCTAATGTCATACAAAAGGTATACGAAGGAATGACGTCGATATAACTCTCTTCTACGCGTTACAATATACATATATAATTAAAAGGCACATGTGTTATTTCGTAATTTCGGCTTTCAAAACTATTAATGTATATGTGTCTATATGTGTGTTGTCTCTACTTATGGAACATATTATTTGTTATTAAATAAACATGATTTGTCGCATATAACACTGTTTTAAACATTAATTTCTATTTTGTGTCTATGTGTGTGTGTGTGTGTGTGATACATTTACATGTATGTATATGTATATATTGCAAATTGTATATATTTATTTGATTCTCTTCTCTTTTAAAGGATTGAAAAATGAGAGATGATTTCTATATATTGCAAAGAAAATAGTTTAGGAACTCCGCTATTATGCATACTAATGTAACAATAATACTACTTGTATAATAATCGCTAGAAATGCTGTATTTACTGTATATAATATTATTCGCTTCATTCTCTTGTAATACACATCAAAAGAGTGTAGAATTAATGAATTTCTCACTTTAATCGGAGATCGTTCTTCAAATGGTCTAAGACATTTACAATATAATAAATATTGATAATAACAAACGAGCTCGTAATAAAACTTAACATTTTATTTTATTTTTATCTTTTTATACGAGTTTATTTGCAATTTGCTCATCCTGTACACGGTTATATCCTTTTTGAGTATTAATTATTGCTTCTTGCGCGCGTGCTGTTCAGATAAAAGACTGTATCAAAGGTTCTTTACCAAATTCATATATATATATATATTTTTTTTATATATATATTTTTTACAAACAATCTCTATATTTTTGCATTATTAAATAATTAATGCATTTTAGTACCTTTATTTCTTTGTACATACATTAAGGAAAATGAAAGGTCATAGTGCACACTCGTCCTGTTAAGTTTAAAGGCGGTATATTATCGAAAATAGTTACATACTTTTTTTTGTATATGGCTTTATCAACATGTAGCTGATAATAATTCGTATAGATACAGGATGGACCGTTTTTATAGAAGAGGAATTATTTGTAGAAATAATATGAGAAATTAAAATGATATCGGTATCAGTTTACAATAAAAATTAAAAAAAGAAAGAAAATTGTTAATAACTATATACTTTCACGTCTCTGAATACACTATGCTTTTTTCGTGATTAATTTTCCACGGAAAAATTACGATCTAATTTTTATTATTTGTTCGTATATACACAGTATTCTGTTAAATAATTTTAATAGTTTAATTCAAAACAAACCAGTCCTGTATTGCACAATATTGCCAAAGAAATCCATCATCAATACGCATACCTATGGTGCATATACAAGTCTGTACACGTGCACATTCTTATGTGCATGTTCTTATTTTGTACAACACATGCAAATTTTACATAATGAATGATTTCATGTCGCAAGATCAATCGGTATACATGCGCTTTTATATACAAGTACTTATATGCACATGCAATTGGCAAGCATTCCATTTTATTATAAAATCGGACTGCGCAATAACTTTATATTCTGCGCGCGATATAGCGCAATTAATAAAAAATACTAAATATTACTGTCGAATAAATTTAATTTGTATCAATCATCAATTGTATTTACAATTAAGACACGCGATTTCTATGCCTCAGTTACTAAACGGACGATATTATTTTTTGTAAAATATGTCAGAGATCGACTTTTATGGATCTACTATGTGTCATTTATTTATGTGTTTATAGAAGTATGTATGTTTATACGTTAGAGCGCGCGTGCAATAATACATTTATTTATTTCTTTATGTTTTGTTTGTTCGTTCAGTATTCAAGGTAAATGTACATGGCATAAAAAATTGAAAGCACAAAAAAAAATAGGCAGGAGAAGGAATTCTATAAGATATTTATAATATTCATTGTTGCGAGTTTTTTGTCTTTTTTTGTTTTTTTTTCTTTTTTTTTTTTTTTACCACAAAAAAACACAAAACGCATCGATGCATACGTGCTTTGATAAACATACATGTCATAAGGATAACCTTCATTCATTCACCAAGTGACAACCCTTCCTCCTGCTATTTTACACAAAGTAATCTAAAATTCTAGCTCGTTTATTAGTTGCTCCGTTTGATCTTTCAGAATTTTAAACAGAGCTTATAGATTCAATATCCCCTCAGGTTAAATAACACCATCGTTCAAAATTCATGTATAATTGCGAACTACATATTTAGATCATACACTAGAAATTCACACATTGCTAGTTAATGCTATGCCTTCAGGAAGGTGTACGATACATAAAAACAATACTTACATTGCATTTTTGGTCGTACATATATATGTTTGTTCTATCTAAGAGTACAGGAAAATATATTATCAAGTCCTATTAGTTGAATATTATTAAATTTCACAATCATCGATCTTCTTCTTTTCGATGTAAAAGAAAACAATGACTAGTAACTTTGTAGACTTCCCTGTAAAATCGCACTTTGAATAATGAAACACAATTGTATATTTATGTAAAAAACGGACTAAAAAAGAATGTCCGTTAAAATATCTGAAAAAATCAGCTGTTATGTACGTGTTATTACGAAATTTATAAATTCTTTGGCATTTAACATTTTCCCATATTATACTCTTAGATTTAACGATCCATATGTATATCACGATTTTAATTCAAGGCGATAGAAGTAACTTCGTGTGAAAACGAAAATGGTATGAGACATTGGACGTATATCATTTTTAAGAAATTCTATGCGTAATTGAATGCGTATGTTGCGCTAATCTGATCACGTTTACTTTTTACCCCCATGCAATAACGGGGAAATAATAAGAAATCGTTGTAATAAAATAAACAATCATTTTCGTTAAACTGGCGTAACAACGTTTGATACATTATGATGATTTTTGTCACAATTGTCGGCTAGCACGAGATTAACAATTTTCGCGTGCATTGTGCATTCAATCTTATATGTTTGATCTAAAGTCTAATCCAAATACACTTTCTCCCAATATTTTTCACGAGTATCTTGATGAACATAATACCCATTGCAATCGATTATTTTTTCAAACGATTAATTGTTTAAAATAATGTCTACAACATAGCGACATTAGGGACGGAGGGGCATCTTGTTTATGAAGTAGGTGTTCTTCGTTTTCTGTTAATCGTTCTAAAGCGGAACCGTATTGTTTATCAAAAACTCCTAAAAAAATACAATTCATGGATTAAATGATTATATAAATGTAAAAAAGAAAAAAAAATAATCGCATAGATCTAATATAAAAATAAAAATAATTGAATATATAACATATTCTACATATATGCCGTTCAGCCTAATTTTATCTTTAATAAATTCTACCTTGATGAATATTTCCTCCACCGACTGCAATAAATGCCAAAAACAAAATATCTCTATAAATAGAAAATGGAGCTTCCTCTTCAGATTGATTTTTACTTCTTTCTAAGGCCACTATTTTTATAGGTTCTGTCAAGTCATTGCAACGTACGTATGATATTATCGTTTGCATTAATCTGAAAGTGTCAAGTTAATTAAAACTATAAATCATCTTTCTCGATATTCCATTTTACAACATTGAATAATATTACCTTAAACTACGAGTTACGATTTATTAGAGAGAAAATTTCAATTTTGCGAACATAAGAAAAATATTCTAGCATAATTTATATTCCTTCAAATAAACTGACGCCAAAGAGTTAGTATAGAATCCCAGTTTGGATACATGGACGTCTGCAGGTGTTGAATGCATAAACCAAGCAGATACAGCCTCTCCTGGAATCGCAAAAGTTCTAATCTTTTATTAAATGTTTTTATATGTAACACACTGTACTGTGCAAATAATTTAGATTTATGACAATATAACTTTTACTTTAACTGATTTTCAAGGTACATTCCTACAGACGCCCATGCTGCTACAATAACAAGAAATGATGTGCACAAGTTCACGTGCCTATCTGATAATTAAGTTTACATAATGTGGTATGGATTATATACCAAGAGCATAAATTATGTTTTTCTAAGCAGTACAAATATTAATTTCATGCATAATTATTTTTCCGTATTTAAGTAGAGTTATTCTAACATACAAAACATCTTGACAGATATCTACAAAGTGATAAATATCATAATATCAAATAAAATATACAAAAAACATTTGATCTGTATGTCGTGTGTCACACTTGGAACAATACAACTTAATGCTCTTGTATAAAAATAGTCACGTTTTCATTAAAACTTTGGTATGCTTCTTATATACAACCTGGTGAAAGTTAAAGAGCTTGTTAATACACATTAAATTGTTTACTCAGTATTATTGTATATTGTATACATGATTAATTTTTTATATATAATTCTATAAATCCCTAAAAATATCTAATCCCTAAAAAATTGTTAAATAATATCTAAATATCACTTAATTGCTGTAATAACATCAATATTCTTCATTTTATACATAATTATTTATCTAAAAAAAAATGCTATAAATCAATACTTTTTAAACATTTAAAAGAAATCATATTTATCTCAGAAAATGTGTAACTCATATTTCTACTATAAAATTGTACACATGTAATATAACGAAAGCTGCCAACTCAGTACGTTTACATTCAATATATAATTTATAGAAGCCATGCTAATATCATATACAAAAAGTATAATGATCCTTACGTTCGATCTTCTGTAGTATTTAGTTTCCACTGCAGATACATTGGCAATCGACCCATATGAATTCTCTCATTATCCCACATTGTTCTTATACTCACAGAATTAGAGTTGCTTTGTAATTGTTTATTTGCATCATTATGCAACCAAAGATCAGAGAGATGACTTGTTAAATTAATTCTTTCAAAATACCATATTAAATTCCAATATACTATTGGATGTTCTTCAATGAATATATGTCTAGTTAAACATGTATCACCTTCCTGGCTCAATACACTTTCTAATTCTTTTCTCAAAACCAATGGATTTAGATACGGTATTGTAATTGGCTCCAGTTGCTCCCTCGGTTTATCCGAAAGTTCGACTAAAGCTCCCATTAAAGGATCGCTGCTTTTTTCATTTGTTTTACATCTTAATAAACAAAAATACACATATAGTTAACATGTTATAATAACAATTTTATAATAATTTGAATTTTTTATACCTGTAATCTAATATAGTAACCGTAAGAAGTGGAACTGTGGCTTTGTCACAATACTGACAAATTGTGTTTAAATTAGAATCTTCTGGTTGCCACCCTGCCATTATCTCTTCATCATAAAGTATTGCCGCACAATTATGGCATCTACTAGCACTTGAAAGTACAAATTCAATAGCAGCACGTTCTTCTAACTCTCTAGAACCTTTGGGATATAAACTTTCTCCAAGTTCATATAACAAATATACATCCAAAGTTCCATCACCTATTTAAACGAAATATTACATACATTGCAAGAATAGAAATAACAGGTATTACATCTCCTTAGTCAGTCACAATGTTTATATCAATGCAACACTTGAGCGCATCTATTATTGTATATATACATATCCCTTATTTCTTCTGACTAAGAAGATGTCAGCATCGATTATATAACGCACCAGACAATCTGGCAGATACTTCATTTCGATCTTGCAAGGATCCATCGATACAAGAATCCAATGATTCGTGTGACACTCCACATCCTAATTTTTGATCGCGTTCCTTGAGTTTAACGGGAGTACTTGTTGCAGATATAGCTTCTTTTATTTCATCAAATTTTTTGGCAACGCTTGTTGCAGCTGATTTCAAACTGTTTAAGCCACCCAATATTATTTCATTGGATTTTTTTCCAGCCAATCCTGATGGACTAAAAAAATATATAGAATTATTGATAATAAAAAAGACGTGAAAATATTATTGAACATACTGTCTGGATGTATAGTCTTTTCCTATTAATGTGATAGTGCATAAGTAAATAAAAATTATACTTAAGCAATTTCTGTCTTTAAAAGTAACATTGATATCACATACCTGATATAACTGGACAGACTAAGAGATTCGATGAGCTGATTTGATAATTTAATTCCTTATTTTTAGTAAATGCTAACCCGCTGTCTAAGTATCGTTTACATTAATTAATGATACAAAAACTCGAAACACACATGCAAAATAATGATAAAAGAAAATCAAATTGACTTTAGAATGGAAAGACTAAATGGGAAAGCTATTTTATCTGAGAAATTAAATATATATACAAAAATTTTAATTAATATAAAATAGTACAAGCATTCTCCTATTTACTTTGTTTCCTTTTTTATCACACGAACTTATAATTAAGAATAATTATTGAATGTATATATATGAAATTTTTTTTGTAAATCAATGTTCAATGTATATTAGAAAATACTTGTACTTTTAATATAATTTTCTGCCTTACCCAAAACTAAGTTTTAAACTGGATCCTAGGCTAGATAAACTAGATGTCACACTGTCCTTCTGAGACCAAAGACTGCTTATTTCCAGTCTCTCTTTTTCTCTCTCCTCACCTGGTGGTGCTACTGAATGAGGCATCGTTTCGCTCCTTTGTAAATTACCACTTACTGTTGTACTACATTCATCTATTGCTTGATGAAATGTTGCACTCCGTGGTAAATTACTGAAAATAATTTGCAAGTCTCACAAATAAAAAAGAAAAATGCGATAAGCACTAATATGTAAATAAAGCAATGAATAAATTATCGTAAACTATAATTATATTTTATATTTATAAAGAAACTTTTCTTTTTTATAGCGAAAATACAGTGATCATGCCATATTATTTATAACTAAATTTTGTGAAATTTTTTATACCTTCTAAATAAAAGTGGTCCACCTGGTCTTTCTTCAACAGTATTATTTAAAACTGTTAAAGTACTAGTTGAGCAATTGGAGTCATTTTCCTCAGAAGGTGACACAACTGGCGTTTCATCATTAATTAGAGCTCCCAATGGATCATTTTCAGTAACTGGTGTTCGTACTGGACTCTTCAAGGGCGATTCGGTACTGCGTACTATTCTATACCAGCACCGTAACATAGTATCATCAATGCAAGCTTTTTAGAAGTATAATATGCAGATAGCAGTTATTTTTATACATGCATATTTCGTGCATAACATAAACGGTACATAATCATCCTGTTGGATACATCCAAAACTAATGATAATTATTATTCTGTATAATACCTTGGATTACTAAAAGAGCGATTTAATTTCTCTGATTGCACCATATTCAGCAACGCTTGATCTTTTACTATACTGTTTTGTCTAAGAAGTTTTGCTTTCAATTCATACGATCCATATCCTGGTAAATCAGGCACAGAACTACCTTTTGTTGCTATAAAACAATTTAATATTGATTAAAATTAAAAAAAAAAAAAAAAAAAAAAAAAATATATATATATATATATATTTCATATATACTTATAAGTAATAAATGACTCACAGTCACTATGAGCAGCTTCTGTATCTTGAGAGTGACTACTATCAAGACTAGATCTGGAAAGAGCATGTTCCATTTCCTCAGTTATTCCATCAGTATTTAAAAAATCAACATTGGAATTAAGTCTTCTTCTGGCACCTTTTCTGCCAGCCTTTTTAAACAAAGCTGCACCAACGATAACATTTCGTAGTTTATTCCACATTAACTGACTTGAATTTGTCATATCAGAAGGCCATGTTGCTTCAAGGACAGCCTGCAAAAAATCAATATTAATATATTATATATAATATATATTATTATACTTATCAAATACTTCAAATTAAAAAGATCACAAACTTTGTTGTAAAATCCGTATGTTAGCGCATTTGGCTGAACACCACTACGTTTCATATGAAATAATAACTTAACAGCTAATAATGGTTGTCCATATAATCCACAAAGTTGCATCATAGCTCTATAACAAACCTATAAACAATTGTAATATTTATTTATCCTTAACATATTTAATTCATACAAGTATAAAATATATACTTCTTCCATAGGATCAAGGTGTAATTTTTGCATTCGAACTAATAATTCATATGCTTGATGCAAAATTGCGGCTGGTTGACCGGAAACCTGTAACATCGCTGGTAAATGTAAAAACCAGAGACTGTAACATGTTCCAAGTAAACATCTAGCCCATCTATCAGGCATTGCTGCCTATAATTGAAATAAAAATTATAAAGTAATATTCAAACAATTTGTAACAAATACTTTATATATAATTGTTTACCTGTTTGCGCGCCATTTTCTGAGCTACTTTTATTTCATGCTTAGTCCTACGTGCCATAGGACTTCCAGGTACAATTCCAAAAGCATTTAAAGCTGGATTCCTTAAATTAAAACTTTTTTCAGGTCTCATTAATTCAGGATTTAATTTAAACGTTTTATATATAAAAGGTCCTTGATTTGGTCCTGCTTCAGGAGGAGGTATGAATACAGTACGTTCGCTATGTTGAGATTCATCCAATTCCAAAAGTGTGACTAAAATTTTGATAAATAAAATATAATTTTTGTTATCTCATATATATGATAATTATTAAATTAATATCTATTAATACAAGAATATAAAAACTATAAAGTAATACAAATTTTTCTACCATTCTCTTCCTCCACACGTTCAGTACACTCATCAAAAAAAGCTAGGCCAGCCATATCCATATCAGATACAAAACTTCTTTCTTCTATGAATCTAAGAGTAACAATTGAGAAATTAATTCCAAAATCAGAGATATAAAATATAAACATATGTCTAGTTTATATAACATATATCTGGAGAACAGTACATTGATTTCACATATTATTTACCTTATGAACATTTGAGTTCTAACAAGCATACTATAAAATTTTGCATGTGCCTTATCACGACTTCTTAAAAATTCTTGTATATTAAATAAACTTGTTGGATCTGTTGATCCTACAGTAGGAGCCTTTGTAATTGGTAACAGGAAAGATCGATAGCCTTTTAAAATAGTAGCAGTGAATTTTAAAAAAGCATCTTGTATTTCAAGTTCCAAGGCTTGTTCTTTTTGTTTTTGTTGAAATTCTTTATCTACACTGAAATCATCATGTTCTTGATCTGAAATGTCAAATATATATGCACATTATTCATATATAAATTATTTATATCATGTATACGTACATTATTCATATATAAATTATTTATATCATACATAGCTACCTTTTTGAGAAGAATATATCTTTCCAAGAGAAATTAATTTTGAATAAAGATGTTCTAAACAATTTCTAAGTTGTCTAGCTGCCTTTTTAGGAAGTAATTTTACATTCAAATATTTTTTGTCATCACAGATTGCTATATTATTTGTATCAAGATTTACACAATTAACATCAGAAGGTGGATCGTAGAGATCAAAAAACCTGGAGTCAACACCAATTAAGAATGGTAATGGTGCATGCAAGACCTGAAATTTACATATTAAATTTAATAATATGTAGCAGATTATTTTTGAAGTTAAATTTAAAATCGAATATACCTCGGCTAAACCTAATGGACATAGTGGTATGTACGGGCATTGCCATTTAAATGGAAATAAAATCATTGCAATAGCTTCACTCACTGAAGTTAGCACATCAGGCCGTAATGAATGAACCAATATCTTTTGCTCTGTTAAGATTAGGAGCAATATCAATAAGCAATTATCAGGACCCAAATTGATTAATAATTGCCTAAAACTGGCACCAGATCTAGGCCAAACTAAATCTTCTGGCTGAGTCAGGATTAGCATATCTTTACTACTAAGTTGCACAAGAATTCTTGATCTTTGGGGACTTGGGAAAGGTATATCACACAAAAAATAAGAAATATACTTTTCTATTGAAACATTTTGAGGTTTTCCATTGACCATACTATGCAGAAAGACTAGAAATTTTTCAAATGTATCAAAAAATGGCCAATGTGATAATATACATATTGACTTGCTGATATTTAATGACTGACTGCTAGGATCTGTAAATTGTAATTTTGCCCATTGGGATATATTAAGCTTCTTAAGTATTCCATATTTTCTGAACATTTTTGCTTTTGGTTGATGAAACTCCTCCGTTAATTCAATACTATCAGCTGAAATGCACATTAAAAAGTTACATATAAAATAACCAAAAATGTTTGTCTAAGAAAAAAAAAATAAAATGCACTTTTTTTTATATATTAGTTGTTAACAGCATATATGATACTACCTTTATTTCATGCGACCATGCTTAATTAATATGAAAACCTAAAAAGTTGATAAACAAACAAATCACATACCATTATTTTTTGTATTCTCTTCAATATCTTTCATATCCAAATTTCCTTTACAGCTTAAAGCATCTGGTGGCAATGTAAACTCTTCATAAAATGTTATTGCTGAGCCATATATCTTTTGTGCAGCATCTGCGACTGTTAAGACAAATGTTGAAAATAATGACTTAGGTTTGCAAGCCATTTTTGGCCAACATTCTATAGTTGCACCCATAGGTAAACAAAACATGGCAACAGAATTTGGAAAAACGAAACTGTTATAATCAGTTGTAGGATATTTATAAAGTATTGTTGGCTTGAACGATATGAGGTTAGCACGATTCATGGATTTCTTGTAGCATAAAAATACATCACTGCCCAACATTCCCTTATTTAAATTCTTATTAATGACACAAAATGCATGTGGAGGATTTTCCCCTTTGTTTGTCAAAATAACACATATATCGGTAACAACAAGAGAATTGCAAGGCATCTTTTGACTGGCCCGTCTATATGTTACAAAAATTTTTGAAGTAGAATTGTTTACATTCGCTATGTGTCCTTTGGGAGTTTCTAGTACCATTTGTGCATCCTGCATTATACGCTCTTTCCCTTCATATATTACACCTTTAAAAATACATTATACTCAATATAATTTTAATAATCTTTTTATCATTAATAATTTTAAATTAAAAAATTACCAATATCAACTAATGGTGGTTTGTCCCGACCTCTCTTATAGCATAAATAACATTCATTTGTTCGTAAACTGCCATGATTTAAATCTGCTGGAAAGCCTGATACGGTATATTCTAACAATGTATAGCCTTCAGGACAATGTTCACCCAAAGCTGGAAAAATTACAGCAAGATCTGTGATAGGTGGTTGCATATGTATATCTTTCAAATGTGTTCCCTCTTGACACCAATCTTCTAATTCTTCATTAACTTCATTTTCTCCTATAAGGTCATCATTATGACCAGGTAAACCAGCAACAACAAAATAATCTGCTACTCTCCTTTCATCCATTGCGAACTTTTTTTGATAATTAATCTTTTATATTATCTAAAAGATAGCATATATATTATTTTTATCAATATATTTTAAATATTAAAAATTATCAGTAATCAAAATTGCTAATATACATTTATACAATTTTTGAAGAAGATCAATCATTGATCTTGTATCTGTTTAATTTTAGTCATTCCAATGTCTTTTTAAATAACAAAATCATTTTTATTAAATGCTTCTTATTGATCTTATTACTTTTATCTCGAAGAATATATTTGTCATTAAAACGATTGGAGTACTATCTGTAACAATGTAACAATTAAAACCAAATATCAATAATATAAATTACATTATTTAAAATCACATTTTTATGACAGAAATGGCACTTAATTTAAATTAGTTCTTATCTAAAAACTTACTTCTTAACCATTAAAATTGTAGCAGATCACTAAATTTTAAAATATTATATTTATAATATCTACGTTTCAATAAATTTTTTTTTACTAATACAACCACACTACTAAACGCACTATCAATTTTGTACAGGTTATCGACTTTTTTAATCACAATTCACTCATGATTATACATAAAAAGCACATATTTTTTTTAAAAACAAAAAGTAAAAAAAAATCCTCGATTAAATTGCATTACGTTTTAATCAATAAACTTACGAAAACTATAAACGTAGAAAATTACGGTACCACTTTTACTACTTCACAAATCGTAATAAGTTTATCGAAAACATAAATGTAAATTGCAAATAAAAACTAATGTATCTCCGTATTTGTTTACATTCCTAGTAAAAAAGACTTCAATTCGAAATGTCTTTTGAAAATAAAAGTCAGGTTAGACGTTACATGCAACAGTTCCACAAGAATATCGTCGAGCAAACACTGTTGCTATCAAACAAGCTGTACACGTATCGAGAAATCCACCTTAAAGTTTTTTTCTTTTTGAACGATAAAATACACTGATAAAATTCACAGAATCACGAAATATAAGTGAATTTTAAAAATAAAGAAGTCCTTGTCTCTCGAATGGCTATACATTCTGATCGGCAAAATGGCTGTGTATGTTGATCTAAATTGACAGTACTACGACGGATGGAATATTTTTTGTTACTCTTGCAAGATTTCTTAGAGATAAAAAGATGATATGTATTTGTAACGTTTGACGTCTTCGATACGTAATTAAAACATTTGAGATTGCATATACTGTAGTTATTGTTTTTTAAATTAATTTCAAACTTACTGCGGTAAAAGATCCGGATAATATCGAGTTGAAAAGTTAAAATATCAAAACTTTGTTAATACACGTTAATTGTTATTCTTAAATTCATCCTTTTGCATATCTCATTAATTAGTTTATTTGGCATCATTTTATTTCGCATCATCAATGAAATCATCTGTATTTAGAGAGTATATTAGTAGAGCAATTCACATGAAGTATTCGATTTGTACGAATGTGATTATACAGCTTTTATCCAATAAAATTACTCCTTAATCTGAAGTAACTATCTTTAACAGGAAAGTTTTGAGGGTCGCACTAGAATTAACTAGAATCGAAAGTTCAAAGATTATCCTAAAGCAATAGGAATATAATATTTATAATTTTTTTTTATATGGTGGATTAATTTAAAACATTGAATATTATATTTCTTTTATATTTAATAAGATATTCAATTTGAAATAATCTTTCCTAGTGTTTAAATTGATACGATTGATTTTATACTACAAGTCAATAATAATAATAATAATATGAGTCTGTCAAAATAAAACTATTAATTGATTGGTAATATTTTGCGCGGTAAATTTAAAATGACAATTTGTAGGAATGATAAAAATTTGAATTTTATTATAAAATAATATAAAATATAAATCATTTTTTACTATTGATGATTAAATACTTCTATTATCAATCAGCAAATAGTATTATTGATCAATATAAACGTATTTTATTACTTTTACATATAAAATGAGCTATCAAGATACTTATATGCATAGTTTATACACTATACTATATAGATAAATATTAACATCGAATACTTTTGAAATTTAGTGTAATAAGTTTACAGACGTAATTCAACAATTTATGGCTTTGTGATGGAGTTACCGATTTTTAAACATTAATTGCACTTCGTAGAATCCAAATCGTAAAAGATCAAGGCTTTTCACTATCTATTGCTCGTTGCATATGCGACTTCAGCGACAAATATGAACAAAATATGAACTACAAACGCAATTGGGAAACATTGTCTCAATATACACCTATTATATCGATGTATAAGATTATATAGGTTATTACCCTCTCATGTATAACCTAAAATCGAGCTAGTTGTGATAGAAATTTTTGTATGTAGTAAAATATATTTTATAAAAGAAAAAAAAAATCATATGCCAGATTATACTTTTCTTAAGATAGATTAATTGATAAGTGTTTGTAAAATGTTGTAACAATTGACTGCAAACAATCGATTATTGGCAATCGAATACAATCGATATCATCAATCAATTGGTCTGTAAACAATCGATTAATCGAAAAATTGATTAATTTTTACGAAACAAAATTTTTTCTTTATCAATTTCATAATTGTATAATCGAACATTCAACAATCGATTGTAACAATCGATTTTCCCAAATTAAAAAAAGATCAGATATTTAAAGGAGTTAGAACTGAAAAAATAAGAGTGATAAAAAAAATGTTTTCATATTATATTTTTTCTCTATGAGTAATACTTTCTCAGTTAAAAATTAGTTTCAGGTAAAAAAAATTTTTATGAAACATTTTTTAAAAAATCTATCTTTAACAATCGTTCTGAAAAAATAAAATAGATTTTTTTCGATTAATCGAACACTTTACAGTCAATTCAAAAACATAGGCAATCGAAATGAAAACAATCGATTATTCGATTAATCGATTTCGATATTACAACATTAGTTTGTTAATTATACAAATTTTATACATTTTATTTCTAGCTAAACTTATACTAGTTAACGTATTATAAATACAAAAGCGTACTTAAGCAGCCATTAATTCGATAATACTTACGGTGGAATATAAAACATAAAATATAACATATATATAAAAGATAACAGCAACTGATTCGGTACCACTCTTCGGTATCAGTAACTCTTTTGCCACAAAGTTCATTAGGCGCCACTATACGAAATTTTTTCTTCATGAAAATATTAAAAATAGCATTTACATCAACAGCAAGTCAAGGCATAATTTTTGAATGATTTTAATGAATAAGGTTTTATTTTGAAGATGAAGGTTTAAACAAGGACATAAATTTTTCGAAACTTTCAAAAAGCTATATTTTATGTATAAAGTATTGTTGAATTATTTTTTGACACGATTTTTTTCATAGCAAATAAAGCTTTTTCGAAAGTTCGAAAAAGTCATATCTTGGCTTGAATCTTCATATTTAAAATGAGATCTTGTTTATTAAAATCGTTTAAGAATTATGCCTGTACTCATTGTTGGCGTAAACTATTACAATACCAGGAATGATGAATAGCCTTAAACTTCAATTGTATAAAAGTTGCTACAGCGTTAGCACAACAGTAATTATAAATTTATGTTATCACTGATATTAAAATTGAAATTGAATAAACTCGATAATTGAACATATAATTATTGATTAATGTATATTCATTAAGAAGAACAAAAAACTTGATTTGTGATTATTACAGTATTTCATTTAATTTTAATATGTTTGCCAGTGAGAGGTTAATTTATCAATTAAGTTCACGTATTATTTCAAGACATCTTTTGCCCGTATTAAATGTACTTGATAGTGCATGTGTGAGTTTCATATCTAATGTAAACATTTTTACTTTTATTGATATATAGCATACAAGAAGCCTTTGATCTCTTTTTTTTTAGTCTGTTTCAATGAAATATTCCCCATCAGTTTTTGTAAAATATTCTCATGATTTAGCTATTCAACAAGTATCTGCTCTAGACAGATCAGATTTACCAGTTAATAAGTATTGTTTGAGATCACATACTTGTGGTGAATTAACAAGCAAAAATGTTGGAACTACGGTACAGCTTAATGGTTGGATAGAATATCAAAGAATGAATAAATTTATAACTTTAAGGGATGCATACGGTTCTACACAGCTTATAATATCTGATGATGTATGCTATTTTTTTTAGCTATGCCATTTTTTATATAACTATATAAAAAATTAAACAATTAATATTTATTTTAGAGAACAGATTTAATAGAGATTATAAAAAATCTACCATATGAAAGTGTAATACGTGTTGTTGGTATTGTAAATATGAGACCTGAAGAACAAGTAAATAAAACCATGAAAACTGGTGATATAGAAATACAAGTTGATTCTATAAAAGTTTTAAACAAAGCATTAGCACATCTTCCATTTTCTATTAGACATTATAATAAGGCAAAGGAGATAACACAAATGAAATATAGATATCTTGCTCTAAGGTATCCTGAAATGCAAAAAAATTTAAGAACACGTTCTAAACTTATAGCAAAGATGAGAGAATATTTAATCACTGAATGTGACTTTGTGGATGTGGAAACTCCAACACTTTTTAGAAGTACACCCGGGGTATGTAATTACAAAACTTTTTTCAAATTAATAATAATTTAACATATATCAAATTTTATTCGTTATAGGGTGCACAAGAATTTGTAGTTCCAACAAGGCATCCAGGAAAATTTTATTCCCTTGTACAAAGTCCACAACAGTTCAAACAATTATTGATGGTAGGTGGAATTGATAGGTATTTTCAAATTGCTCGATGTTATAGAGATGAAGGTGCAAGACACGATAGACAACCAGAATTCACACAGGTGAATGATAGTACCTATTTTTTCATAGAATTAAGTATCTATTCTTTACATATGCATTATTAAAATTTATAATGAACTCATCCTACAGTTAGATATTGAAATGTCATTTGCTGATCAAAAGGGTATAATGGAGTTAATTGAAAATCTGTTAAAGTATAGTTGGCCAGAAACTATAACTACACCTTTTAAACGCTTAACTTATGATGATGCAATGAGATTGTATGGTACAGATCAACCAGACTTGAGAATACTTTATGAAGTAAGACAATTGTATTTACAAACGTAGTCATGTGCTTGAATTTTATATTCAGCATTATCTAAGTATGCATTATACCACTTTTGCAGATTCAGTATCTTAAACAAATTATTAATATGACTGTATTGGAGGAAAATATTAAGTTAACAAATAGCAAAGATTGCGAAGTTTGTGCTCTGGTTTTTCCCAATAAACATGTGAGTTATTTCATAATACCATATATATATATATATATACACATATTTAAACAATGTTTTTTGAACTGATTTTTATGTATTATATTTTATAGGAATACTTAACACGTTCTGTTAAGGAAGAATTTAATGATATAAAAAACAAATATTTTTCAGCTACCAGATTGTTTCAAATAAAAATTTCTGATAATTCTTGGAAATTACAATTGGACAAATTATTTTCCTCAAATATAACAGAAAATATAATACAAATGTTGAATTTGAACATTGGAGACATTCTATTTTTAACTATTGGTCCTAAGCTTGATTCTGTATGTATAAATTATTATATTATATTCGTGGAATTAACTTAAAAAAATAAAAGTTATTTTATACATATTTTAGCAAAAACTTTTAGGAAAATTACGAATTGAATTTACAAATATATTGGAAAATAATCATTTAAAAATACGTTCGTCTGGCTATAATTTTTTATGGCTTATTGATTTTCCATTATTTGAAGTAAATGAATCACAGTTATTAAAAAGTATGCATCATCCATTTACACAACCTCATCCAGAAGATATGAAATATCTTATAACAAATCCTGAAAAGGTAGTAGATTTATTAACAATATACAGAACTTATTTATACAACTTTTCATTCTTATAGGTACGAGGTTTACATTATGATTTAATTTTAAATGGTTCAGAAATAGGAGGAGGATCAGTAAGAATTCACGATGCGAATCTTCAAAAACAAATATTAAAAATGTTAGACATAAATGAAGAACAACTTTCACATATGCTTGAAGCATTATCTAGTGGTGCACCACCTCATAGTGGAATAGCACTGGGTATTTACTTTCGTATTTCTATTTACAACAAGATATTCAATTCATTGACTGAATTTGTTCAATAAAATTTACACCAATACTTACGTATTTTTTAGGTCTGGATCGTCTTGTTTGTTTACTCTGTAATACGGAAAGTATAAGAAATGTTATAGCATTTCCAAAAACAATAGAAGGGCGAGACTTAATGTCTGGAGCTCCTATTCCAATTTCTACAGAAGCAAAAGAATTATATCATATAAAAACAGTAGATGAACAAAGTAATGTTTAAAATAAATATTGTTAATCCTACATTTAATAAATTTATTATATTTTGGCAAAACTATACTGCAGGTGAGATATCTTTATGCATATTATTTACATAATTAGAACATATTTATATATAATACAATACTCAAGGAAGCTATTTAAAAATTGAATTAAGAAGAACTTCAGTTTTTACTATAATTACATTTTTGAACGTAAATATTTAATTGTATAACTTAGTAATTTTATATAACTTAAAAATATTTTTTTTAATGACAAAATATTAGTGATATGTACAAAAATCATTTTTTACTTTTTTATTAGACGTTCGTGCATTTAAATTATGATTTTACAAGAGGAGGGGGAGGGGAATAAAGGGTAAAGGACAAGGTAATCCTTGTGCATTAAGTTAATGAAGTGACTATCTAATGAAACTTTCTGTCAAATAAAGTTTTCACATGAGATATTGATAGTCAATTTTTCTTATAACTATATTTTGAATAATGTACTTCTTAGCAGCTTTTAGTCAAATAATTACACTGATATGTAGTATTTTTAACTGTCAATAAAAAAAGTTTTTTATATATTTGAACATTGTTTTTGTTAGAAAAAATAAGTGAACTATGACATACTTATTCAAAAAGTATTATATATACTTAGACATTAATATTCTGAAGAAATAAATTTCATTTATAAATTGATCTTGTATTTGTTACAAATTTATGTAACTTTATCTTGTATTAAAATGATCCTAGCTGATACAAAAATCAAATGAATGGTATTTTAAGTGAAATTTAATTATCGACATTTTTACATAACTTAAATGGATAAAAGAATACATTTTTTATAAGTGAAGTTTCACATTTGATTAATACATTCACATTTTTTCAGATAACTATCTCATACAGTACCAAGGCTGGGTTTATTAAAATTGTTATATATATTTATATATATATGTACCAATATTTATATAGGATTTTGAAATTAAAAAAATTGAATTTGGAATCTGAAAATCTACATTTCTATATGAAATGAATTGCATGAATAAAAATAAGTAAGAATCTGAACTAAGATAAAGAAATTTTTCATTCTGTTTCCTCTGTTGGAATTCAGAAGCAATAGAATATATACACAAGAAGTTTTACTTTTTTAATATTGCGAATTAATTAATATAAAAAAAAAGAAGAAAAAAAAAGAAAAAAAAAAACAAGAAGTAAAAATCGATTTAGGTATATACTCCTGTGTGATCTATGTATCCGAAATTAAACGTACGAATGGATCGATCCTACTAACAAATGCGATAAATTTATCAGTAACTTCACAGATTTTTATTCATTTGAACGCTTGATAATATCGATTAGAAAAAAAGAAAACGAAAGAGAACTCTACATGGAGACCAATGCATTGATATATATATACATATATATATGTATGTATATATGTATATATGTATATATATATATATATATATATATATATATACACATACATACACAACTATTTGTTTCTCTTTTGAGAAGGGAACACGGTGTTTCGTGTTTTGCACGTTTTTACAGATTTGTTTTCTTTTCTCTTTTTTTCTTTCTTTTTTATCGTTTATTTAATTTTTCTTAGCATCGGATATGTGCCAAATTGGCACTTTTAGTCAATCGGCTGGCAGTCCAATGGAATATTTCGTCTAGATAAATAGATGACATCCGTGGAACATTTAGTCTACATAAACAGAAGACCTCCGTGAAACATTTAGTCTAGATAAATAGATGGATCGAACATCGTAATTAAAACTGACGAGAAAAAATTCTCGATCCCGTGCCAGCATTTATATTTATTACTCTTTTTCTTCTTCTTTTTCCTTTTTTTTTTTTCCCATGTGGCAATATGTATGACTTTTTTCTTACGAATCTTTATTTTTATTTAATCCAAACGTCATCGTCATCACATCTATTACGTGCTCTTTCTCGCCTTTTTTTTTTTATTTTTTTCTTTAACGTCGTGACTTTATGGACCTTGCGTACACTGTTTTGCCTTTATAAAAATACTATTTTACATAACGAAGAAGAGACAAGCGTACGACGCACGCACGCACGCACGCATGCACGCACGCACGCAGCAAGCACACACGACACATACATATATGCATGCACGCATGCATGCACGCTGCTGACCCTCGGAGCACGATCGTACACGAAAGTATACGACGAATGGGTGCATCCAGCCTAGTAGATATATCCACGTACGCAAAAAAACATGCATTCTCTCTCTATCGAGTAGAATATTATAATCACGTATTTTTTCTTTCTCGCGAAGTACTAACTCTAGAAAATAAATCTATTAATTAGACGTTAAAATAACGAACATTGTATAATATATATGTACATATATCGGTGGAAAAAAAAAAAATAAAATAAAAATAATGAAAATAAAAAACCAAGTCTCTTCGATCTATGGAAAAATGGAAATTATTTCCGATGGTCTTGAAACTTTTTGTTTTATCGATATGAACTAATTTCTTTAATTTCTCTTTTTTCTTTTTTTCTTCTTCTTTAGGCACGACCGCAGAAAGTTTTCTTGATAAAAGTAAAAGTGTAAATAATTATTTTCGAATCTACCCGAAATATTCAAAAATTCTTTAAAAATCTTTACGTTTCATATCAAAATTTAAATATACATATATACATACACATATATTTTTATTTGTATGTGTGTATCTCCATTCTATCGTTTTTAAATGGCTGGATAGATTGATTTAAAATATATACCAAAAATGAGGTTACTCTCTCTCTCTCTCTCTCTTTCTCTCTCTTTCTTTCTCTCTCTCCCTCCCTCTACCCCTCCCCCTCTTGTAACGAGGATGATTCATAAGTAATTTCGATTTGATGCTACTTACGATATCAAAATGGAGGTATTTTTCAAAAATAAAAGAAATCATACGAAATCACCTTGTGACGAAATTAAATTAAAATAAATAACAATCGGAATATTTAAACAAAAGGAATATTTAAAATAATATTGGTCATTAACATAAATTGTATCGGTCGTGCCTATTGCGAAACTTTTTCACTTGGGAACCCAAGAAGCAAAATATCCTAGCAACATAGAAAAATGTTGATTTTATAATTATAATAGATTTAAAAAAAAAAAAAAAAAAGAAAGAAAGAAGACAAACAAAAACAAAGAAAACAGTAAATTATAAATATACCAGTTTACAAAAACAAATACCTATCAATCGTAGTACTGTACAGTTCCTTTTTTCTTTTTTTTTTCCTTTGTTTTTAATCTAATTTTTTATAGAATCCTCTTTACGTACATATCATAAAAACATAAATTTTTGAAATAACTAAATCACATTTTAGGTTATCTTTATAGGCTAATGCACCTCGTATGTTTTTTTTTTCTTTTCTTTCTATCCTTTTCCTTTTCTTTCGCTAAGCATCAAAGCAGCTTTAGGATCAAGAAATGAAAATCTCACGGTGGTGTATTAGGATAAATAGGCAGGCTAATAATCGTTTTTGTGTACATATGTAAGATAGCGCAAACAAAAAATGGTGCTTCCTTTCAATTTAAATGTATTCGAAAATATGTGTGAAAGTACAACTAACCATCGAGCTAAAGTTCAAAGAATCAAATGCGATCAAAGTTCAAAGAATGCTTGTGTAAGTGTGTAACATTCGACGGTAATGCAAAAGTTTTCTTTTCTGTTTTGCTTTTTCTTTCTTGTTCTTTTTCTTTTACAACATAGCCTAGTAATCTTGAAATTTTTACAATGCAAATTTTGAAAAAACAAGCCTGTCTATTCGTATGCACTTCGAGGCAGACTAGGAGGGAGGATCTGGTCAAACTCAAGAATAACTGGATTATGATTAGACGTTTTCCTTACTGCGTTCACTACGAATATTGATTAATTTTTCATTCCGGCCCGCCGGTTTCACGTATGCAAATTGATGATGATATATCGTAGTTATGATAACGCATAATAACGCAAGTATTTGTGGCAGTCGTGCAAGACCAAGATATGGTATAAACTTTATCATACAAAAATTCGTAATAACCTGAAATGCTTAACGCTGTCAAAGAAAACGTAGATGAGCGATCGTGTGCTTATCGTATATAATAAATAAGCTCGATGACTACCTTCTTTTCGCTTATTATAACATCGTATGTTTCGTGTATGTATCATTGTATTAATATACTTTTAGTAGTATTCAATAAATGATGATCAAACACCTTTGGTTTTCGGACGGTCGTACATGAGAATAAATGGATTAAACAAAAGTATAAATGAATGAAGTAATGAAAGAGTTCAAATTCTAAGAATCAACCAGGTGTAATTGAATGCTCATTTATGATTCTTTGTATCTGTGTGGATGTACATGTATATTGACAGTCTGTTTCTATACAAACAGGATTAACAATAATATGTGTGTAGTCAAGTTTTCGAAATTTGTTAACATTTTTCATAGCATCGATGCAATCAAAATTTAAAACAAATATCAGATTTATTTGTGAATTAAAATTGTTTAGAAAATTGTAAGCAAATTATTCTTTGCTCCTTGAAAAATTTTATTCAAAGATATCATTTATACCATGGTACAAAAATGTTAAACGTACCTTCTTGTTTGAATTGATGCATAAAAAATGTATTGCCTTGATTTTAATATTGTCAATACATAATAAAAACTCTTCTTTGTGATTCACCTTATATATAAATCAGACAAAGTGGAAGAAAAGCAAATACGCTGAAATATTTTAACTGTTCGTGAGTTAACAAAATTCACAGTCACAGGAGATTTTTTCCAGTATATATGTTGTTCTTTATCCATTATACTACACACAGGTACGTGGAAAGAAACTATGTACACAAGACGACACATCCGAATACTAGCAGTATTTAATATACTTTAAGATGTTATAGAAGTGATGGTATGTCACAAGTTTAGACAGTGACAAGGTATGTATTATAATGGTCGCGTTCATCGCGCCATAGGATGCATGACGATGAAGACGACGAAGACAACGACGACATACATAGAAAGAGTATAACGTACTCCAAACGTGCCATTTTGCAGTAGACAAGTGCAAGTACCAAAACCATGATTATCATGTAATGGTAATCTTTCTTGTCCTTTGACGATCCTTTGGCTCCTTGGGTTCGTACCGGTACCGGCGTCTCATACGTCGGCTCTTTCATCTTGTATATATTATAGATGCGATATTCTTTCAATCAATATACCCAGGAGCTTTACACCGCCATTTCTTTCTGTTTGCTGTAGTTCTCAGCTTATTTCCATACCAATAATAAATAAATTTCTTAGAGCATCGCCCTATATTGGTCTGATTAGTCTTATGCACTTTCATCAACTGTTGGTAACCAGAAAGCCATATTGGTACATGCAGATGCCAACATCATATACTTTGGGTTGAATTGAATACACTGAACTGGTGCAGGGTGATCTCCATTAAGAACACATACCTTATATCCAGTTTCTGCATTCCATACATGTACTCTACCATCTGTAGAGCCACTAAATACAAACTGTGAATCTGGACTAAAGCTGGCCTCTATTGCAATGCCTTTGTTATTTAAATAACCAGCAAAAGTTTGTAATGGAGTACCATGGAAAGCATCCACCAAGCGAATTGTACTGCCATTGGTCGATATCAGAATGGTCTTACCATCTCTGCTGAATTTCAAGCCAGTCCAATCGCATTCTTTTTCCTGAGAAAGTCTAAAGGTCACAAAAGGTCCTTTATCAAAACTGCGTAAATCATATAGCTTAATACTCTCTGAATTTACTCCAGCAGCAAAAATTAAACCTTCAGGATCGTATGCGGCAACTGGACGTCCGGAAACATTCATAACACCATGACAATTTGGTGAACGTAAATCCCAAAGCCTCAAGGACTTATCCAAAGATCCAGAAAGAAAAGTATCCTCTATAGGACTGATACAAAGCGATACTACTTTCTTAGTATGACCAGGAAAGTATCGGATATACTTATTGTCGTGCAAACTTAAATATCGAATAGTATCATCTACTTTGGTACTGCTGTGAATGGCAGTATTTTTGGCGTGTGTGAAATGAATCAAATCAACGCCGTATTTCTTCGAATTAACTGTACGAACTTGAGTGCCCTTTTCACAATCGTATATTACGATTTGATCGTCCTCCGAGCAGGAGATAAGTGTATCTCCATTGGGCGAGAAATCGATACTGTTTATACGATCGGAATTCTCTCGGAAGACCTTGGCCACCTTGAAGCTTCTCACCACGTGGTCGACAAGCTTCATGGTGATGGACGGCGCGTCTTCCCTTTCCTGCCGTCCCCTTAACCTTCCCCCTTCCGTAATTTCTTCCTTTTTCTTCCTAACACGGCTTAAGCGCCGAGGCGCAGAAGCTCCCGAGGGAGGGAGCCGAGTAATCGTTTTATGTACCACTGTTATTCTTCCACTTTACAGGAAAGAAAAAAATCTACGATGAGGTGTAGATAAGTTTATGGATAACTGAGGGAAGGAGAAAGAAAATAGAATGCACGTAGGGTTCGCTGAATTCTCAGAGATACCAAATTTACCGATCTCTGGTCTTTGTAGATTTCCAAACACACAAGGTCGTCTTCGATTCCGACAAAGGAATCCTTCTCCCTTTCCTCTTTCCTACAAACGGACGCCGTCGCCGGACTACCGCACACCACACGCATAAATTCTACCAACTGTTTAGAGAAATGGATAGCGAATTAGCGTGAATGTATTGTCAATGTATATTTAATATATATCATGGCATATCACCATGTATATAGTCTTGTATCTACGTCAACTCTTTAATATTTCAGAAAGCATTACACTACTGACAGTACACTTGTCAACGTAACAAGAAATATTGCCATATTTTTTGATCTTGCAAAATGCTTTTCACAGGACTAACTTGGTATAACGCGTTTACGCCGATTCATGCTACACAAATTTGTCCGTTTCATTTTCAAGGTTTATGATTATTGGTCGATCTGATATAGATTTAGAAACGTCCAATAGTATCACGCTTTTAAAACGACGAAACTTTGTTTCTTCGCTAAACTTAGTTTAATAATTTATGATCTTTTCTCAAGCCTTGTTTTTACGTGCCTCGGCCAATCAGCGTTGATATCAAAATGAGTAAATAATTACATATGGGACCAGTAGATGGCGGCAGTAGATGCAACGAAATATTTCTTCAATAATTATTAATAATAAAATTACAATATAAAAATGGTATAGAATAATATAAAGAAAGATTAAAATTAAAATATTATCAATGTTTATATATATATATATATAATTCAAATGAAAGATGAATCGAATAATGCCATTTAGTTAAAATACATAATTATATATTTGAAGTTGGTAATACTACATCGTTCATTTTTTAAAAGAATTTTCAAATGTGATTATTTCTGCGTATTTACGAATTAATGATATGCATCATTATTTAAGGTATGTAAATGTATTTCATATAAATTTTATATATAAATAATATTTACTAAACTTATAATTCAAAATTAATATAATTAGTCTTAATTAAAAAAGACAAATATAAAAGAAATTTGACATTTGAAAGATCGATTACCGATATGTTATTTATTTAAACATTATTATACTGTGTTTTACGTGTAGTATGTGTTAAGGACAAATAACTTTAAATCTTTTATTTTTCATTTTTATTATATTTATATAAAAATTGAAAGTGTGTGCTATGCTCATGAAAAAATTGCAAAGGCTAACCAATTATAATACAATGGGTGATATATTAATAATAAAATTACATATATATAACACAACCATTGCTATATGAAAATAGTGAAATATTTATTTTATGCAACTTTTCAATGATCTTTGATATATTTGCTTTCTAGCTATATGTATTCCTGGTAAATTTTTTTTTATTTTAACTTTAATTATTAATATAATTTTTAAATAGCATATTGGATATTACTTTTATGTATTATATTAACTTTCTTTCATTGCATGCTCTTAATTCATATATTTTCTAAAACTAATAAAATCACATTTCTCAATCTAATTTATTTATGTTTTATTTCTTCTAATTAAAGATAAAGCATATATAATGCTTTATAATTACTTTAATCAGACTTGAGTCTTTTCATATTGTTATTTGATGCTAGTTTCATTGCATATGGTTGCATTATTATGAAATAAATTAAATTAAAACAGAAAAATAATTATATCATAAAAATTTGCTTATTTTAAGACTTATCATAAAATTTGAATCACACTGCTGCAAAAACATTATTCTATTCATACATATAGATTTGTTATATAAAGTATCTTATATATATTATTTTTCAGTTTGAATCTGAAAATTATTGTATTATAACACAGCAGTGCAAATATAATTGTTCACATTATTTTCCATCCATTTGATTTGAATTCTTTTATATTTTATGATAAATTAAATATATTCTTAGACATTATTATCAAATGGCATTCAAAGATGAAAAATATGTCTTTTGTTCTCTTATGATAAATAAAGCTCTGCTTTACTTAATTAGATGCACATAAATATTAAACGCATTGAGAAAAGCTCCAGGCATTGCCTGCTGAAAAGCTCTCATCTGACAGATTCATTTAAAGTTTATAATCTTCTTATAACAATAACAATAACAATAACAATAATGAATACCGTCTTTTTTAAGAGGCATTTACAACTGACTTGCTGGTAAGGAACATATATCATGGCATGATTCTGTATAAAGTATACTGAAACATTCAGAGATCATTGCTTTGATCTGAAATATATTAATTTATAGTTAAATTTATTAATAATCTAAATTACACATAAGAAAATATTTAAAATACTTGCTTGCATTGAAAAATCTATTTCTATATCAGTATACTTTATTCAAAGCAAACCAATCATTCATAAGATAATTGCATATAGCAATAGGTCCTTTGGTCCCTGAACCTAAATTTGTACTTATACTTTTAGCACCTTAAGGTTTTACAGTATTTTGACCCTTCGTTATGAGCTAAGAAGTGTAATCAGTGTGAGTGACATTGAAAAAGAATAATCTATACTATTATTATTTCTTTTAAATTCGTGACCATACATTTAAATGTTTCAAGTTTTTCACAAATTAAGTATATATTTACAAATATTAATCATTTTTTGCTTTTTTATATCATTGCCATTTAAATGACATTGTCAATTTTATTAAATAATTAACACAACAGTTATAGATGAAAACAAATTGTTTGTATTGTTATAAATACAGTGTTATGATTATTAGCTCAAAATCTAATGCAAAATCTAATGTATCTAAATCAATTTGATGTATTTTATGTATGAAAAAATAGTAAACTATACAATATATACATTTAAACAAAGTTGCCCATTACCTGCTGAGTTGACAATGTCTACTTTTAGCGATTTATACTTTTAGAAAAAAGATAATCTGCTTTAATACACCTCGATGGGTCAAAGATCTTTAAAGGTTCAGGGAAATTTGCATTATAAGCTATTAAAAAAAGAATTAAGCTTGTTTGATATAAAACTTATTAAAACAATCATATTTACAATAATTATTATTATCTTAAAATTTGTTCTTAAATAAATTGTGCGAATGATTGTATATATGAAATCAAGTCAGTTCTTTAAATATATGTATATATAATTTATGTAAATGTGCATATGTATGTGTAAAAATTATATATACACGTACGTATACTTTAAGCTTTATATATATATATATACACATATATAATATATATATATATATATATACATATATATTTCTTTCTACTTTCATCACTGGACATATGTGCTTACAAAACACATTAAGAATATAAGACAGTTTAGTTTTTTATTTTTAATTTTGACTTTACTTTTCCTGTGTTTGCTTAAAGATATTTCATAATATAATTAATTGTAAATTTTTTATACCAAAATCCAATGAGCTATGTGCTCTTTGTGGAATCATTGTGCTATGCAACAAATTTCGTAATACAGTACAACAGGCCAATTATCAAGTTTTATATGACATATATAACGTTACAATATTACATTTGTCTTATATATGTACATATATTATTGCATGTACGTATTATAAATGTGTAAAGTTTAAAAGCATATTTAAGTAATACTATTTATTCCTAGTCCCTCTACACTTTTTATTTTGTTTCAAAGGCCTCATAGTACTAGTATAAAAAAACTATATAGATTTAATATCATTTTTATGTGTATCACTCAAGCTTTTACTATTGTCCGTGCATAAATTTCCATTTCTGTTACTAGCCAGTTCGATGTTATTTCAGTCCCTTGAATATATGATGCTATATTACATTTTTTGAATATCCACTAAAATGCAGAGCTAAGAAAAACCACATTAAATCTCAAGACCTCTTCTGTGCCCATTTTAGGTCATCAGCTCTAGGCTTACAACCAGTTAATTTTTCAATAATGATTTCTAAAATATACCAAAACCGGAGTTTCTCTAATGGCCAATTTAACCAGCCAGTAGTAATGCAAAAATATGTTTCATGCGGTGCAACATGATGCACCCGATGGTGTTTTCTTGGTAAAATTACTCTATGTTCCTGTAGCCAAACTACCCAAGGAGGAAGTCCGAAATATGTATGTGACCATTTATGAATCTGTAAAATATCTTTTATTTGTCCCAACTTTGTAACTTTCTTTACATATAATTAAGTCTCTTATAAACAATATATATCACACATATTTTATGCTTAAAAATATTAGAAAAATTACCTGATTAGTCATTGCTACAAAAATTGCAAGTAAAAACCAATAACATGTCCAAAGAAACTTCTGCTCGATTTCCGGCTCTGATAAAGTAAGAAAGTCCCATGTTAATTTGGAAAGGAATGGTATGGTAGCCATACAATTGTCACCGTTCGTTTCAATAAAATCGTGTCTCATTATACTGGTTGGATCGATGTGATGTTCACGAAAAGGCCTTAAAAAATTCTATAAAATATTTATCATATTTATCATATTTATAATATTATCATAACATTGCAAATGCTTTGATGATTTTAAAAAATCGTACCTTCCCCAGAATGGGAAGTTCGACAGAACCCCATGTATCAGCAGCCCAATGAACTACTCCAGATCCAAAATCCGCCGTGATGATTCCACATAATGCTGCTACTATTATCGAACTTAAATTTTCAAGTTTTAATCTGACCAGGATGAACAATGAATTTACTGCTACCAGCGTGATACAAATACCAACGCATATACATTCCTGCGTTCTTTTTCCTGTAAGAAATATAACATTTATAAGTATTACAGGTCAAATGTCTAATAGACTATTATTTTTAATGCCAATCTGATAAATATTTATGAATTTATTAAATTAATCAGACATTATGAACAAAGATACCATCCTCTTTGGGCAATTTGATTTAAAAATTTTTCATTCAGTATTACTTATTTTTATGAATTATTTAGAAGTATTTTAAGAATTATACGTTCTTATTATATACGTTCTTATTATATCGGTCATATTAATAAAATAATATGTTTCTAAATAATAGGTTTTTAATATGTCTAATTGGGAATTAATAATAAATATGTAATAAATTTATTATAGAAAGCTATTTAAAAAGATACGACCGTAATACTGAAACTTATTACACTGTACGATTTTATTTGTCATTATTCATAATGTCTGTTTTAAATATTTAATCTATAAAATATATATACTATATACATCGTTTCACATTCATTAAAAATTATACAAGTTTTATCTTTCCAAACAAAGTAGCAATTTTTCAATCAATTTGTGAACCATTTTTTTAGCAAATTATACTAATATGAAAATTATATCGAATATAAATTAATAATTAATTACGGCTAGTAACGTCTTACGGCAACTCAGTTGTAAAATGGAGCAATATAGAAATTACTTCGTTATCGTAACATCTTTACATAACAATCTCAGCACGGTAGTGATGCGGTGATTAAGTTGCTTATATCGTGACAGCTCTTTATTTTGGCTCGCGAAGATTTCAAGGTACAAGTGACTTATAAGTGGCAAGTTTTGGCAAGTAATCAATTCTGATGTGATGGATATTTTATATTATAATATTCTATATATTTTTTATTTTTTTTTATTTCATTTCAATTTTTAATACGTATATTTTGTATATACATGGAAGTATATACAAAAGCGTATTACTTAATATTGAATGTTTATTCTAAAGAAATAAAAAGAAAGATTTAATTAGTAATTAAGTTTGAACAGCTATACGCATATATCCGAGAAATATAGATTACAGGAATCTCATCTTCTTTCATTATCTACAACCTTGATGCGATACGGAATCTTTAATTTATCAAGCTTAGTATTCATTCAACAATCTTGACGATAAGAATATTTTATCAATTTTATTAATTTATTTTCTTCCGTTTTAATGAATGTGATTTGTTTTTCTTTTAAATTACAATAAGATTGATAAGAAAACAACACATAAACACATTTTAAATTATGTCCGATATTACGAATATCCATTATTAAACATACTTTTGTGAATAGAAATTCTTTGTACTAAAAAAAGGATCTTTTAAGTTCCTAAAATAATGGAATAAGCAGAAAAAATTAGAAGTGAGAAGAATACGAAAATAAGCTTCGTATATGATGGAGCTAATGAAGATGAAGTCATAGTAAGTATATGATTTGAAGCGTTCAAGGAAATAGACGAAACAAAGGAACGTAAAATACTTACCGCTACTGTAAAGATTTGCTAATTCTTGTGCACCTTTATGACTAGGACCCCATCTCGGTAATATCCTATCTTCATTAGAAGTGGGTACCACCGAATTGGCATTGGGATCATCTTCGAGCATTGAATTTTCGTAAATTTGTTGTTCGGTTTTTACTGGCGCTAAGAAATTCGTAGCCATTGAACATGCGGCCGATGCAGCCTGTCCTAAATTAGGCACCTTTATGTCATCCATAATTAGCCTATACCTTTACGATTCGCTGTAAAATACAAAGGAAATTTTTCCTCAGGAGTTGCTTGTGTCATGCACCAATCGTCGTACGTCCTTTGGTACCGCGATATTTCGTTGTGTCTCAATAACACGCGAAATAAAGGAATAAGGATGATAATTTGTATATTTCCTTTAAAAACGCATTTGATTTAGCAGTTCTTCTTTATTTGTTCTTCTATTTAAAAATTCATTGAATACCCTGAACGTTTTAGAATCATTCGAAATTTTCTACTTCGAAGTAATTCGTCGCTTCTTCTCATATCGCCGTGATCATACTATTTCCTTCTGCGTTTCTTCTTGTAATCCTTTGTTTAGAACGTTCCTCGTTTGACACCGCATCTGATGATGATGATGATGATGATGATGTTTTCCCTTAAAAATACGCATGTTGTAAGAGACGACATGATTACACGTTCCATTGAATTTCCTTCCTATTTCCGTGATATCTCTTACATATCATTATAGACATAACAATTTGCACGCGTAATAGGTTGTGAATGGTAAAAGGCACTACCGGTACCTATTCTTTATTTCCTAGTTTCCGTAGAGCCAAAACGAAATGACGTAAAATACGAATTGATCAATAATTTATTCGTCGACTATTGAACTATTGAATATGTTTTACAGCGTAGTTGTTTTACTCGTTTCCTTTTTTTTTCCCATTACTTTCTCTCTTTTCTTTTTTTATTTTATTTGACACATCTTGCAATAATTCTGATGTAAGCATAAAAAATTTTTAATGTTATCTATAAAAATATTTGACTGAAATAAATAAAAAAATAGCTAATATAAGTCATAATATGATAAGATAAATTTTTATTTGCATTGGCAACGAAGACTTATCTTTCACGGTTTACCGATTCGAGAAAATTATATAAATTTAATGCATAGCAGGTTAAATTTACAATGACATGGATTAGACACGATTGTTGCTTATTAATCTATTACGAAAGATTATATATTTCAGAATATTAAACAAATATTTCTACGATTAGACAATGAAAGAATAGATTTTTAGGACGTAACAAATCATGGTTATTGATAAATCTAAATACGCGAAAATAAAAGAAATTATGAAGATTGTGTTAGGCGTGTCAAAACTATAGCACGATTATAGCATTTTTAGTACACACAGCGCAATTTAATAATAATAATAATAATAATAATAATAATAATAATAATAATAATAATAATAATAACAATTCATTTTAATAAATATATAAAAGTAAAAAAAATAAAAAAATAGAATGTAAAATTAATGTTTGCATTTATTGTTTTAGAATATAAAGAAGATCCAACAAGACGATATTTGTTATAAAGAAGAATAAAGGAAAGATTGTGATCATTAAACAAGTTTTTAAAAAATATAAGATATTTTTTTTAAATGAATAATCAAAATCCATCGATAATCGGATAGACGTTTTGATTTTCTTTTTTTTTTTCTTTTTTTCCTTTACAACGTCACGTCATGTTAGAGATTTAAGCGAGCGGACAAGGCAACGGAGGCGCCAAAACGTCTGTGCCGGATTTGAGAGTGCGCACGTGCCGCCGAAAAGTGGGTTAATTTCTTGCTCGCACGAGCTTTAAGAATGACGAGAAGAGTACTATATCCTTTATTACCTCGATGATTCTTCTCTTTGTTCCTTCGGGAACGAGTGAACGAAGCAATTCGGAAGAATCCTCGAGTGCATCATCTCTTACCATATCTGCGGACGTTAACCTTGTTCATACTCTCATTCTCTCTTTCTCTCTTTTTCTTTTCTTTTCTCTTGTGTTACACAGACGACGAGTAGGTAAAAGATAATTCATTGTGACCCTGCCAATGAGAACAAATTCTCCAACGTGTGAGTTAATCGAGCTTATTTTAGATATTTCTGGTTTTTTCTTTTTCTTTCTTTCTTCTTTTTTTTTTTTTTTTAGGTTGAAGTGTCAAAAAAGAAAATTGATGTATTATTAAAATAACGAACACGATCTAAGGATTGATCGTCGAGACACAGGCACAGACATTCTTTAAAGTATAGTGATGTCATCCTTTGATGTCCATCGTTTTATTGAATGAATTCATTTCATGAATCAAACGAACATCTCTTTGGAAAATCCATGTATGGAAGAAAGCAAAAGGTTCACAAAGTGTGAGAAAGATAGGGAGAGAGAGAGAGAGAGAGAGAGAGAGAGAGAGAAAGAGAGAAAAAAAGAGAGAAAGGAAAGCAGGTGGTTGAGAAAGACCGGCACTGAGAATCAATTTAAAAATGCTGGACTGTCGCGTGCGTTACTGATTCTTATACGACGGCACCAGCAGACTCGCGTGACGTGACTGACGCGCGCTCGTCTCTTTCTCACACACAGATACACAACACACGCAACACGAGAATAATGACGCGATTCCTTCGAATGAAGAAGGGCGTACCCGTGACAGTGCGACGATTCTTATTGTTGAATTTGAAGGAACTTCTTCTCGTAGAGGAAGAAAGTTCGACGAGTTATCCTTCGAAGAAATAGACGTAGTTGTCGTAACGGTAAAATAAATATCCTTCCTTTCGTTGATATCTTCGAGACAAGTGTCCCCGAAGCCGGCTCCACGATGCACATGTACGCATACGGGGTGGCATGCGTCGAGTAATATACTTTTCTGTCGCGAAATACGGTACCGGCGAGCGCGTCCGGGAGTAGAAGAGCCGCCTAGATGTGTGCTATTTGTAAGACGAACGTCGGACGAAAAGGGCGAAGGACGTAAGCGATTCCCAGATAGAAAGAGAGTCAGAAAGAGGAAAAAGGACGGAACGTACGTGCGTGTGCAAGGAGAGATAGATGGAAAGATAAAGATAGCGATATATGTGTGTGTGTGTGTGTGTGTATATATATATAGATAGATAGATAGATAGATAGAAAAGAGAAATATATATATATTTATAAAAATAGTGGAAAGAGTGAGAGAAAAAAGAGAAAGGAAGAGGAAATTTGGAACGGCAAAGAACCAAATGCGAGATTGATTAAATAGAAAAAGGACCACGATAGCGGTTTGGGAGGGACGGTAAAGATAATGAGAGGTCGAAGAGTAGCGCGGCAAGCTTCGACGCCGAGGATCGTGCCACTGCCGACGGAGACGGAGGCGCTGCTTTCGCTTTCGTTCGTTCTTGTCTACGGTGGAGGCGGTGGTGGTAACGGCGAGGCGGCGGTGACGGCGGCAACGGCAGTTGCTACTGCTGCTTTTCCTGTTTCTCCTGCTCTCCCTCAAGCACCTCCCGTCTTTCGGATTAGACTTTCGAGCGGTCTAAAACTCGAACGAGCGCGCCTCTTGCGCTCTTTGTTCCTCTAACCCCACCCCCTCCTACCGCACTTTTATCGTTCGCGGTTTACTCGACGATCGGTGTCTTTCGGCAAAATTCGCCTTCTTTCGTTTCCGCAACGGGCGAGACCGAAGCTGTCCGATTGCGATGCTCCTGCGCGACGCACTATGCTTCCACCCATTGGGGTGACACGTTCTTACCGTCTTCATTTTCTTTTTCCTCCTCTCCTCGCAATCGAACTGCTTCGAAACAATTACGTGTAACACCGTTTACAGATCATGCCGTTATTGATCCTTCTTCCTATTTCTAAATAACTTTCGATGTATCTTTCTTTGTCTTTCAATGTTCTAAATCACAAAACGTTCCAACACGTATTTATTTTCTGTACTGCTTTTAATTATACAAGTTATGTTTCAATAATATTGTGATTATATTTAAATACATTTTTTTTTTTACAGATTTAAATATAAATCTATGCTTTCATTATTATCTAGAAATAATATTTATATTTTGTTCTTAGAAATATTCGTATGAAATTTTAATGATACATATGAAAAACTATTTAACGTTGATTGAAATTTAAATATATTATAAAATTGTACATTTGGTTGATCTGAGATATAGAAAATTTATAAGTTTTTCTATTCATTCACTTGGTCACGAAAGTTACAATACAATTCTTCGCACTTACATTAGACAATAATCTTTCTTTGTGTTACCCTCCAAATGGCCTTCAAGTTTCACCGCAAAGGAAAGCCGAAGAAGCTACATAATTCATCGGCCGTCCGCGCGTATCGGACTACAGCGTGAAAAGCATCACATGACTCGATGGCCATTTCGTCTAGGACACTTGCTGTTTCGCAGAATGCTCATACTTTATTTAATATACAATCGACCATGCAACCAACCCTAACTTTTAACTCTCCGTCCATGTTAGAAGATACACGTCGTCTTACGTTCGACGACCTTACAGGAAAACGAACTCTCTTTCATATCAACATTTTATTAGACGAAGAACAAAATTGAAAACTTCTTAAGAATTAATCGTATTGTAAATATTTTAATTATATATATATATATAAACTCCGAAGATTGTTTATATGTATTCGCCTTTATTACATATTCGTTATATATGTATGGTAGAAAGAGAGGTGACCTTTGACATCCTGTACGCAAGGGAACTCATTTCTATCGATGTCAATTTTATTCTTCAAAGGAATAATAAACGAGCTCTGTCTCTAAACAACAAAAGTCGATACTTGAGACTTGCATATTTATAAGTAAATTAACTAGATAGATTTTCTATAAGTATATTATAAGAAAGTACTCTATATTATAAGAAAGTACTCTATGCGAATAGTTTGTATTTATAAATACATCCTTACGTATAATGAGTGCGAGATAAAATCATTAGTTAGTAACATGTATATATAGAATACGCATTTGATTATGCGATGAATTATATTCATTCTACTTGCTCGTATGTGTATAGAGAGAGAGATCAAGACATAAAAAACTCGTATATTTGAACGTAAGAACATGCGAATCCTACTTTCATTCTCGTCTATTAACACCATCACAATAGTCACGAAGATAACATCGACAACTTTAATTTGAAATGATTATGTAAAATGTCGTTTTAGATCATGAACTAATGTTATAGGAGTACAAAACCAATGTGTCCTTATCGCTATGACGTTATAGCTTGCATTTCTAAGATAAACACTTGTTTCATTTCTGAAAAATCGCGAAATAAAGAGTTGGCAAATATAATGATATGACAGAAACAAATAAAGAAAATAATTAATCTTTGAATTTAAATGACGGGTTAACTCATCTTACAAAGATTTCACTTCTTCCTAATAAAAGAATAAATATATAATGATTTATTTCTCATTCCAATTAAAAAAACCATTATAATGTCCCAATTTTTTATATTACAATTCATTAATTTAACCATTGTTTTTGATCTCTACCGTATTTTTAATCGAAAGTTTTATTTTTAAACGAAATTAATTTAATAAAAATAAATTTTATATGTTCACATTCATTAGTCGAAAATTTTTGCCGATTAATAGACTAAATAAGTTTTTAACGCATACATTGAAATAGTGTAATATTTAGTTGTTTAAAGTTGTTTATTTCTATCGTATTGCGATATGATTAATTGAATATGAATTCTTTTGAATATCGAGTACAAGAGTCATTTTATATCTAATTGTTACTAAAATGTAGAAAAGGAAAAATTTCTCTATTTAGATTTGATTGCAAAGAACGATAAAAATGTCTCGGTTAACATTGTGAGTATTCTACTTAATACTTACGTATCAGGAACAATATAACAAAGATTCGTATTTCCTTGAAATATGTAAGCAGATGATTTTCGATCTCGGTCGATATTGTAAAATGGTAAACGTATATTTCTTTATGGGGAAAAAGAAGAATTTTCATATTTCATTTAGTAAACACCTTGGAGACCCTCGATAATTCCACGTGCCGCATTACGAATGCACCGCCCGTAAAAGTGAAAGTATGCACTCACGTGCTTCTAAATTTGTACTCCAACTGGAGTACTTACTAAAAATAGTTTCATTCATATTTTACATGATTATACTTAGCAATTACTACAGCTATTTCTTACAATATTCATGAAGAAATTTCAAATGTTTAAAAATAAAATTATTAGATAGGAATCGTTCGTATTAAAATGTATCAAAATAATTTAGTTTTGTCTGGCCATTTTCATTTCATTCCTCTTTACATTGCATCAATGAAAATCACATATTTTTAAATAGTGAAATTAATTATTGATTTAAAAAATAATATTACAAAAAAAAAAATGATTATATATTGAATTACAGTGTGTTATACAGAGAAGATTACAACAGCAAGCAGATAATCTGCAATCGTAACAAGAAAAGTGTTAACGATGTTGATTATTTATGTAAATTCAATAAACGGGAATTTCTGTATGCGAAGTCAGAGAATAGTTACTAGATAAGAATTTTTTATTTTACGATATATTTCATTATATGTCAATAATTTAAATATTTGGTTTGATTTTTTGTTGTTGAAAAATTATAATTCAAATCATAATTTAAATATTCTATATACCGTATTAATTAATAATAACAATGAAAATTTAATAGAAAATAAATTATATTCTATTGCATATGGATATTTCGTGTTTGAAATTTTTCTTTTTCGATTAATTGAAATATCGATTTAAATCGAAAATATTCTGATATCGAGTATAATAATCGAAAATGATTAATGTCTTCATAGGTTACTTTCAAAAGTAAAATTAACTTTGAAAAATTAACTTTATTTAATTGAATTATTCGAATTTTTTAACCAAAAAAAACTTACAAAATTTAGTAAAATTAAGAAAGAATTTTATATTATAATAATGAGTGTTACCGTTTCTTACGTACTGTTTGCTTATTTCTAAAATAAGGTTACGTGATACTTTATAAATATAATCATATTCTTGTATAGTTCGAAACAAATGTGGATTTTCATTTATAATTAATTTTATTGTATATAGAAGGTTAGTATTTGCGCTGTTTTTATTGTTAAATTTTTAAATGCAATCAACGTTATAATCGAATCTTATTCATATGCATTTAATAGATGTATTAAATTAATAGATGTATTAAAGAAAAAAAAATCTGTTCATCATAGTTCAATATAATTTTAAGCATTTAATAAAATGAAACCATCGATTTTCGTTGAAAATGAGTCAGTGCTACTCGTAGGAGAAGGAAATTTTTCATTTTCCGTAGCGTTATATCAACTTAACCTTAAAATAAACTTAATAGCTACGTGCTATGAATCTGATATTTCTGACGAAGCTGGAAAGAAAAACATAGAATATCTTAAAAGACATGGTTAGTGAATAAACAATATATAATGTTTTATAATGTAAAATTTATAATATGTAAGTGTACAGATTTAAATTTTTTGAAAAAGGAATGATGAAACGCTATGATTTTCTTTTCAGGCATACGTGTATTGCTGGGAATAGATGCAACAAAATTAATGGAAAATACTATATTAAAAAAGGAATCCTTTGATAAAATTATTTTTAATTTTCCTCATGTTGGTGGTAAAATGAGAATAGAAAAAAATCGAGAATTATTAAGACAATTTTTCATAGAAATTGAAAAATTAAATAATCCTAATGTAGAAGTATTGATAACTCTTTGTAATGGTCAAGGTGGAACACCTATGGATGAGCCTAAAAGAAATTGGAATGATTCATGGAAAGTTACAGAAATGGCAGCTCATGGAAATTTTATATTAACTAAGATAGATCCATTTCTATGGTCGTATTTTCCAATCTATGTAGTTACGGGGTATCGTAGTTTACAAAAACAATTTCATACTACGAATGCATTGACTCATTTTTTCAAAAGATCAGAGCCACCCAATTATAAAAACATATCTCCAACAAATAAAATTAATATTGTTACATGCGATATAAATAATTTTTTAAGAAAAGATGTATTTCATATGTCAAAGAAATTATCGAATTTAAAAATTTGGTGCATATATCCACCAGCATTTACCTTTGATATAACTATTTGTGTCAGAGAAGATTTTAATCCATTAAAATTTTATACTACTTTATATAATCATGCAGGTTACATTGTGGATGAAATTAATTTTATTGGATCCTATATATCTCCATCCAAAGAAAAGACCACAAAAACTTATAGAATAACTTACAAGTCTTATATAGTGCCTCTATATAGACAAAGAGTAATTCAAATGCATCAAAATTTAATTCCCAATATTTTAGAGGAAAATCTTAATGTTGTAATAGTGAGATAAAATAAATTCAGTGCATTTAAAGGTATTAATCTTAGATACAGAAATATTTTGCTGATATAAAAAAAAAAAAAAATCATTGAATAAAAGTATTTTTATTTATATTTAGATGTATTGCTTTCGTTGTCTGAATAATATCTCTATTCATGCAACTCAAAGATTTTATCCTGTACCAAATAATATAGTTGCAAATATAAAAATACACAAAATGATAGATAAAAGAATACGTCAATCGTTTTATACGAACACTTATCATTGTGATAATAAATATATTCCAAATGCTATACGTAGTAAAAAACCCAAAACATTAGGCAATACATCACAATATTTTGTGGATATAAAACAGGCAAGCTAGTTGAAAATATCACTTTTTATTATGTTTTTAATATTGATTTCATTACAATATATTATTTACATAGGTAAGAGTCATTGGTGGAAAAGGTGGTGATGGAAATATATCGTTTCTACAATTATGGAAAAATGATCGTGCAGGACCTGATGGAGGAGATGGTGGACATGGTGGGCATGTGATTTTTCAGGTAAAGTGATTAAAAAAAAAATTTTTTAATTGACTTAGTATAAAATATGCTTTTTATTTATTTGAACAGGTTTCAAATAATGTTAAAGATTTTAAACATATTAAAAGTGTCTTAAAAGCAGAACATGGAGAAAACGGTTCTTGTAAAAACTGTTTTGGTAAAAATGCTAGTCATAATATTGTACCCGTTCCTTCTGGAACTATAATACGTAATATTAAAGGAACAATATTAGCTGATTTGGATCAAGATAATTCGATGTTTATTGCTGCACGAGGTGGTGCAGGTGGTCATGGAAATACTTTTTTTACGTCTGACATTCAACAATCTCCAAAAATTTCTGAATATGGAGCAAATGGTGAAGATTTGCAATATGTACTGGAAGTAAGAAGTATGGCTCATATTGGACTTGTAAGTGTTTTATATAATTTTGGTTAATACGAAGTTGAAGATAAGATTGTTAAATCTTTTAATTTAAGATAATGTGGACATAAATAGATGTATCTCTCTTTTACGTAAATGTTATTTGATAGATTGGTCTTCCAAATGCTGGTAAAAGTACACTTTTAAGAGCTATATCTAGAGCTAGACCAAAAGTAGCATCTTATCCATTTACAACTTTAAAACCTCATGTGGGTACAATATCATATGATGATTATGAACAAATTAGAGGTAATATTGATTCTATTTCTTTTTCTTAATGATGATTAATTAATCAATCTTGCTGTGATTATTTTAGTGGCAGATTTACCTGGACTCATAGCTGACTCTCATAAGAATAAAGGTCTTGGTATAACATTTCTTAAACATGCGGAACGTTGTGCTATTCTATTATTTGTTATAGATCTTTCTCTTGATGAACCTTGGCAAGCATTAGAAATATTAAGTTATGAAATCAATCAATTCAACAAAAATTTAAACAATAGATCTTTTATTGTTGTCGCTAATAAGATGGATTTACCTAAAGCTAAGGTAAGAAAATGATATAATGATCACTAAATTCTTGATCGTTTAGATTAAGTTAAAAAAAAATATATTACTCAAAGATATATTTACAGGAAAATTTACAATTGTTAAAGGAAAAAATTGATATGCCTATTATACCTATATCTGCAAAAGTAGGTATTAATATATCTACTTTATTGAAACAAATTAGGATATTATATGATGAATTAAAAAAAGAAAACGACAAATCAATGAATAAAAATGAAATATTTATATAATTTAAACATATGTTTAGAAATACATAATTGTAAAAATATTCATAAAAATGAGAATTGTTCCCCCACTATTTTATCATATCTTTAAGCTTTCAGTGTTTTTGTACAGAAATGGAAATCTTTTACTACAGCTTTCACTTGTGGTTGATTAAGTATTGTAGAAAACCATCTATTTAAATTCGTATATTGTTTTCTTAATCCTGGAGTTAAAACGTGTTCGTAAAGTGGTAATAGAGCACTGAATATTATAATATCCGCAAGGGAAATTCTTTCGTTAACGAAATAAGTTTTTCTAAGTAACACATCATTTAATTTCTTTAATGAATTCAATGCATCTTCTTTTGAAGTTTTCTCATCTAATATAATATTTTTTGGTAATGTTATTTGAGAAGACGATAAAATCCAACCTGCAACTGCTGGTAAAAGATGATTATCCGTGTAACTTATCCACTGTAATATTTTACAAAAAGCAAATAAATCATTTTCACATTTTAGATTAGTATCTGACAAATAATAAGCAATGGCACTGCTATTACAAATTTTAATATCACCAATTTCTAAAACCATATCTGTTGTAGAATTCTTATCTTCTTCAATATATTTTATCACAAGATCTTGATTGCTGTATTGAGCTGCAATTTGAACTTTGTAGCTTTTAATGCTATTTTTATTTCCAAAAAGTATTAATTTCGGAAAAATTTTCGTATTCACAGAATTCATATTTGTTACGCTATCAACAGTTGAATTAGAAGAAAGATCTAAAAAATTATAAAATATCTTCTGGTTAAATAATTTCTTTTAAAAAATTTGCAAATAACTTTGAATATTTAATTAAATACCTTGAATAATTGATTTCTCATTTGTAATCCCAAGTTTTGAATTAGCGAATTCTTTAGCTTTTTGTATTATTTTAGTTAAGGAAGAAATATTCGAGCCTGAAGCTTGAGCAGACTCAGCTTTTCCACCACCTTTACCTCCCATAAATGGAGCTATCTCTTGAATCCATTCATTAGCCTTCAAACCTTTATTGATAGCTGTCTGAAATTATTGTAATAATTAATTTGATATACGTTCTTGGATTACACTATACGTTGTTATTTTTTTCTTTCCTTACTTTAGGAACAGCACTAAGGGCAAAGATTTTGTTGGCATCTTGATCAACACTTATTAATAATGCACTAGTATCTGGAGATAAACTTCTAATTTTTTTCAATGCAGAATCTAAAGCTTTTGTATTGCTAAATGCTTTCAGTATTTCTACAAATACAGCACAGCCAATATTTGATTGAATCATCTTTTGAACGGTTTCAACTACCGCACTAGCAACAGCAGTTTTAGCTAATCTCTCTTTATCATCGAGCGATTTTTTTAATTCTTTTAGCATACCACGTATTTTGTCCTATGTTCAAAACACAAAATATAAATAATTTAAATTTAATTTATGAAAATTAATTATAAAATTATATGATTAAATATACCTTCTTCCAACTAGAAATTATAGCATGAGACACATCTTCATTTAGCTCTACTATTTGCTTAACATACTCTTTAGAATTTGTACCACTTTTATCAGTATCAATAGTATTTTTCAACTGGTTTAATTTATCTTCTAATAAAGCTGATTTCTTAAGTGCTTTTTTTGCTTCAGGTCCAGTTAAAGCAACTATACGTCTTATACCTTTAGCAATAGCTTCTTCACTTGCTATGACAAAATCACCTATGTGTCCTGTATTATGTAAATGTCTGTAATATAAAAATAACTAAAAAATTTCTAAATTCCGTTCAACATAATGTTTAATAAAAAGATATACTCTTACGTTCCACCACAAAATTCTACACTAGTCTTCAATGCAGCATCATTCAAAGGATCTTTCTCCAATTCTTCTATTGGTATACCTACACTGACTATTCTAACAGGATCAGGATAAGTTTCTTCAAACATAGCACGTAATCCTTTAATAGTTTTAGCTAATGCCAGATTGCTTTCTTTAGCATAAATATTTTTATTTTGTTGTACCATATCATTCGTAATTTCTTCTGTTTTCTTTACTTGATCTGTAGTCATAGCTCCTATAATGTAAAAATATATTATAAATTTATTCTAATAATTCTAAATCTACTTTAATACAAGATAATATTCTTCAAAAACCTTTGTTAGTGAAGTCAAAACGTAATCTGTCAGGTGCAACTAACGATCCTTTTTGATCGGCTTCTAAACCCAAAACTTGCCGAAGTGCATAGTTAAGAACATGAGTTGCTGTATGATTACTCATTATTAGACGTCTACGCGTAGTATCAATATTTAGATAAACCTTATCACCTTTCTTCAGCACTCCTTCTCCAACTGTACCAATATGCAATACATAGCCACCTCTAACTTGCACATTCGTAATCCGTATTTCAGTTTCCTACGTAAAATAAGAATTAGAATATTTTTATAAAACATCTTATTATATAAAACGTTTTAAACTACTTAGTGCTCTAAAATAGTATATATTTACTTCATCATCAACTTTTACTAAAAATCCTTCATCATATATTTGTCCACCTTGTTCCGCATAAAAATTCGTTTTGTCTAATAATATTCCTATTTCCTGTCCAGAATGTACTTCTTCAACGAAAGTTTTCGAATGTCTTAGAGCAATAACAGTACTAGTGCACGACTCAAACGAATATTCATCATACGGATTATTATTTTTTATATTGTAATTATATTTTGGTAAGTCATCGGTGACTGGTATTTCTGCATTTTGTAATTCTGTGATTGCATGAACATCCAAATTAATTTGATCATCTATCCCTCCAACTTTATTTTGAGAGATAAGCTAAAATAAATAATACTGTTATTATTAAAAATATAAGTAACAAAAAATATTATAGCCGTTTTAATACCTGTGCTTGTTTCTTTGCTTCTTCATAAGCAATCATATCAACTTTCAAACCTTTCTCTTCAGTCATGAGTTGTGTTAAATCAACTGGGAAACCATATGTGTCATATAAACGCCATGCAACATCCCCTGGAACAACCTTAGAAGATTCGAGTTTTGCTATAGTTCGATTTAATAAATTTCGTCCACGTGATAATGTTTTTAAGAATTGTGTTTCTTCTTCATTAATTGTATCAATTATGCTTTGAGGATCTTTTTTAACTTCTGGGAATATATCGCCTAGACAAATAAATGATAGAATAAAATAATGTTCAAAAAAATAGAAAATCTTACTAAAATTAATACTTACCAAGTAACTCTACTATTACATTTATCAAAGATGCAAAGAAACCAGGTTTTGCATTTAATTTCTCAGTGGCATAACGTACAGCACGTCTTAATATTCTTCTTAGAACATAACTTAAAAAAAAAAAAATTATTAAAAGAGCATGAAGAATATAAATTAAATATTCATACTATATTATATAATTTACCCTCTTCCAGTATTATCAGGCATTCCTCCATCAGCTAGAGCAATAGTTAATGTCCTTGCATGATCTGCCAATACTCTATATGCCATATCAATTCCATTCTTATCTGCATCCCCTACCCTTCCTTGATAAGGTGGTGCTCCAGTACCTTTTTGAATTGCTTCGAAGATGGGCATAAATAAGTCAGTATCATAATTTGCTTGTTTATTTTGAATGACTGATACTAAACGTTCCAATCCTAAACCACAATCAATATGTTTTTTCGGTAATGTTTTTAAAATACCATCTAATTCCCTGTAATATATGTGTAATTCAATTTTTACCATTTAACGTAATTAAAAATATAGTATGCATGTTTCTATTTTCATATTACCTATTATATTGTATAAAGACAAGATTCCAGATTTCTAAAACATCTGGATCATCCATATTTACTAAATGAGCAGCTTCTCTACCACCAATTCTATCATAATGTATTTCACTGCATGGTCCACAAGGACCAGTTTCTCCCATTTCCCAAAAATTATCCTTCATACTACCTGGTAAAACGTGAGAAGCTGATACCCTACAAAAAATAAAGTTAATTATAGTATATACACTTGAACAAATATACTTATGTCTAAATGTTTTAATCATAAATTAAATATTATTCTGATATTGCATTTTTAATTACCCAAGAGAAAGCCATATATGTTTACACTCGTTATCAGGATTCAACCCAGATTTTTCATCTCCTCCAAAATATGTAATGTATAATCTATCTGGTAATAATTTTAAATTGACTGTTAAAAATTCCCAAGCCCAAGTACAAATTTCTTTCTGAAAAAATTTTTATTTTATTAAAAATAAATTTATGAGAATAAATTAACATATCAACATACCTTAAAATAATCACCAAATGACCAATTACCCATCATCTCGAAAAAAGTATGATGATATACATCTTTACCAACATCATCTAAATCATTATGTTTGCCTCCAGCTCTTATACATTTTTGAGTATTAACAACTCTCACCCATTTTGCCATATCACTGTTAGGATCCACTGTACCAAGAAATATAGGTTTGAACTAAAATAAATTATATATAAAAATTATTAAAAAATGTATATTCTAACAATTATATTTAGATTATATTTCAGACAAAAGAAATAATATTATACTTGATTCATTCCAGCATTGGTAAAGAGTAAAGTTGGATCATCATGTGGTATTGTTGAACTTGAATGAACATATTCGTGTCCCTTACTTTTGAAAAACTCAATGTAAGATTGACGAATTTCCTTAGAAGTCATTGACACATTCATTTTAATCTTTGTCTTTTTTCTGGCTGTAATGGAGTAACACTAATTTGTATTAATTTATAAATTTTACACCATATGGAAATAGATTACATCAGCTGTTTAAGCAAAATTAAAAAAAATATATTATCATCTATGAGAAAACAAAATTATTATTCAAATAAGATATTTTTAAAATATGTACTGTAGTTTTATGTTTAAATAAAAATAACACATTACTAGTAATTGACGACAATTGAAGCAGATATTAAAAACCGTGCAGTCGACACACATGTATGTTACCGATTAAAAGTACTGTGAGGAGAAAGGTAGAAAATCAAAACACGTGCATGCAATTTATTGCTCTACTACTGATAATCTCCAAGTTGAAAAAAATATCAAAAAAAATCTTCCCATCGTATTTATGGAATATTCATTATGATAATATTAATAGAGAGAGATAAATACCAACACTTGTAGATCGACGCTTTACTAAACTATTAGTAATTCACCGACAGGCATAGGTTGTATTTCTCGTCGTTTTAATACATAAAAAAAATTAACTAAATTTAGTCAAAATGCCGTTTATGATAGGTAAAGAACCTATACGAAGAACGCTTAACTATTTAAAAGCAGGAAAATTAGTTCTAAAGGATAAAATACAAATATTATCCATTAATTATAATAGTAGCGGGGAACATCACTCAGGAGCGAGGTAAAATTTAGGTTAGATATTTGTTAACAGGGTATCGTTTTTTAAAAATATTATATTTTTAAAATGATTTTATATTTTAGAGATTTCATATTTTGGTACTTACCACAAATACTATACCAAAATCCAAATGTACAAATTGTTACATTTAAAAATAAAACACCATCTCCTTTTATAAAATGTTATTATGGTATGTAATTATATAAATTATTTAAACTATATAATAATATTGTAATATAGTATTAATATTAGTATTAAGTAGATTATAAATATTGTTAAAAGTAATATATAATTATATTTTAATTATAATTAATATAAATATGTTAATATACTTATTATTTATATTTATTAATATCAGTAATATGTAATTGTATTTTGAATATTATTATACTTTAATAGAAAATGGAAAGACGATGTTAATAGATATAGATAGTCAACCAAAAGAAAGCATTCTTCAACATCTTATTAAAGTGATTGGTAAATCAAAGGAACTTTTAATTGAAGAAGAAATAGCCAAAGAAAAGAAAGATAATCCTGCTAACTTTGGTGTTGGTTGTAAAAAAAGTTGCATATGTGAAATTCCTGGACAAGTGCCATGTCCTGGTGTAATACCTCTCCCTTATCATATGAGGGGAAAAACATACTTAAAAAAATATTAATGTAAATATATTGAATATAAATGTAATATCTAAATAAGTGATAGGTTTTATTATTTCAACACAATAATCTTAAAATCCATTCTTAAAGTTTATTACATGTTTTTGTTTATTATCAAAAGATGTTGATACAATATATTATGAAAATACACGTACGTCATGTACATACATATCAAGCATAGCATTATTAATGAATTAAAATAGTTATATTTTTGGTGCTTTACATTTGTCTGCACCATATAGGAATCATTTACGCACGCACACATACACACGCAAGAGAAGAATCAGCAATTTTATAATACTATGCTTTTATAAATATAAATGATATAAATATCAATGATAATAATGACATGAAAAGGATTCCATATTGTATTTCTCTTCAAATAATCACTCAAAATATGTTGTTTATGAAAAATGTGGATAGACAATTTGAGTTATCTTCTTGGCTTATAACGATTATATGGCTTGTTATTGTGGTGATGGTTTCCACGATTATGATGGCGTGTAGATGTGGACGGTTTTTGATTTTCTGTTCTCTGATATAGATGTATGATAGGAGATCCATCCAAAGGTTTGTTCAATTCAAATTCTTCTTCTGATTCTTTCATTAATTTGAGTTTTGCTTCTATTGCCTGGATAGCAGTCTCACGGCTATAGGAATTATATTAAAATTAATATCTAAATTAGAAATATCAATAAAAATGAAAAACCAACCTTATTTTTTTATCTTCTTTTTTTGCACCTGCTAAGGCAGGTATATCTATTTTTGGCTTTGGTTTTTCTATGTCAGGCTAAAAATAAATTAGTATAAAAAATATGATTTTTATTAAAATATAAAATTATAGTTCCATTACTTTTTCACTTACCTCTGTGACACTATGAGCCCATCTTACTACTATATTTTTAGCACCTACTTTTAGATTATGTAAAGCATCTTTTGCTGCTTCAGCATCTTCTATCTTTTTATAAGTAACAAATGCATATCCCCTTGGTTGACCAGCTTGTGGACCTGACCGATGAAATAGCAGGTCGAACTTTTCGATTGTTCCATGTTTTTGGACGAGTTTCAGGAGTTGGTACCAGTTGACAAATAAACAGTTAGTTTTTCAGATAGTTTCATAAATTACAAATGTGTCATTGCTCAATATGATGTTTTAATTGATTAACATATTAACACATTGAGAAAATAAATGACTCATTTGAAGAAATAAAAACCATAAAATATATGATCATGCAAATACTTACTCATTAATCCTTAGATCTAGGTTACCCACCCATAATCTTCTATCTTCCACCTGATTTGATTTTATAGGTTCTAATGGCAAAGGAACTTTAGCACCTGGCTGTAATTTATAATCAAGATTAACCAACGATTTGATGATTATCAAAACAAATAATATTTTTTAATCTTAGGGAGATGTATGGAATCTATCTGCTTAAATCCATAAAAACTTACCTCCATACCAATGGGAGAAACAAATAAGCTTTATCACATTAATGATAAGAAACCCTAGCTAGTCGATATTGATTCCAATATAAATCTATAAATAAAAGGAAATATTATATCTTCTCTTATTTATAAGAACCCACATAGCATAACATAATAGATTAATGTGCACTTCGATGAAAAGTTACTTTAAAAGAGTATTTTAAATTAATTCCATGCTTTCTATTACCTGACGAAGCTTTTACAATTACGCACGACATTTTTTGAGATCTTCCAATGTCGTTAACATAATACATAATATAAAGGAATAATACGCGAAATGAACATCAAACATGTCGCGCAATAGAACGAAATAATAAGATTGTGTACGACTAATCACTACTTATCTGTATATAGAATATAAGATTTGATTTCAATAACAAATTTTGTAAAGACTTTGTATATGTGTCCTATACATACACACGGCGTCTAAAGTTAAAATTATAGACAGGATGCGCCATCTGAAGTGTCCTCAAATTATTACCTCAAAAAGAAATATTAGAGATAGATATATACATTAATCTCTCTCAATTTCGCAGCAACTTATCGAATTTTATATATTAGAATTGATTTTTTGATTTTCTTCTTATATCATTTAGATTTTTAATCAGAAATTAAAATACATATGAATATACACTTAACAGTTACGTTTCATACGAGTGTAGTAGCTTATGATTTAAATATGGCGTCATTCTTATGTATATTTTATTAAGGATAAACATAAAATAATAAATAATTTAGTGTGTTTATATCACTTGCATCTTATCCTACATTTTGAAGAATAATTAGGTGATATGGAAAGAACAACCTTGCCCGAACAATCGGCATCGCAAACGGAGACAGTATTGGAGGGGGATATCACTGATTCTGGATCACAGGTTCGTATTGTTAGCTTATACGTCATTTTATTGATAGTACCGGTTATTTGTTATTCTGTAAAGAATACAAATCGAACGTTTTTATAATATTAAAAGATCAATTGAATTTTAATTGATACAGATTATTTCGCCGGTAAATTTTTGAATATTTATATGAGTGTTATTGTTTATATTTACGGCGGTAAATATTATATCTAGTATTGTTTCCTCCTATTCTAAGTTATATTCGTAAATAGAAGAAATATGTCCATATCATTTGGTATTACTATATTATACACTGGTATCAAACCAAGGTTTTTACCATTTTTATATAATATCAATAAATCTAAGAGTTTCTGTACTATCCAAGAGAACGATAGTTCTCCATTATCTGGTATTCGTATTTTGGATCTTACCCGTATAGTGGCCGGTCCTTATTGCACTATGATCCTTGGAGATCTTGGAGCAGAAGTTATAAAAATTGAGAAACCTGGTAGTGGCGATGAAGCACGTAAATGGGGACCACCATTTTTTAATGGAACTCAAGAATCTACTTATTTTGTGAGCGTTAATAGAAATAAGAAGAGTATATGCATAGATTTGAAAAAAGGAAGAGATATTATCTATGAGTTAGCTAAAAAGTCTGACGTACTTGTAGAAAATTACATTCCAGGAAAGTTAATGAAAATGGGTTTAGGATATACGGATATAAAAAAGATAGCACCTCATCTTATATATTGTTCCTTGACTGGTTATGGTTCTGTAGGTCCTTATGCTAATAGACCAGGTTACGATGTCATTGCTAGTTCCATAGGTGGTCTTTTACATATCACAGGCTTTAAAGATGGACCTCCATGCAAAGTGGGTGTAGCTATGACTGATATGGCTACAGGTCTTTATGCACATGGTGCTATCATGGCAGCATTACTTCAAAGATTAAAAACTAAGGAAGGACAGTGGATTCAGTGTAATCTTTTATCTACTCAAATTGCTAGTTTAATAAATATCGGGTCAAATTACTTGAATGCTGGTCAAGAGGCAACAAGATGGGGTTCTGAACATGAAAGTATTGTACCTTATGAAGCTTTTTCAACAAAAGACGGATACTTAACAGTTGGTACAGGAAGTGATTTTCAATTTACTGAGCTAATTCAAAAGATGCAATTAATAGAATTAGGTAATAATAATAAATATAAGAATAATGTTAATAGAGTGAAAAATAGAAAAGAATTATTGAATATACTTAGAAGTGAATTTAAAAAGAAAACAAATAAAGAATGGATGGCAATATTTGAAGGATCCACATTTCCATATGGACCTGTTAATACCATAGAACAGGTAAATTTTTTTAGGAAGTTTAGGAGTTACACATCTCAAGAAATATTGGAAAACATTGTCCAAGAAATATATTTATTTTATAATAGGTTATTATGTGTATTACATTATTTTATAGGTCTTTGAGGACAATCATGTAAAACACATAGGATTGGTTAAAGAAGTGGAACATTCTAATATAGGAAAAATATGTGTTGTTGGACCACCAGTAACATATAGTTATGCTAATAATAGTGTCAGACTTCCACCTCCAATGTTAGGGCAACATACAAATGAAATCTTAAGAGATTTATTAAAATATTCTGATGATGAGATACAAAATTTAATATCACAGAAAATTATACAGTGATCAAACTAAACTATTATCATTATTTATATTTAACGATTATATATCTATTATTTTATAGTAATTATATGTTATTTTATTTACATAATAATTTTACAGTAAAACATTGTATTGTATCATATAATAAAACTTATTTTTATCAAGCTTTTTTATTATTTTCTTCAATGTTCAATGTATATATATTTTTAATAATATTCTTTTTTGATAAATACAATAGATTTATATTTTTTAGGATGTTCCAACCGTACGCTTGCGTCTTAGAAAACCACGATCAAACAAAAAAGTTCAGTGGACTCAGGGAACTGTGGACAATGAACATATGAATAAAAAGAAATCAAAATGTACGTTTATTCAAATGAAACTATTATTATTTAAAATGAATTGTATGTAAAGTTTGACGTTATTTTTAGGTTGTTGTATTTATAAAAAACCAAAAAATTTTGGCGAAAGTAGTTCTGATGATAGTGATGACGAATGTGAACATTGTCATGGTCATAAAGATGTTCATGAAAAGGCTTTACCAAATAATGCAGAACCATCTCAACATAAAATGAATCCACTATGGTAAATTACTTTATTAAATAGTTTTATGTGAGCAAATATTCAACTAAGCGTATTTTTCTATTTGTTTTAGAATTAATAGAAGCAAGATTAATATAAATATATATATTCTCATTTTTCTCCTAATAACCATTTCCCATTGAGACTAGGGTGTCCATGATCTGTCTTCCACATCACTGTTAGGTTTCATCTGAAGAAAGTATAAGCACCCCAGGTTAGTTAATTAGCTTTCTTATTTTGTATTGCATTATGACATTTAAATGATGCATTTTGATTGTGTGTGTGTGTATATTTGAAAAGATTATATAATTTAATGAGCTTAATTTTACAGGCACTGCAAACACCAACCATTATAAATAACATAAATTAAAGTCTTATTATAATGCAAAGTACACAGTATTATGCACGGATGTTATAAAGAAAGCTGCAATTAAAAACTGCAGCATTATACTGAAATTTTATGAAACAAATTATTCATTTTATATCTGCTTCTTTAAAGGGAGAAAGAATATTGATTTGTGATACAACATGAATATGTTATCTTTCATTGTTCACTTTTTTAATATTTTGTAAAAATTCAAAATTCTTTGAATTCAAAAAGAGAATAGATCATACAATAGCGTTTAATCAATTTGAGTTCTCTTAAATACAATTTATTTGATTATTATTCATGTATCTCCAATTATTTTAACTTAGTTGCTGTAAGTACTAGATTCATGATCTTATATTCATTTTAATCAAAATTGATAGTAGTAATCTGAAATTCTTATAAAGTTTTAATTTTATTTAGTCGTAGAAAACTAAATTTTTTGATGAATAGTACATTTAAGAATTTATAGACATGTTATCCAAAATTATATTTTATTGAAAAAATGTTAATAAATTTCGGATCAATATAAAGAAATTAGATTTTCTATATTTATCTTATTACATGACACTAAATATGTTGCAGAATGATTATAATAGTAACATTATTTATATTATTTCTGTTATTAATCACTCATGATGTTATGTTACATAGATATATTTTGATGACAGGTACGTGACATGCTTAAGACTATATTCTTATTATATGTTATATTATATTTTCTGAGGGTACTGTATTCTGAAATATATCTTTCTATATTATTCTGAAAAAGTATTATATATAAGTATACTTTTTATGTCATTGAACAGAGGTTCCCGTAATTTTACAATCAAATTTATTGTCTTCAAAGTAGAATGATAACTCACTCATTATTCTTTGTATTTTAATACTATTATAACGTATATTCATTTAATAAGAAACAATAGTTATAATATATACATAGAAATTTGCAAATTAAAAAGAAAAATCAAACATGTCACGTATAAAAATGGTCACAATTTCCTAAATTTTAATAATTATCGCATATAATAAACTATCAAAAGAGTTTGACATTTGTTATTGTAATATTAAAGAAATTAAATATTTTTATATATGCGAATATATATCATATAATACATCAGTAGCTTAGTAGTTAAATTGCTTATTAGAAAACTTATAAATATTTTCAAAATAATATTAAAAATCTACCTGATAATGAAAAAGTAAATATCACTGATATATTTCATGATGTTATACTTTAACAAACTTTCACAATAGTTATTTATATCATTCTCTATATAGAAATTTGAATATATTTTGCAAAGACACGAATGTGCCAATACGTTTATTTATATTCTAATTGAGCAGAAAAAATAACAGCTAATCATGTTGTTTCGTTTGGTTATTACATAACAACAAATAAATGGACAGTAGAAACATAAAAAAGTAATTTAAAGGAAGTTATTAACAGGAACACTGAACATATAGTAAAAGTGCTGATTTTGTAGAACTATACAGTTGTATCACTCAAAATTATACACACACACATACACGTACTCATACACACGTATATATAATAATTTCACAACTGCATTCATACTATGCATAAATGTGCTCAATCATGTTTGTGTTAAGGTGAATGTTGCAGGTATAATTGTTATGATCCAGTAGATATACAAGGCTGAGAGATGATTTTTTAATCATAAGCTTTTAAATAGGAAATTTAATAGTCTTTAGTCAGTCAACATTACAACCGGGTTTATGATAACTGCTCTTTTTTCTTACTTCCATTCCTCGATTAAAAGAATGTTCGTTTAAACCTAAGGATTTCACCATAGCTCGACTGCGCCATATTTTGACTGTATAATCATCGCTAGTTGTAACTAACATCTCGGGATCTTTAGGATTGAAAGCTACAGAATTGACAACATCAGAATGAGGGAATTTGGTTAAACAAACTCCATAATGTCTATCCCAAAGATAGCCATGTTTATCTTCAGCACCACTAGGAAAAAAAAAATATAATATTAAGAATTATATTCAAATGTGAATTATTGATTTGAAGCAAAACATCCTAAGAACTGTTAAAATTCTTATTCACCTTGCCACATATTCGTTGCATACATCCAGAAATATAAAGAAACATTCATTATTTGGAGTATATGCTTTATGCGCTCTTAACATTGTACCAACTTGTTTCAATGTTACTAAATCAATTACATGAATATCTATTTCTTGAGCTATAGGTGGAGGTTGTAATGGATTAGTAATAACATATCCTCTTGGCCAAGGCCTTGTATTGACATATAAATATCTGCAAAAGTATTATTGTTGTTTCTATATTTTTTCTACTTATGCAATATATGAAATTTCATAAAATTAATAATCTTTGTTACTACATACACAAAAAGTAAAATCAACAATACCTGTGATCTGGAGAAAGACCCATTCCTATAATATGACCATGTAAATCAATTAAGTGATCTACTTTATCAAATCTATCAGCAACTGCTTCATAATCCAACCAATTAGTATACAAAGTTCCTGAGTTTTGTCTTTCTCGTTCTCTTTCTCGTTGCGCTAATCTTTCACGAAGTGATGGTCCTGGATCTAATCTTCTTGGGAAGGTAACTAATTTGATCCTTTTAAAGCCAACTTGATGAGGTGTATATGTTTTTGATCCAGTTGTAAAAATTAAGAATTTTTCTGGATTATTAGATAATTCATCAGAATCACACTCTTCTGCTGTTGATGATTCTATTAGGAACAATAATAAATAAGAAAATAATTGCTCACAAAATTATTTAGTATATATATATATATTGGAGAATTTTAAGTTTATTATATATACCTGCAGATTCGTTCTCTTCATTCCACTGTTGATTTTCATTTTCGTTTTCATTTTCATTCTCATTCTCATTCTCATTCTCATTTTCACTATCACTTTCACTATCAGCTTCATGTGCTGTTTTTTCTTTTTCAACTTGTCTATATTCTTTATTATATTGTATGGGACTGGCATATTCAAAACCATCACCAAGTTTTATCCAATTCATAAAACGTCCTTCTATTGTACTGTACCTATTTGAATAATTTTACATTATTTTGTAATGTAATTAACTTACATGTATCTTCAGAGAACTATCAAATATACTAGTTATGCGATCTAAATGGTCTTACTGTAATCTAGATGAGACATGATGAAGTACAACTGGTTCTTCTTGTGGTGAATTATTAGTTGAAGATGTTGCTATATGATTTTGAGCATTATCTTCTTTGTTATTTGACGATGAAGGTTGATCTTGTGAACTTTCAGAATCGATTGCGGGAGCTAAGCAATTTGCAATCATAATTGCTCTTATTGAAGAAGCATTTCCATTATAAAACCTATGAAATAAAAAATAAATATATTACAATATTTTCTTAATTTTTTAACAATAATTAATGTTAATAAGTAAACTACATTATAGTTAGCATACCTAAACAGTTGTGTCATGATGGGCACATGCTCACTTGCTGATTCTTGATTAGCCTTATTTAGCCAGAGTACACTAGTACTAACCAAGTGTGCCAGCCAATATAAATTTCCACTTAAAAGGTAATGTTCACTATACCAAGTACCAAATATATCATACGGTTTATTCGCTACTCTACATTGAAGTTGAAAGCCAGCTGTAATGAAAGAAACAATAAGAAAATAGATGTATAAGTACAATAAATTTTTAATAATTAAATTATACAGATTTTTTCTTTTTTGTTTAAACTTTTAAACTTACGTGCTACTCTGAAGACAGCTATTTCTCCTGATGTACTATGTGGTGTACCAAAATGTACACCAGAGACAAGAAGTAAAGTATCAGTAGAATTGAACTGTGAAAACTGAGTATATTTCCAGCTAAATGTTTTCATATCATTAAGATATATAATATTAACTGGATGTTGACTTTTCCATACCTGTCAATCATTCAAATTAATATGTGAAAATTATTTATTATATTAATATGTGACATAAAAATTGTTATAATTATATGAGTATAAATTAATTTTATGAAAGACAAGTAAAATGAACGTACAAGGATGTATCCATCTTTTGAACACGTTGCAAACATTTTGCCATTGTGCGAAAAACTAACATGCAATACTTGATGTGAATGATGATTTAGAACTTCAGTTTCTATTAAGGGAGTATGATATGCTAAACGCTTAAATTCTTCAAACCAGGAAGTTTTTCCTAAAACATGTATATTTAAAGTTATAAATGAATTTGTTAGGTGAAATATATTTTGATCACCAGATTTTTTTATCATGTATGATAATATATGCATAAAAGTTACTTCAATATTAAAATTATTACACAAATATATAACACAACTGACCTGGCATAATACCAATATTTGAATCTATTTTATAAGTTTGATAGAATAAGTCTCTCCAAAGAAATTCATCTTGCGATACTTTGTTCCATGATCTACATACTTCTCCTGCTGTTACTAGTTCTCTTGGTGTTAGGTATTGAAAAATACTGAGAAGTATAGAATCTGGCATATAATACCAATTCTCATCACCCTCTGATATTTGTGTCGAATCTTCATCTGTATTTGTTTCTTCGTCGAGACTTTCGACGCTATTTGTTCCATTTTCTATAATATTTTCAACAACATCCATTCCTAAATGCGGTTCCTTATTTACTGGAACAGCTGATATCTGTCAGTAGTTGTTGCTCGCACTACTCCACCTATGATGTTAGGCAGGGAAATGTAAGTACGTGCGCAGTAACGTTTTCTACCGATTGGTCTAAATTTAGGCGGTAAATTTAAGGACTACAAAATTAATTGACGTCACACGCGTGTCTGCATACCACATGCCCACGTAAAATCAGGTAAATTTTAATTAGCTCTTATTAAAATCATAATCTCGTGAAAAAAATTTGACTAGAAATTTTTATTTTATTTTATTTAAGTATTTATTACTTAATACGTATTAAATATTACAAAAGACGAACTTTATAATGCTATATATATATGAAAACGATACAAATTTAATGCGTGCGATTACTATATTTGAATAGCGTTTAAGTTAAGGCATTGAATTATATAAGCAAGTAATACTATTTTATAACTAGTTATCTATTTCATTAAGATCATTAAATTTTCTCATATTAAAAGATTAATGTAAAAAAAATTTTAAGAAAGATTCCAATTGATTTTCAATTTGGATAGTGGGATTGTTCATTTAAGTAATATCGCTCATGTATTTATTGTATGCTGCAACTGAAAAATATCATATACAAATCAAATCTTAATTTGTAAAATTAATAATATATAGTTGTTAAACTTTCAATGTTAATAAGTACAACAGAATATTTACTGTAGTACATGAAGATTAAAATTCTTTGTTTATTTTTTTTAGTTTTCTTCTCCAATGTAATGACATATTACATTGGTCTTCCCATTCCACGACCTTCAGAATCATTAGTGCTTCTTGGATTTTTTATTGTCTCATCTACAGATAAAATTAAACAGGCAGCTTCGGTTGCTGCAGTTAAAGCATTGATTTTAACTACTGCAGGTTCCCAAACACAAGCTTCCATATTGTCAGCTATATCTTCAGAATTTATATCAACACCATACCAATACAGGCCTTTATGATGCTTCTGTCGCAATTTATTTAGAATATTTGTTGCATCAAAACCGGCATTGTCACATAATTGTCTATAGTAAAAAAAAAAAAAAAAGAATGATTACATTTTCTAAGAGTTTTTGCAAATGAAAATAATTTAAATAAAATCTATACCTAGGTATAATTTCAAGAGCTCTTGCCAATGCACCAATTAGTAACTGTTCTTTCCCTGCAATTGTACGGGAATAATCGCGCAAAGTTTTTGATAATTCCATTTCGATACTCCCACCACCGGCAACAATGGCATCATTTTTTACCATACGTCTTACTACCATAATTGCATCGTGAAGAGATCTTTCCGTTTCTTCTAAAAATTGTTCTGCTCCGCCACGTAAAATAAATGTACAAGTTTTAGCATTACGACATTTACGGAGTACATTAAATCTAAAAAACATAAATATTATAGCTTTTAGTACCAGTAGAACAGATTAAAAAAAAAAAAAAAAAAAAAGAAAAAAAAATTGTTTTTTCATTACCTTTCGCTGCCAATTTGCTTTTCTTCAAAGAGACCACAATCTCCAAGATCTAATTCTTTGATATCATGTATAGTAGTCAAAATGCTTCCTCCACATGCTTTCATTATTCTCTTTAAATCTTCATCTGGAACTCTACCAGCACAAAACATATCTCTATCGGCAAAATATTGTGTCGCTACATCTCCAATCGGCAATTTCGATAATACTATATTTGCCCCAATTTGCCAAATCTTTTCAAGTTTATCATATAAAATTTTCCATTCTGCATCAACGATTTTCTGATATTCTGCAACATTATCTACACGAACTTCCGCATTATCTCTCTCTGCTTTAAGTTCTAATTCAATGTTTAATAGAGCAATTTTGCAATTGGAATAGTTCTTAGGTTGCATTTCAAATCCAGCGTATGAAAAAGTTTTTTTAAATGCAACACCTTCAATTAACTCTGAATCCTCTAAAGCTCCGCCAGATACCTATATATTAAATAAATAATTGCGAGTTTTTAATGAGTTAATAACATATTTTATATGTACATGTATTATCAGTAAAAACAAATATAATACCTTCTTAAAACCGATCATATTTAAAGGTAATAAATCATCTAACATCATAACAGCTTTGACAACTAATTCGCTAAAATATTTCTTCTGCTGATGAATTAATTTTGAACTCATAGAAGTGGCTGCACATTCTTTCAAGAGGTTTTCTTGATTTTTAAGATCATCTTTATTCATTTTAATACTTAATGCATTGATTTTCTCAATTGCAAGTTGTAAAGCACGACGCAAAGCTTTGATTATGATACGTGGATGCACACCCTCTTCGATAAATGGTTTCATTTGTTTCAGAAATTCTCCTGCTAATAGAACAACACTGGTTGTACCATCGCCAACCTACACAAAATAATATATTCCGATTTATTAAATTTTGGTTCTAAAATTACTCCCATTTATATGTTGGATATTATTGAAGCAATTTCATAACTACAAGAAATTACTAGTCTATATATCCCGTGTTCAATTTTCTCTAAATAAAGAACATCAGTATTTCATTTTTATACTTTTGTTCTATACTGTAATAGAGAGAAAAATACCATAAAGATTTTGTAATATAATGAAATTTACCTCTGCATCTTGAGATTTCGCAATGTCTACCAATGTCTTAGCTGCAGGATGTACAATTTCTAATAGTTTTAATATAGTAGCACCATCATTAGAAATAGTGCTTTTAGAATTTTGATCTACAATAAGCTTATCCATACCACGAGGACCTAACGTGGTCCTCACAGCATCTACAACCACTTGACATGCATTTATATTTGATATTACTTGTTGTTTTCCTTGAGATGCATCTGTACCTTCTTTCAACAAAATTATTTGAGGTTGCTGGAAATAAAAATTAATTGGTATAAGATATAACGTCAATAAAAAATATCTTTTTAATAACAAAAGTGAATAGTACTCTCATATATCTTCCCATCGTTTTAATTTTTGTTCTTTTTGCTTTTTTATATAATTTTTTCCAATGCTTTACAAACTATTAAATATTCTTTATCAATTGTACACTTTATTATATTATACTATTTAAAACAACTGAATTGAGAGTCTATAGTTATTCATTTATTATCTATAAAACATTTAAGATACTTGGCTAGTTTGTTAGGATGATTTTTTATTCTATGACTATATAATATTGTAAATTTCTGAATTTGTTCTTTCACGTATTTTAAACAAGAGAAAAAACAAAGTATGAATTTTTATTTAAGTAATTAATTAAGTAAATATATATATATTATTAATTATAATGTATATATATATATTTTCTTTATATTCTAAAAAACTTCTTTTACCGGCAAAGTTAAGTGGGCGTGAGTCAAAATTAATTTCCTTATAAGGTTAGAAGAATATAATCTTTAATAAAATCTTACAAAGCTTTTGTGTATGTATATATGTATATGATCATAGTTATATTAATGAAAAAAAAAATTTTTTACTAACATAGAATATGAATAAATAAATTAATTTGAAGGAATAATATAAAATATAAAGCATGGCTAAGATAGAAAAGTCAAGAAATATTTGGTTACATTGTTTTATATAAAAAATATAAGCTAATGTAAAACAAGTGTATGTTTATATATAATAACATATTGTATTAAAAAAACCTACCATCTTTTTAAATTCTTGTATGAAATTTTTTCTTTAAATTCACCCAATGTGATTTTTAGCAAAAAATCAGAATCTGAAGTTCAGAACAAATTGTCATGAACCGTTTAATAAGGTTTACGAACTTCTGCAGAGGGGTAAAAATTTGTTTGTATCTTCATTATCGACAGATCCTTTACCTTCAATTATGAAATATAAAAACATATATAGCAATTGATATATATATAATATATTACTTTTATTATTTTTTAAATGAAAAAAATATTAAAAGATACAAAACATTATACAATAATACAAGTATAATAATTCACCAATCAGCAATAAGCAGTTGTAATAAAATATACATAAGAGAGAGAGAGAGAGAGAGAGAGAGAGAGAGAGAGAAGCGAGAGAGAACTAACCTTTACTAAAACGTCACCATATTGGATTCCCGCCTTTTATATTATAGTTCGAATTTATTTGATATTCTACAAGATAAAAAGAATTACTTAAATAAAATAATAATGATGTATATTTATCATTAATCTTAATTATAATGTATGCGGAAATTAAAAGCTTAATATAATGTATAAAAGATCGAGAATTTTTATGGAGGAACGTAAAAACGGAAACGTAGTAAATGAATTTTTTTGCTATAAAATTTTTTTATTTTGTTAGTTTAGTTAAAATCAAATTAAACAATTAAAAATATACAACAAAGTAGAAAAAAAATCAAAAAATAATCTTGTTAAACAATAGTTAAATGTGTGTATTCAAAAATAATAGTGCTGATGTATTTATTTTTAGTTTAATAATGCGTTATTACGAACATACATACATATATAGATATATACAGACGTGTGTGTTGATATATATATATAGAACAAATTGTATATATTTAAGTATATGCTTACAGTACGTATGTGTATGTATTACTATATTACTTTCTTTTTTTAAATACATAGGTAAAAGAAATAAGAAAGAAACGCGTTTAATGATTTTCCTTTAAAACATCAAAATTTCGTATATTTAGAATGAAAATATGAAACAGAAGATTTTTTTAATAAATACATGAAAATTTAAATCTTGTAAATGTGGTAGGATAAAATTTCTAAGGATATATACTGTTACGTGATATTACCCGGGATCAAGCTCCACCTACACATTTATTTTTAATCGCTGCTAAATAGTAAAGCATCACTGCGCGCGCGTATATGTGGACACATATATATATATATATATATATATATATATATATATATATATAAATTTACAGATTTTTTTTTAATACATCGTTCAGCGATTCAATCGAAAGTTGTCGGAGAAGAACGTGAACGTTCTCTGTCGATTACGTTCATATCTTTTTGCTTTTCTTCTTTTTGTTTCAGTATATACTATTCGTTTCTCTATATTTTTATTTCTTTTAACAATTTTATTCTCTTCTGATTATTACGAAAGAAAAGAAGCATTGTTAAATCGTGTTTTCACGCAAGTTGTTCGTCTATTCTTATCTCTTTCTTTTGAATTTGTCTTTACGTGACTATTTATTACTTCTGACATTTAATCATAATAATTATAAGGTAACAAATATTTTATTACGATGTAACATCGATAACAACAAATAATCCATTTTATATAACAGTATGTAATTAACATTAATGAAAATAACTCTATCATTTATATCACATCATCACTTCTTTGATATTTTATGTTATTAATAGAAATAAAAAAAATGATAATAGATATACGATAAAAATATCGTAGGACGGTATAAATGATTTCAAATTAGACGATAAGGAATACATTACTTTTTTTTTTTTTTTAACTTTTAATTAACAATTTGTATGTGTCTGTCGATTTAATTCTTCGAAACTTATGATAGCAAATTGGATAGGTTCTCTTCCTGAATCTGACTGAATGTAATATGTGACCTTTAAGTTAGTGCGAATGCGCAAAATTTTACCCCCACTTATCATCCACGAGCCAATGGCAAATCGATATATTCGAAATTTTCACGCGAAAGCACTACTGAACTATTCTTGTCGGCAGTAGCGACTGTGGTTGCGACTACGGAACTTGCGACGTCGATCATGTAGATAGTGAGTACTCTAACTCTTCAAAGTGGACACTTTTAAGAATCTTTTTTCATTCATTTATTATTGGTTTATTATTATAATTAAAATCATTTTTATTAATTTAATTTCCCCTGTTTTATCAAACTTTATTATTTTGTAGGATGAAAAACTGTACGAATTTTGGATCTAATTCGTAATGATTTATTAAAATAGATTATTAGCATAATTATGTATACATATATATATTTTTTTTTATTAACATTATTATATAGAAAAACACGATATCCATATTTCATATTGAATTATATTGATTAACAATTATATGTCACAATATTTCTTATCTTGTAGTAAAGAAACACATTAAAATTGATTGATTAGAATTGATGAAAATATATTTATCAGATAACATTTTGATATTGAAAAAAATCCATTAGCGAGAAGGAGATCGCAATAGGCGAGTCTCGTTTGAAGTAGGTCAAGTACAGTGTCGCTGTTTAAAAATGTATGTCATGTGGAAGAAGGCTTTAATGCCGTTGAAGCTTTAATATTAGAATTTATATTTATAATGGAAAAAGAAGAAAAAAAATAAGAAAAAAGAACCGAGTAAATAATACGGGATGGGTGCCGGTTTTTCCATATATAATGGACCCTGTGTAAAATTTTTTTTTAAACAAATAATAAACCTTTATAATTAACCTTTTAGCTCTCTAATGAATAATTTATTATATACCATGAAACAAGCGACGATATGAAAATGAATAAATCAGTTTTCACATCTTTTTTATCGATAGAAAAAAAATTCTTTCGTTAAAAATGATTTATCAATATAATAAGAACGTAAAATTGTAGGTTGAGGAAGGATTAGATAGGTGCACTAAGAGTCTTTGTAAAGTACGAATACAAAAAACAGAAGACTTACCGAAATCAAATTTGATAGAATTTAATTCGTCAGAAAATATGAAGACGATATGGGTGATTGGTGGTCCTGGATGTGGAAAGGGAACGCAATGCGATCGTATAATCAAAAAATATGGATTTTTACATTTAAGTAGCGGTGATCTTTTGCGAGATGAAGTAGCAAGCGGTAGCCCTAGAGGAGCTTCGCTTCAAGAATTAATGTCCAAGGGCTTGTTCGTACCAACGGTAAAAGAAAGATATTCGATATTTATATTCAACTTTAAATTTCTAAAAAGGATTCGATTTACAATGAAAATATCATAGAGAGGAATGATCTCTTTTTTCAGTAGGATATCGTGTTGGAACTTATAAAGGAAAAGATGGAAAAAGCAAGTACCGAAGGTAGTACGAAAACAGGTTTCCTTATCGATGGATATCCTCGTGAATTGGAACAAGGGATCCTTTTTGAAAAAAATGTAAGATATCAATTTCTCTTTTTTCGTTTAAATTGATATCATTTGGAATGATCGTTGAATAGGTTTGTCCAGTTGATCTCATCTTATTTTTTGATGTATCTAACGAGACAATGACTAAAAGGCTTCTCGGCCGTGCCGAAGTGTCTCAAAGAGCTGACGATAACGCTGAAACCATCAAGAAAAGAATCGAGATATTTAACGAAAAGAATGACAAAATTGTAGAACATTACAAGGATAAACTTGTTAGGGTATGATTTCATTTTCGTTAACACCTTATACGTGTGAGGAATATTTGTCACATATATCGCTGATTATTTTTAACGATGTCACAAAATAAATTTAACACCACTAAAAGTCATACGTAACATATTTAAAATAGTATTTAAGGAAACTATATTTATGCGTCAGAAATTGTCCTAGCTTCGAGAAAACGTATAAATCAAGTAAAAAAAAAATATTCCATCACGCGCATATAAAGTGTTAATAATTTTGTTAATAATAATCGAATAATCTTTATTTTATATCTGATTTTAATCAAATGTTTCCAGATTAACGCCGAAGGAAGCGTCGATGAAATATTCGATGAAGTTTGTAAAGCGCTCGATTGTTTGTTGGCTTAATGTTTTGGCAAAGCACACAACCCTCTGAGCTTTTCTCAAGCATAGCCTAATTGTCTGTCAAGTCCAAAAAAGATTTTTAGACAGAGATATTAAGCAATATACGAAGTGTGTGATAATACCGTTTACATTGTAATAATCGTTTACATTGTACTAAGATCCTATCCTAAAAAAGAAAAATCGCTCTGAATAAGTGTGATAAATTTTTATTTTATTTTTTCTCGTAAAAATTTGAGTACATCCGGCACTTTTAACATTTACTTTAGGCAATGAATTTTACGGAACTTTTTTATACTTCATGTTTATGAAATATAAACAAAAGATAAATCTTTCAGACACTTAATCCCTAAGATTAGGGTTTTCAGGTGAATTGATTTTACGTCAATAATTGTGAGAGCGATTAACGGAACACCCATATCTACAATTATTAGAATAGGAAAGAGTTAATATTATGATTTCATTTAACGATAAAACAATCTACTCAAGCAATATTATGTTATTACATCTTTTCATATATCGATCGATACTATGAATGCGTAATAAATTGTATATTGGAATTATTTCTGAAGTCTACTTTACTTTATTGATTATCGATTATATGAATGATTCATCTATTATCTAATCCTTTTATCAGTATATAGGATACATTCATTTATATGTATCCATACTGATGCTATTACTATAAATACGATCTTTCAGTAATTTTACTTTTAATTGTGTTGCATTGTTGGTGCGTCAACTTTATCCGGATATTCGTGTGACATTTATTTCCTTTTTTTGATCACATGAAATTTAATATTATCTAGATGATGTTACATTGTAATATTATTATCAGACGTTCTTTTCAAGTACTTGCAGAGTTTGTAATTTATTAACACAGATATGAACTATTTCATTATATTATCTGTTTTATTGATAACAAATTTTTTATTGGACTCAAGTTACTGTGATCGTTGTTGTACTATTAATCTTCGAAAATTGCCATCGTATAAATTAAGCCGTATCGGAGCACGTTCGGATGAAACAATTATTTCAAGAAAAATAGTTCATAATTTGTACGAGTGTAAGGAATTCGCTGCATCGAGGAAAGCATTGGCGTTTAACTTCGGCCTAAACATCAATTTAAATGGTGAGGAAACACAAAACAAAATATTATTATACATAAAACATTCTTTTTAATAAAAAGTATCTTGCCCTCTTTAATTAATAAAGGAAGTATCATTAGAAATCATTTGAGAAATGAAGCTTCAAACAGAAATCTGTGCCAGGCTTTACAATGTCCAGAAATATATAACTCTTCGTCATTGATAAGGGACAAGAATTATCGGTACTACAGCATTTATCCTAATTACATCAATTCTGGTAATTAACACGAAACTAAATGAAAATTAATTTTTGTTGTAATGAAAAAAAAAAAAAATTGATATCTTTCAGGAGGAGGTACAATAGTTTGTGTACCCGAAGCAGGATTATTTATGTTATCGAATAACAATTTAAATTATACTCAAGCTCAAATGTTTTGTCAGAAATTGAACGGATCACTTGCGCATGTGATAAGCGAAGAACGCATGAATGGCTTGGCTAAGTTTCTTTCGCATAAGATTCCAAGATACGTTGGTCTGAGTAATAATGACGATGAAAAAATTTGGAAAAATTCGTTCGGTTGTAATTTATTTATTTTCTATATATTATTATTTTATGAGACTTTAAGATGATATTAATCCACCCTTAACGGTCAATGCTTTTTTTTTTAATACACTTTTATAAGATGAAAAAGTATTAGCTAAATTTAGGGGAAAAAAAGAGCCATTTCATTTTTTATAGCATAATTGCGTAACTGTGATGGACAATATATATTTTCTTTCGATCGTTAAGGGTTCAATTACAAAATATTAATTTTGGTTTCATTATTACTACAGATGAACCTTTGTTGTGTTTCGAATATCGTGCATGGGGCACAAGAGAACCTTCTAATTCAAGAGGATGCGTTGCTATTCTTACGTCTTCATCTAATTCATCCATTACAGCTTTTTGGAAAGTTATACCTTGTTATGTTTCGTTACCTTATATATGTGAAATTTTTCCACAATATCAATAAATAAAAAATATACTATTATAACATAATTATATAATTATATATACATATGGATAATATTTGTATCAGGGTAAATAAAAGTTGAATCTACTTATGTACAGATATTTAATCTAGAACTACAAGAATCTTTAGTATTATGCTTAGAGAACTAGAATATTTACAAATATGAATTAAAACAACATAACTCTGTACGTGCGCACAATTGACAGGAAACAAGAAGAAAAATATAACTCTCACTCATTGTTGCTTACGTGTATGAATGCATGTTCGTGTTCGTATTTGTGTCTGTGTGTATATGTTATATATATATATATATATATATATATATATATATATATATTTTTTTTTTTTTTTAATTTAATAATTTTAAAAATGCTCTTCCTGATACTTCAATTCTATATTTGTAAAGCTTATGGTCTTAAAACTATTAATTACATCTACACACATTGTCTTTAACAAGCTATAACGTAACATTTATCCTGGGTCTTAAGATACATTGTTACTGAAACAATGCTTTTAATAGGACTTTAAAAAACATGTTAATAATAAAACATGTATGATATATAAATGTCTTACAATGACATTCGATGTAAAGCAACAATAAGAAACGAACTATTAAAAAAATATATATGTACGTATATGCATATATTATGTATATATTATGCTTATATATTATTATATAATATATAACATATTTCTTTTATATATATATACATATATATATATATATATATATATATATATATATATATGAGCCATTATTTTATATATGTTTCTGGATGAAGATTAAAATATATTTGTGAATTTTGTAACTACAATAAATCTCCATTTATCATTGTCTAATTCATATTACATTTTAATTCTGAATTCTGTTTAAAACATGCAATCCAGTTGCACACTTCTATTCAAACTAAATTCTTCTTATCATGTAATATTTCAATATTACGGTCTCAAGACTAAGTCAATCTTAGAAGAATAAATATATGTTACTAATCATAATATTGTCCTAATCATCAAATTATTATATAGATCTGTTAATCGGATACTTTTGATAAATGAAGTTCTACTGTATTTATATAGAGCAGTCAAATGAAAGTTCGTTTATGTTATTTTATGGAGAATTAGTATGAGATAAAATTAATATCAACATGAGAACAAAAATTATATTTAATATTTTACATAATGAATACAAAAACTGATAGGCCTTTCACTTGACTGTACTCTCTTTTTTATTATTAATGTATAATAAAATTTCTGTTCTCTCAACATACCATTAAATTACATTAGTATAATCTGTTTGTTTTTTTTTTGTTTTGTTATTTCATGTAAAATATTTATAATTATCATAAAACAAATAAAATAGATAAAATAACGTATACAATATATATGCAAATTTAAAATATTAATATTTATGTGCAAAAATAAGTTTAAAAGTATCTAGTAAAAGTATATCATACAGAAATAATCAAAGCTTTGTTATAAAGATTGTACAAAGATTTATATAAACAGGATTTTTTTAGTTATTTGTTGATGTGCTGCATATAAATAATTCATTAATACGCGAAAAGTATTGGTCCATTCTTATGTAAAAATTACCTTTATAGTATTATAGGCAAGTATAAACTAATGCATTTGAAAATTGAGCGTTTTCTTGCTGTCTACAAATGAATTATACAATATTTTGTGCCAAATAAGTTTGTTTAAAAATGAAATATATCGATAAGAAATGTAACTAGATAAACAAAATTTTATATATATATATATATTCAGAAAAACAAAAACGATTATGGCACATAATAACTTCATTATATTATTTTAGGGTGATGAAGTGAATGGACCATATAGTTTATGATACACAAGTACAAGAGTAGTTTATCCATTTGAGTAATAATCAGTGTTTAAAGTTTGTGCATAAATTATCCTGCAGAAAGCAAAAGTATGGTGAAAATTTATCTGCTAATTTTCAATTATTTAATTTTGCAATATATTTGACTCTAAGAAATAAATTTTTATTAAATATTCATGCAGAAAATATAATAAATAGTGCTAAAAAAAATATAAGAAGAACTTTTCCAATTTTGCTTAAAACTATTATTGTCCTGTGATAAATCTACAAGAATAAGCAAAAGTGATGAAGCTGTTAGCAGAAATAATGATCTTAGAGGAATGACATTTTCTTGTATAAAGCTATATAAAAAAACCACTTGACTTGATTATTATGCAGTGAAATATAAAAGTATAAAACGATTTGTTTATGGTGCGATATACACATATTTTGTTGTTTTCTAATAAATGATGTGTTTTAAAGTGTTAGATATCTTTTATAAGCATGGTCAGGATTACATGCTTGTTAAGAAGACTTAGTAAAAATATTAATCACTATCGTACACTTATATAGTTAGCACAAAGTAGGATGATAAAGTACTAGTACTATATCTTTTCCAAATAGGATTCATTTCAATAACAATTGTCTTGTTGGGTTTACGGCTTTATGATTCTGTCTACAATATAATTCAAATTACTTTTTTCTATAGGTTTTTTTTTTTATAAGTTTTCTCTTTAAATCTATTTTAATTCTATATCTGTAATAAGTTATTGATATGTTCCTACAATATATTTTACAGAGGCAATATATTTTTTTGCCATTTCTAATATGTGGTACAGAGTGTGTAATCATAGTGATTAAATAAGCATTAAAATAGATTATAATAAAGAGAAGTTTATAAGCTTGTTATTGAAAAAATTTGTTTGCACAAATGTTATATTTTTACCATGTTTCATTCATTAATGAAAAGCAATAAGCTTACACATTGCATTATCATAATTCGGGATGATTCGCATAGAAAAAAATACATCGTATTCCAAGTGCGCTCCAAATTTTTCGCAACCCTATAATAATGCATGTGTAATTAGATGAACACATTTTTTTTTTTAACTAGAACGATACCTCCTTATTTAGTAGATATTTTATTTATTGCTTGAATAAGGAATGTGTTTATATAACTATTCTACATATTTTTGTTTAGAAATATATAAACTTTTTGGAATGCTTTAAAAATTTTCATGCAGCATTAGGCAATGTTATGTAAAATGAAGCAAAGTTTAAATATAATATTAATATGAACAAGATGAATAGCCCTAAACCCGAAAGACTTTGGTATCACCAAAAGTAATTTTTTTAATATATAGAAAATAGTACGAGCAATTATTTGTTGCTTATAGACAAATTTTGATCATTATATAAATTAACTCTGTGCGCATTAAGTGTAAAAGAAAGTTTATGCGTCACAATATTTATATTTCATATATAATGTATATTTTACATTAACAGTCACATTTATGATCACGAATATTGATTTTATGTATTCTGATATTTGCAGGATATAATTCAAGAAAATTTGATTTATCAGACTAGAATTTTTATACTAAATTTTTAATAAGAATTTCAGATATTGTGTGTTGTACATGTTCTTATGTATTCACACATAAATAAAATATGTTCGAAAATTTTCTCAATGCGGAAATGTATAATGTTAGTTTGCTTTGCCCGAATCAATAGTTAGATTTTAACAAATATTTATATAAAAAATTAAATATCGTATCTAGTTCGTGTTCATGCTATATATTTACTTAAAATTTTGCTCTTTTAAGAAAATAAAAAATTTGTCAAATGTTCAACGATTTCATAATAATGCCAAACATAGCTTTTTTATTTGTTTCACTATAAGTGTTTTATATGTTTCAATTCATGCCTGTGTGATAGATTCTTTTTCTCATTGTTTACTACCTCATTCATATGTGTATACTACAAATTCGTGATATATTTGTATATCACTTACTTTATTAGCACCATTTGAAAAGCAATACTTAAAAAAGGACACATTCAATTTTTGGACTTAATGTATCAACAAGCTAATCACAATTTGTATTTATAAATATGGTTATGAGTTTCCAGATAAGTGCTTTGTATTTCAATGAATGGAGGCACCTCACAAATGCAGTGAACAGAGTAGGGTGTATTGGCACTCACGAATGAATAAACTTACTATGAATTATTATCGTTATATGAATATTGCGAGGCATCTATTAGATCCACAAAAATCACATTGTATTCAATTAAACTGCTGGTTTAAGTACGTAAGCTTTTCTTTCTCAATAGATAAAACTTTGATTGCTATAATGAGGCAATTTTTGGTATTTTTTTTTATAACAATAAAAGTTTTTGTCTGCGAAAATATGTCACTAATATATAAAACATCACAATTAAAAAAAAAAAGTATCGAAATAATAAAAAAAAGAAAAAATCTGGCTGATATCGTGAGATCACAAAATATCAAAATCATGCAAAGAAAAAAAAAACAGAGAATATTTATGATTAAAAAATCTTAGATGGAATGTTGCGTTTATGGCCAGAATAGGCAAATACTGTTACTGCATTGGTGGAGCAAACAAAAAAAATGACACCACCAAAATCAATAAATATATAACAACCATGATAATAGTACTAGTAATAATTATGCTATTAGTAGTATTAGTACTTCGTTATTTGCAACATGATGACAAACAACAAAGTTATAAAAATACGTTTCAGGAAATACGCATCAATTTTCACATATTAAAATGTTTTAAACTTTGTTATTAATAGAGGCATTTGCCATAAGTGGTACAAGCTGTTCGGAGAGTTGTTGCACAGTTTGCTGCAATAGTGCCTGTTTTTCTTCCAGCATGGCAACCTTTATATGAATAAGTCAATATTGATAAAATAAAAAATTTTAAAAATTCAAAATTTAGGTCAATTTAGTTGTTCATATGAAAAAATATTTTTAAGAAAAATTATATTTAATAATTGTATATATTTACCCTTTCTAGCAGTTGACTATAAAGATGATATGGAACAAAGGACAGAGTCCCAGGTGTAGTTACAGTCCCATGATCTATCGTATCTAATTTTTTTTCTTTTTCTTTTTGTTTATCTTCACATTCTGTTTCTTGTTTGACAACAGTATCGACAGTATTAGAAGATACCATTAATCTGTTATATTAGAAAATATTCTCATATAAGTCTTGAATGAAAAGAATTTTAAAATAATAATAAATACATATTGTATTTATAAATATACCGTGAAAAAGTTCGTTCTTTCTTAACTTCTGGTTTGTCAACACGATCAACTGATCCGACTTTTCTCCTTTCCGATTGATTCATTTTTAATTCTTCTACCTACATAAATAAACAATGTCAAGAATATTAAATAACAAAGAATTTTTATTTTAATATAAAGCGAAAATTTGTAATTATACCCAAGGTGCCTTCTTTCTTGTTTTTGCTGAAAGTTTTTCATTGTCATCTTCCCTTAATGATTCTAATGTTTCTTCAGTGTTACCATTTGATAAATTATCTTCCTAAAATACGAATAAAATAAATAATGTACGGTAAAAGAAATTTTATTAGAAGGGTAAATATTATGTACTATTGAAATTAAATATATATTAAATACCGTTATCGTTGTATTATGTAAGATAGTCGTTGTTGTGGTAGCATGATGTCGTAAATGTTGAGAAGAAGGTAAACGACGACGGGGTGCTTTTGCACGTGAAGCTGTTAAGTGAGAAAGTGGTGCTCCTTCACCTCTTTCTACTCCATCTAATTCTTCTCCAAGTGCAATGCTTGGATTTCCATTGCTATTATTAGTTCCAGTATCACTTACAAAATGTTTCAAATTAGAAATGAGTGAATGATTGCCCATTGTTTTCTTTTCTCCATTTCCTCCCCCACTACTTCCTCCCCCTCCTCCAATATTAGACAAAGGTGATGTTGATGATACAGTAGACGATGTTGATATCATTTTTTTAGTTGTTTCCATGGTACTAAAATGATCTGAAAGATAAGAGCAATCATTGATTTTAAAATATCAGCCATATAATGTATTATATTTTTTAGAAAGTATAAACTTCATACTCCATGTATATAAAATGAAAGGATATACCTGTATGTATATTTTTTGGATCTAAACTTTTTCTAGCATGTGCTTTCTCACTTTTCTTTAGTTGATGAGCATGCTTTGCAACAGATTTACTAGTTAGCTGACTGGTTTCGTGCCACTGTTCTTGCTCTTGATGATCATTTTTTGTCCCAATAACCTCAACAAAATTATCAGGAAATAAGCCAATTTGTCCTCTCAATTCTCCTTTCCACCAACCCTTTAATAACAATTATAAAGTATCGTTTTATTCTTCCCTTTTCCCATTAAATATATTTTACTATTAAAAATTAAATTTTTTTAGTAAGAACTTACTTTATCTGGTGCATCTCTAGAAAGTATTGCAATGATTTCTCCTTCTACCAAAGTTAATTCATCTTCATTAGCTGCCTCGTATGCATAGAGAACTCTACAATATTCCTTTTTATCTTTCTTGTGTTTATCTTCTTCTTCATAACTTAAATGAACAAAATTCGAAGGGAAGACACCGACTCTCCCTCTAAGTCTACCTCTCCACCATCCTTCCTCTACTTCGCCCAAGAATTCTATGGAATCTTGAGGTACAAGAGTTAATTCATCTTCATTACAAGGTTCATAACTGTATAGAACTTTACACCACCTCCTTCCAGATCCCCCATTACGCAAAGTGACTTCTTCCGGTTTTGTACTACTAACGGTTTCAGTTGTGCTCGCACCACTTGTTGGAGATGGATCCAACACCTACCAAGATAAACAATTATTATATCATAATTAGAGATTCTAAAAATAAAATAAAATAACAGATTATAAAAGATGTAATATGTACCTTAACAAAATTATCAGGGAACATGCCACGCTTATCTCTTAAAGTACCTTCCCACCAACCACCCAACATCACTTTAATTTCTTTTATTATGTCTCCTTTTCTCAGAGTTAATTCATCAGGTTCCCTAGCTAAATAATTATATTCTACAATCGCCTCCATCTTTCTTTTAAAGTTTATAGTTCATGAATATATTATGTCTTACAATATTATATCTGAAAGGAAGAGAATTGATCTAAATACCCGTTAGAAAAAAAATCTATTGAATGTTTTTTTTCTCATACAAATGAAAGTTTTAATAGAGAAAAAAAAATCTTTAATTTTAAATTATCATTCTCAATTCTTAAAACGTTCATTTTAATTTTACTCGACTTTTTACGAAAATATTAGAATCATTCTCAAAGAATAAACTATAAAATATTAAAGAAATCTGTAGGAGAATAACAATGCTGTTGAAACGAATAAACACGCGTGACAAAAGGTAGCATACGTATAATTAGGACGAGATACCTGTCCGAGGTAATCATTCATCTATCGAGCATTCTATAGTCTTCACAGTAACGAACAAACTTATGAGCATCATCGTAAGATAATGTTTAGAAAACGAGATGTTAGGATCGAAAAATTTAGGCGTATCCCAAACTCGATTGACAGCCCAACGAATCTGTCATAGTAGCCATCTTGGACTTGGAGACTCGGGGTCAACTTCAAGATGCAATCTGGGTAAATCGCGCGTGCCAACTTCATTGGCGGTGATCGAAGAACGCGCCAAATCGTAATCTGTGCCGGTTCGTTGGCCGTATCTTAAAAGTCTTTCCTATGAAAACTTGTTGAATAAGTTCAATAGATATGGCGCTTTCATTCGTTATGTATTATCGCCATGTGACTAAGAATTGTAAAAAAAAACTATTGTCTCTTCCTCTTCAAAAAAACATTATTTTTCTCTTTTAACTTTGAATATACTTACCCTTTAATTATCAATAAAATATCAAAATATTTATTGCCAACGAAATCATTGAAGTCCCTCGACACGACTGTGTTCCTATTCCGATAACAATACGTTATTCATCGTTCGCTCGATGATTCATGCTCACAATCGATCTACTCTTATCAGGAAGACCTTACACGTATTGTCTATGTGTGAGGAATATCAATAGCCTTATTTTCCCGTTGTTCGTACAGTATTCGTTTCATACAATTTTATTATTTTCTACAATTGAGTTTTTTAATAAATCTTTTATAAATTATTCATTTTATTCGCAAAAGAATGCGGATAAAAGAAAATTTATCAGTCATAAATATTTCTTATATTTGAAAGAAGTAGAAGTATCAAAAGTGTAGGATTTTTAGATATGTAAATTTTTCACGAACACGTTTTACATTAGCGTCGATTTTCCAATAAGAAAAACGCGGTAAAATTTGAATTTGAATAGGTTTCTCAATAATTTTTACTTTTGGTAAGTAATCGATGAATGAAGTACATATATATATATAAATATATGTATATATATATACATATATGTATATATATAATAATAATCAGGTATCATAGGTAAAAAGTGTGCATCTTTATTATTTATTATTGATTCACACATCAAGTTGTACAATCGTCTCTACAAACATAATGATTTACGAATATATATCGCAAAACGACGTTGTGTGTCGAAAATTGTCGAGGTAACGAGCGCAACATAATTCTATTGTCTTAAACTTAATTCTAATCTCTCTTTAATAAAGAAAATGTTTAAAAATATGCGTCGTTTGGAATAGAAGTACAGAAATATTTTTTGAAAAAAAAAGAAAAAAAAGAAAGAAAGAAAGACAAAATAGATATATCAACGAAGTCTTTCCTTTGGTGGGGGAAAAAAAAAAAAAAAAGAAATTATTTGAACAAAATTTTTTTTCTAAGCGATACACGAGAATATTAAATCGTTACTTCGTAAACGTTTTTACGCTTAGCACAAACTCTTAACGTTGATTATTTATGTCCGATACGTTTCTTAACGGATAAAAGTCTTTGAAAAAAATTCATATACCATTTGAAAACTTCCTAAATTGAGATTAGAATAAAAAAAATTTAAGCAATAATTTGTTTAATAAATGCATTATTAATCCTGACGCAACCACATCCTTCAAATTTGTTCGGACACGAAAAAAATTCCGATTTACGGATATTAATGGTGAAGTTAAAAATAATAAATGGAGCGTGTATGTTTATATTATATTCTAAGAGATTTCTATTCACGAAGACCAGCTTCGAAGAAGAAACGAAACGTTTCGGTAAGAGTTAGAGAGGAGGAAAACGATCCAGCGTTTCTTACAACAAAGAACAAAACAAAAAAGAAAAAAGAACGTAGGCTGTCCTATCGGCGCAAATTCTTACAAATTGACATCTCTCTCTCTCTCTCTCTTCCTCTCTCTCTCTCTGTCTCTATCATTCTATCTCTATCTCTTTTTGCTCATTCTATATTCTTTATCTCTTACTTAAGCGCGTTTAAAAATCGCATTTTTCTTGCTTTTAAAAAATTGGCGTTAACGAAAGCCGACGATAATGCGCATAGCGCGTCTTTGGCGTCTACTCGATAGTCATGAGTAAAGAATTCGACTATCGATTATTGATTATTATCGATAAATCGAAAGTGATCATCCTAATAAGAAAGAGCATCAATCAAGATTGCTACTTTATAAAACAATAATCAGAAGAATTAAACTTCTGTTACGTTTCTTTCTTTCTTTCATTCTTTCTCTCTTTCTCTTTCTTTCTTTCTTTCTTTCTTTTTATTTTATATAAATCTCCTCTATCGAGAGTTATAAACATATAAAAGCAACAAAGATATACGACTGTATCGTGAATACACGCACGTATGTGTGTGATGTATATATATGTATATATATATATATATACACCTTTAATGCAAATAGTACAAAGCCTATAATCGTAATCGTTACGTTTTTGTATTTGGTATTAC